TCTTCCCCATATTTACTTTTCATTTTATTTATGTAAATTGTTTACGTTTTAAAACTCTCAAGGAAAAGAAATTTGTTTTCGTCAATGGGATTAAATGAAAATTGTTCAATGAACTGGATGACAACTCTGGTTCTATAATTTTTGTGTGAAATATAATAAAATTAATTTTTTTATATAGAGAAAACAGTAAATACAGCTAGTGACCGAAAATTAGGTTTTAATTTTTAAATTTATATGTTATTATTATTATATATTTAACAAAACCTCAATCACAAATAACTTTAAGTATATTACAGTCCAGGGACACAAAATCTTTGAACTTTCGAGGTTTTAGCTTCTTTTAAGAACTTAAATAACAGCTATTACGCATAAGTTCTAGAAGATATAAAATTTAAACTACATTACTTAAGGTAAATTTATTATATAGATGACTGTAACTATTATCCTGTATACTAGAATATTCGATCTGGGAGAGTCCCTGACATGACTCAAGGGGAATTATCCGGTTTCATCATTAAAATACTTTGGTGTGGTGACTTATATCTTATTGTGAATTCTAAATGTGATTAAGTCTGATTATTCGTTACTTTTTAAAGTACTTTATATATTGTATATGGTGTAAATCATATTTATATGGTGTAAATCATTAGTTTTTACACACATATTTCTTTATATTTAGAATAAAGTATGAGTAATAACGTCGTATCAATCTTACAGCTGATTCCCGACAAACCATGACCGTCTGTGAGGACAATTCATCCGCGAACTTGAACCATTTAAGAGAAACGTCTTTATACCAACGGAAAAACACATTTAACACCATTGCCAAACGTATTTCTGCATCAATCATTTTAACGGCCTCTGTTCTAATCACCAAATTCGCTCTAATGCGACCCGAATGACCTTTGTGATAAATAATATTACAAATGCGCGTCAATGTCGCTTTTGAGGTCGATATCTGAATCATAACTCAATCTTCTTCATTTCATCTCCCCTGTCGGCCATCTTGTTTAGCTTGACAGCTTAAGAAGAAATATAAAAATCTGTAGTACACGAAACATCCACTGGAACTTCACGTAAGAACAGCTATTATATATCTTTTTGCTTTAAATTCGAAAAATAATAAGGTCAATATTATTTTTCTTTATAATTTAAAACGCCATATTTATTTGATCACCCCAAGCCCTTGATCCGACATCGTAATTCCAATGAAACATTATCTTTTAATAAATATGAGATAACAAGTAATGCAATAACAAAATAATACAAGGAAATATAAAAAAATAATAATTTAATTATTTTCATACTAATTCATTTTTAGGATATACATATTATGTAAATTTGTCTATAGAATGACAGACATGAATCTGTTACACGATTTATTTTGAATGTCTAATGAAAAAGCTATAACATTTTTCATTGTGTATTATTTATTATTTATAATGACAATATTCCAAACGATCCGGACCTATAAAAGCTCGGAAATGATCATTGTTCGGAATAGTCTTTACAATACTAGTTTTTGTCCGCAAATTGTTCTAGTTCTAAACTATCTCTCCTCCAAACTTCAGCCAAACCCGTACAGCCATTCTTAGCCTATAAATAGTATACTTAACTATTACGACTTTCTTTTCTATATAAAGATATTCAATATGTTCTCTAATTACTCGCAAAATCTATAGTGATTCTTGCAAATAGCATCAATAATTTAGAAGAATCAGGATGTAAGGGTTAAGGTCAAGTTACTTAGGTTATTAGATCAACGCGGGGTCGGTGGCCATGGTCGGCCTTTGGCCTTGGAGTCCCAGACCTGATAGGTCTGTAGGTGAACCGGAAGTCCCAACGTCAACTGTCTATGAACTCTACTATTATGATTGCAATAAAAAAATGTATATAATTTTTTTTAATCTGTTATATTTGATGTTTTTTGTGACGTAAATATAACCCAAATACTTGTATAGTGCGTTTGATTTAAGCTGAGCTTTGCATTTGTGTGAGTGCACACGGATGGTGTAGATGTGATGTCAAATTTTTGAATGCCACGTCCTTTTCTAGTTTTGATCCGGTTTATACTGCTTTTACTCCGCCCCGCACCTTCCTCACTTCACCCTTAGTACTGGTAGCAACGTCAAATGTTGAAAACGCAATGACAAGTGAAGAAAAAAGTGTATTGTTTTTTCAACATTTTTATTAGGTAATATTTTTTTCCATACCTAATATTTCCATTTGGCCTTTTACAAGTTTTTTCTTATTTTATTTTTAATCTAGAATAGCTCTAGCAATTATGTTAGGTATCTATTTAAAATATAATAGAATTGAATTCTAAAAGCTTTTTGTCTAACTCTACTTTAACTTTTACTTACACAAATGTAAAGCTCAGCTTAAATCTAACAGACTATATGCTTATATAGAAAGAGGTTTAAAAAAAAGATAATGAAATAGCATACACATATTTACGAATTTAATATTCTAATCTTAGTGACTAATACATTTCGAAAATGTCAATAACATCAGTGGCATGCACAGAGATTTGGGGTATGGTAAGCAGGATATGTATGAAAAATAAAATACTAATTTTCATAATTACACCTCTAAAACATTGATAATAATGATATCTTTCGCAAGTATTGATTTAAATCTTAAATGAAACTAATAATTTTACTATTCTTAATGGGCAGACGAGATGTCTGCCGTGATCACGGTTGCTACAAAGTAATCGAAACGTCGGGAGTATGTAGTTTTTAAACATAATAAAATACGTGAAGTAATCAGAAAATATTAATTTCGTTTAAACATCGATAATATTCTCGCATAATGTTACAACAGTCCGATCAGAACGAACATCTATATACTTTATGAATCTCTCAACTAACTCTGAGCCACGAAAGTACCTTCAAACGATTACGATCTGTTGATCACAGCTTTATAAATTATTTAAATAGGAATATCCAGTAGAGATTCAAACATTCTTTTTATTATCATTTGAAACAACAAACAAGACAAACAAAATAACTTATTTGTGTGTACACAACCTGCTAACTAATTAAAACTATCATAATACTTTTTATTAAAACGTATAACCTTATCTTTCTTTTGGTTCAATCTCAACTAGTCACACACCTTGACTTTACACTTACTTCAATTTTATTATCAAACGACAATATTAAAAGCAATATAAAATAATCAGTACTTCTCGCACACTATGCATGTGTTAGTTTTACACTCACACATACAAACATTTCCTGCATACATACACGAGATTTGTAGATCGTCCTAGAGAATTTTTGAATGGAAAATAAGCACAGAGTGATTGTGCATACCGCCGCTCTGGCTGCATAGCGGCGCTAGCAGTTGGCAAAGGCCGATCGAAAATGTTTCGTTTTAACATTAGTAGATGGCACTTAATAACAAATAATGAATCGAATGTATTTTAAATGTCTGTTAACATTTGTATTTCGTAATGTATGATTAAAAATATGTAGGTAAGAATTAAACAATATAAGTTTAGTTGTTATATGGGGAGGGTATGCAGTGCGTATTTGCGTCTATGGTGTGCACACCAATACTTATATACCAATACTTATATAAAATCTTAAAAGAAATATTGTACTTCACAGTTAATAAAAAAAAGGATCTTTCTATAAATAAAAATAAGTGTCGTTATAATTTAAGCATATTTTTTATTCGTTTTATTATTTTCTTAGTTATACTCTCTTACATATTTAATAAATATTGCAAAAAAACTTACAATGCTTACAATAATATATATTTACTAGGTATATACTATATGTATACAATTATACAACATTGTAGGTAAAAACTATAACCTCTTTTGTTTCTTCTTATCACTACGCTTTACTTTGGTCTGTACCCGTGAACCTCGGTAACATAACAACAATAACAGTGTTTTCACTATTTTAAAAATAACAAACAAAAATGCTATAGGAATAATAAAAATAACGATTTTAACGACATCTATTATCAACCTCCTGTACCAGGACGTGTAAAAAGCAGGGAGCTTTGGTACGTCTCTATATTTAGCTACATACTCTGTCCAATAGATGGCGTTATCCATAACGTTAAGAGGTCTGTCTTTAAACATTTTCGATATACGTTCAGCGTTGTGTTGCATCCTATAATGAGAAAGATAACCTAGTTATAAAAAAGAAAATAGATAAATGTACAAATTATTTATATTACTGATTATACAATATGAATTACTCGGGCAAGGCTTTATTATAATTGAAATTAATATAAAACATGTTTGAGCCGATTGTAGTCGTGAAATAATATTTACACATATTTTATAAATTTTACTATATGTATTTTAAAATTGTCAGCATTTCGATAGAGAGGCCAAAAACGACGTTCAGGTTAAATTAGAGATAACGCCTAAAAGTTATATTTCCAGATTGTGCTCTATATATATTTTTTTCCTTATTTTTGTTTATTTAATGATACCTAAGGATGTCAAATAATATCACTATGGACAAGAGTTCGATCTATTATACTTTATATTATTAAGAGACCTAAATTATCATAATTTGTTTCAATCATAAGATGGATTCATGAAGTTAAAAAATGTTTTCACGAAATTTTAAATAGAATGGTTATTTTTTGTTCTCTGTGTGTTCATGTTTTCCAATTCGTTCCTAGCTGCAAATGTTTTAATCAGTTTCAACAAAGTACACATCTTTGAATTTTCATGTTCTTACTTTTTAATAATTCTTAGTAATTTTAATGACAAAGTCTTACAAAATAGTTAATATGTACTTTTTATCAACTCTTTAATATAAAAATTGAAGGATAATATTATGCACATTATCATTTAACAAATTGGAACAACTGATAAATTTTGAATATAAAAATTTTCATATCTATTCTTATACTTTTTGAGTAAAAAAATTAAAACTCCGAAAATGTTCTTATATAACATGAATACCATACAATATATCAATGGATTCTCAAATTACATATAAAAAAAAATTATAATCAATTACTTACTCGTCAGATGTTAATCTGTTTATAGCTGCAACCAAATTCTCGGAGTCAGCTTCATTAAAATACATTGAGAGACCGAGGCCACTTTGTTCGATGGCCGCTACATTTGAGAATTGATCACCAAAGAAAGGCATCGCCAGTATAGGTTTTCCACAATACGCTGCTTCAGATAGACTCAACATTCCACCATGAGATACAAACCCTCTCACTTTAGGGTGACCTAAAAAATAATGGCGTGACACCTTTTTAGTACGGGCTCCAATGTTTTACCAATTGTAATACCATATCTAAAACATAATAGCGATAAAATAGGCTGTCTTAACCCTTTTCTAAATAATGAGCCGCTAAATTAAGATCTTGAAATTTACATTATTATAGTTAAAGTTGACGTACAACCCTAGTTTATATTTAAATAAATTTAAATGAACTTAATTATTAAATTATTCTTAATATTATTGATATTTAAATGGTTTTTAAAAAGGGTAATTGTTATTTAATCTTAATGAGTTTTTATTACAAGCAAATATTTGTGTCGTCTCAATTAATTTTAAAATATGTGTAATATCATGTACGTATACATTTTAATATGTTTAATAATTTGAAAAATAATTATTTTGTATGGCAAAGAACATTTTTTATAAATTGTTTGTAATCTGTGCTTTTTATTATCTGTATTCAAATTTAATCTGCTATTTTATTAAGCAGGAATTTAATCAAAATAAATGTATGTTTAAATTTTATTCGTTTGGCAATATATGTGCGTTTATATAGAGGATGCTAATACAATTAGATAATATTCTTAACCTCAACCTTGCGAACACGAAGTGACAGGCGGACAAGGCCCAATCGAATAACAGAACAATCTTTTTTCCTCTTGAACTTCCTACTAGACTTCCTCATAGTCATAAAAACTATTACGTTGATAAGTAATAAAACTCACTCAATATTGGCTCTGACAACACGACACAGATATTATATATTATATAAAACACTAACCTACCTTAAATATGTTAAAAAAAGTTCCATGAGCAAGAAAATAAATACTTAAAATGTGTGGGAGATTACAATTTATTTATAGATACTTACATAATATATCAAGTTGAGGAAACCAAGAACTTATACGTATATTGTCATTGCCGTCTGGTAAAGAACCGTTTTCTAATTTCCATAAAACCTTTTGGGGGATTTTTTTGAACGCATCCAAAAACGCTTGTCTTCTTTTTTCGGACATCAGACTTGATTGCAAATTTGAACCGAAGCTAACGTAAATAACTCCATGTTTTGCAGATGATAAAAATTCTTCTATATCCTAGAATAATATTATTTAGTAATATTAATAGGAATTCACAGTATATATTAAGAGTATGTATTATTTATATATGTGTATAGAGAATGATTACAAAGATAAACGTACCCGTGAAACTGGTTTCGGTTTTTTAATATGAATGCCGCCTATTTCGACTAGCTGAGGCGGAAGCGAACGGGCTCCCGTCACCGAAAAGTGTTGATAGACAAACATCATTTTAATTTTATCCCTAATTATCATTTCAAAATCTAAAGAAGCGTTCGGAGCGTGTCGTTTGAAAACATTGTTAATAATTCGCTGAAGTTTCCAACTTCCAATAGTGTTCATGTAAAGATTCATACAATAGTTTTCTATTGCTTTTAAGATAGATGGCTGTGTGCCGACGTTTGAAAAGTAAAATGCATCTGAGAGGACATCAAAAGGAATACCGAGTCTTGAGTAAGCCCAGGGCAGCAGTGTATGTGATGTTATACCAATTATCGGCGCATCGTACATCGTTCCAGCTAACACAAGTCCACAATCACTCATAAACTGCTCCACGAATATCAAATCAAACCTTTCGCCCTCACTTAAAAATGTTCGCATATTAGGATTCGTTAAAAGATTCTCACAATCACCCTCAACGTTATTCCCGCCAAGAATGAAATGGTTTAAAAAGTTACTAATGTGTAAATAATTTGAACTGATATTCTCAAATTCCGACATGGGAGGCATTTTTCTAGACGACGGTAAACTTATGTCGACGTATTTTAAATTTGGATGAGGATTACTATCCGGATAATTATTTATAACAGTAACACGATGTCCTCTAACAGCTAGTTCTTGGAATAGTGGTTGGAACGCCATATAATGACTTTTGAGAGGTAGAGACACTATAGCCAGAATGTTTAGAGCGGACACTCGATATGTATACAATATAATTATAAAACAGATTGATAAAAGCTTGCGAATAGCCATCTCGGGGTCAATAACCTCTCGGAAATTTATTTCGCACTCACGAGGTGACGGTTGGCCTCGACGACCGTCTGTTATTAACTGAATGATTGACTTTGAAACTCGTTTTTATTTACTTTATAGTATCTTCTGCGTTAGTTATCTTCGAAATAGGATGCGCTATTAGTATTTAAACAATTTAAGAGTTCATTTTCTTGTACATACACATTTGCATTTGCATTGTTTAAAGAGATAAATCTATTATTATTTACTTTTTACTTGCTGATAACTTCCTATAAACGTTTTAAAATGTAATAACTCAGTGAAAAACTTTCTTTACGTAACACAACGAAGTAAATATTTCGTCTAAACAATGTTTGTTTGAATATATTTTCTTGTATTTTATAAGTACTTTATCTTTAAAAAAAAGACCTGTGCCTAACTGACTCAAAACCTCTGATATAAAATAAAGATTTATAATAATTTAAACATTTTAGTTGTATCTAAATGTTACTGCATTTGAAAATGTACCTCATTACCTCATAGAGCTATAGGTAAAATTCAAGACTAAGAAAAACTGTAAGGTTATTTAAAGTTGCAAAAAATATATATTAATATTTATTTTTATATAAATTAATTTAAACTGATGACATTCACAGGTTCACGAGACTGACATAATAGAATTATGCACACCTGCGTGTCGATTTGTTAATATTTGTTTATCTGTGTCAATTGCCATGAAATATTTTTAATATATTTTTTTCTTTTTAATCGTCGCGAACAAAAAACAAATTCTTTGGCTCTATTAAAAGTACAATTTTAATCAACGTATAACTACGACGACAATATGCAACGCTAAAAATAATCAATTTATAATAATTATTTAACATTGCGTTATCACACTTGTAATTTTTAAACAAATTGTTACTATTCAACCTTTTAACAATGGAGACACATAACATTTTAGTCACCACACATGTTTTTCTATATTCTTTAATACAAACTGCATGTGTTGGTAAATTTACACACACTTACATCCACAGATGTTTTATTATGATATTTGTTTTAATATAATTATTTTCTCCATTAAAATTCCAACAATCCACTCAATCTTATTTATGCATATTATAACCAATTAAATATTAGCGGTACGGCTATTGTTACAAAAAACCTTATACCTACATTATTTTGTGATTTGCCTACTATGAACTATCTGCAAGTTTTCTTGATGTGCAAACATTTGTGCTGGGAATTTTCGGTTACAAATATATTGTATGAGCTTTTAAATATGGGTATAAAAATAGCATTCATCACACAAATGAGGAAAATCAAAAATTGACTAGAAATAAATAAAAAAATATAATATTGACTTTTCATGCAGTAATTATAATTTATATGGTATGTTACTTAAATATTAAAAAAAAAATTGTATTATGTGATTTTTTTTTTGTTTCTCAAATGTAAGATTCAATACAAATTCAAACTCATTTAAAAAAAATACAACAGGTACATATAATTAACAAAAAGTTAAAAGGATTTTAAAACAAACTTCTACATAGAGTACAAGAGTGTCTAAGCTAAACTACGTCCTCTTTTATGATTGCCACTAAAAATCATTTTCTACAGATTATATGATCATGCCTATCTATATTTGTTACTTGTTATACCAATGACTTGAAAAATTCAAGGTTACTTCCCATAAAAATTACATATAAAATCTCTAGTTATAAAATCTTAAATTAACTCTTAATATTTGTACAAAAAGGTTTTACTGGTTATAACAAAAACAGCATGTTGCACAATCGACTTAAATATATAGAATTTCTAAAGTCAAAACATGATTTTTACCAACATGAAATAATATATATACATAGAATTATAAAAAAACAACAGTACTAAAACACATTTATTTACAATACCACATTAAAATAGGATTAAATAGATATTTAATTAATGAATAATTTCATTATAATGAATAATTTGACATATAATTAATAAATCAGAACAATCTTTTCTGTACAATATACAAACAAACGGCCAGAAAGAATAGAAATGCGAAAAACATGATGACTTTATCAGTGAATTCCCGTCGGCCATATTTCTTAAGTAATTTGCTTGACTGCGATATTGTGCTCCCTGTGTTTAAGAGTTCCGCTTGAGTACCCTGAAATAACAAAATTATTTATTTAGATAATTCTTAATTTAAATATCTATAATAACCACCATTTAGGTTTGCTTTTATAAGTTTCAATTTGTGATTTAGAATAGACAATTTATTTTTTTCTTTATGTAGAATACACATATTTGACCTCTTTGTACAAATTTACCAATTTTAATGTTGGTGATTATGTTTTAATGTATTTTTTTGTTGATGATTGATAAATAAAATAAATATTTTAGGTTGAACATAGACTTATAAGCAGAATTAACATTTAGATTTTTATAGTTTCATATATTTGTGTCATATTTCGTTTTTCATAGCTAACAACTGTAACATATTAAACACAACAATTATATAGTTTAAATATGTTTACAACTCCCAGGATCAAATATGACAAATTAACTATTTATTTATCATATATTTTGAAACCTATGTTACAAATAGGAAAATACAAATATATTTATACACTTACATGCACTGCTGAGCTGGATGATACTAAATTGTCCAATGTATCCTGACTTCTCTGTGTTGTTGCCGCTAATTGTCTACTTATAGAGAGCAATTGCTCTGTCACACCTGAAACCAAGATATATTTAGAGTACAAAAAATTTAAAATAAATTCTAATCTTATTGAAATCCTTAGGAAAAGAGCCTTTTGTATCCAGTTATTTCCTAACATATATTATCAAAAAGGTGTTGATATATAAGTCCAACCAATTATTACATACCTGTGGACATTTGTAATAAACCATCTCTATCGATCTTCTTCTTCCTATTCTTAACTCCACTTTCCTCTCCATCCACCGACTGAAGAAGATGATCTCTTTGTGCTTTTTCTATTGCAAACATGCTACTGATATTCGCTTCCTTAAAGTCTTTTAACAGCCTGAGAAACACAAACAGACATTTGTAATCTTAGGTATAAATAATAAAGTTAATTTTTCAATGTATAAGTTAGTATTTTTATTAACTTACCCAGACAAAAGATGCCTCTGTGATACTAATTCCAGAAAATATCTTTCTTCTCCTGTATCATTGGCATATACTTCCAAATTCTCTAATTCATCTCTTAACAGTCTTATTTGATGTCTCCCTTTTTCATTCAATTCATTTAATGCTCTCATTGAAGTTCTACATTCTAATATATCCTAAAATTGAATGAATCATCTAAGTATAAATACATTGTATATAGTACGTAAAATTATACTATTCATTAGCATTTACAAATTTTACCTGTATTATTGCTTTCACTTGGAAATGATATTTGGCTAGACTTTTAATAAAAATCTGAAATGTTGAATCAATATTGTCTATTTTCTGATCGTGCTTCTGATTGAGCCTGTGATGCTTTAAGTCCATCCTCAAATTCATTGTGATATATATTTGTATGGCACTGTATTTTATGCTTAAATTACGAAAAAAATATCAATACAATACGTATCCAATGCCATTTGTCATTTGTAACTAGCCCTACGAATTTTGTTGTCATTTACTTGTCATCATAAAGCAGACTAAAAAGAAACTTATAGTATATATCAACAATTGTCAAAAAAGTCATAAAAGGTATATGAAAATTTATAATTGCACAATATATAATAAACAGAACAATTCAAAAGTATAATTAAAAAAATATGTGAAAATTATTATCTTTAAATAGGAAATGAAATAAAGATGCAGATATGTATTGTATGCTAAAAAACTTTTTGATGCTCTTTTAATAAAGTTATAAGTAACACTTCTTTTCAGATATTTGGAATTAGTATGAAATTTTTCTGAAAATTATAGGATACAGGAAATTTAATCATGTTTTATTTCTAGATTTTGTGAAAAATAGTAATGATAACAAGAAAAAACCAAAATAACGTATCTAACTATTTCTTTATTTCAATCTGCTGATTGCACAATAGATATAAAAAATATAATGAAAGTATATATATATATATATATATATATATATATATATATATATATATATATATATATATATATATATATATATATATATATATATATATATATATATATATATATATATATATCTCTTCTTCTTCTACCTGGCAATTTCCCAGCTATAGCCAGGGTCTGCCTTACATGTTGTGAAGAGTTTTTGGCTATTTGTTTTTACGACCGGCCGCCTGCCTGACATCAACCCTCTTTTGGGAATCAACATTAATCAGTGATGTCTAAATACTCTTAGAAAGTACATATGATTCGGAAAAATCACATTGGTACTTGCCCGGGCCAGGATCGAACCCGCGCCCTCGGCGACGAGAGGCGGGCCCTTTAACCACTGAGCCACCACTGACTTATATATATATATATATATATATATGTATATATATGTATATATATATATATATGGCTTCATTTAACCAACATTTTTTCTTAACAATTAATTGTCACGCGTAGATGTTGCATCCACAAAGGTCAGCCAATAAATACATTTTTTATCCAAAGAATTTCCATATTCCTAGTAAATTCTTGTACAAGTTCTTCTCGTTCGTGTTAAATAAATTTATATGAGAATCGTGTTATATTTTTGAACCTACATATATTAAAGATTCATAACCGGAACTGGATTCAAATATTGTATTGTGTAATGCTGAGTAGACGCTGCGAGGGTTAGGCCCTGTTTGTTTTTAGATAGAAGCGAGTTGGACGATCAGTTGGACGATCAGTTGGTCGACCAGTTGGACGATCAGTTGGTCGATCAGTTGGTCGATCAGTTGGACGATCAGTTGGACGATCAGTTGGTCGATCAGTTGGTCGATCAGTTGGTCGATCAGTTGGACGATCAGTTGGACGATCAGTTGGACGATCAGTTGGTCGATCAGTTGGTCGATCAGTTGGTCGATCAGTTGGTCGATCAGTTGGACGATCAGTTGGTCGATCAGTTGGTCGATCAGTTGGTCGATCAGTTGGTCGATCAGTTGGTCGATCAGTTGGACGATCAGTTGGTCGATCAGTTGGTCGATCAGTTGGTCGATCAGTTGGACGATCAGTTGGACGATCAGTTGGTCGATCAGTTGGTCGATCAGTTGGACGATCAGTTGGACGATCAGTTGGTCGATCAGTTGGTCGATCAGTTGGTCGATCAGTTGGACGATCAGTTGGTCGATCAGTTGGACGATCAGTTGGTCGACCAGTTGGACGATCAGTTGGTTGATCAGTTGGTCGATCAGTTGGACGATCAGTTGCCCAACCAGTTGCTCGACTAGTTGGTCGATCAGTTGATCGATTGAATGAAAATCTTATAATCTCGATCTCTTTGAAAATCAATGAATTAATTTGCCGACTAGTAACCGAAACGTCGGGATCATCCCTACTAATTTTATAAGCAAAAGTAACTCTGTCTGTCTGTTACGCTTTCACACCTCTAAACCACTGAACTGATTTTAATGAAATTTGATACAGAGATAGAGTTGACCTTGAGAAAGAACGTAGGAAATTTTTCATCCTAGACTTTTGAAAGGTTCTCTTGGAAACACGATGTAACCGAACTCCACGCGAGCGAAGCTGCGGGCGGAAAGCTAGTATAATATATATTGAGAGGATCGACTTACTATATCGCACCTCCGCTCAAATAGTGTCATAAGTCAAAAATCCCAACTTTCGAATAAAACGCGTTTGAAGTTAATGCTAACTTTATTTTTCACTTTTCGGCTCATAACTCAAAAACTGTGAAAGTTACTGCAATATGATTTTAAGTAAGTTATAATGATTTTTGACACTCAACAAAATGGTGTAATAGACTTTTGGAATATATTTAAAAAAAAATAACAATTTTTGAGTTGTGACACTTTAAGGATGAAAAAAACGAATAATTTACGAAATATTGACATCTGTGGATAAGTAGTTGAACTATGGGCATGACATTATTTGAGATAAGATTTCGAAGTTTTCTGATTCCAATAGTGCAATAAAATTGAATTCAACTTTTTTTGAGTTGTGACACTATGACACTGTGAGCGGAGGTGCGATATGTGTCCTTACCTAACCTCACGTGCTGGTGGTACTACGAATGAATCTGAACATTGATAATCACATCAAATACAACCATTAGTAGAAACCGGAACATCTGAATTTGAAATAGCATTAGTAATATAATTAATGGAATGTATATTATGAAACCAAGTAGAAGCTAAAAATTCGCTATCAAACTTTACGGTACCTTCGTACTTATGTATATATTGGCATAAAGTCATTTTTTGTTTCGACGCTCCTCAGTTAAAAAAATATTTGAGGTCAATTTAATGTTAATTTTTTTTCCTATTTCTGATCATAACATCGTATATTCGTATCTGTTTCAAATTGTGTTAAAGGTTTCACTTTGAGTTTTTATGCTGTCTTCTCAAATTTCATATTTACCTTATACGATTCCTTAAATAGAATTCCATTAATTTTTTCGTATCAATAGAAAAGAAAAACGCTCAAAAACACTATTTTAATATTATTTATTTGAACAGCGACAATATTGATGATGGAATCACATCTACAAACCCTTAACACTTCATGTTTCTGTGTACACCCAAACATTTACTAGTTCAATATTACTCCGGTGTTATGGAGATGCCAATTCTTCTGAATCCTCATCTAAATATAAAAGGTGATGAGCTTTGTTTCCTTTTAAACTTCGTCTGCAAGTAGGACAAACCGCCCTGACCCTTATTGCCGTCAAAAGGCAATTCGTGCAAAAAACATGACCACATATAGTCGAAGATATAGATTCTTTACCTAAATTATTGAAACATATCGGACATTTGATCCTTAGATATTTCTTCTTACTTATCTTTGTCTTAGTTTTTCCCTTTTTTACTTTCTTTTTTTTAGTTGGATTTGTCTTAAGAATATCAACACCTGGAGTCATTACTAAATTTCAATTAAAAAACTATTAAATAAGTATTAATTCACAAATAATTTATTTTGTTACACCTGTTTTTGACACTTGATGTGAAAGAAGAAAAGTCAACCATAATTACTGTGTCATGGTTATAAAGGTTTAATAGAATAAAGAAATATACATACAATATGGTATCTTTAAAATTGAGAAATATATAGCCATGTTTAATAAAAATAATAATATTAATTATTTTATATCCAAGCCACTTTTAAGTTATAGACCCTAATATTCCTATTTTCTAATTCACATTGTTGTGTTAAGAAAACGACTCTCATTATACCTTCTAAGATCGAAGGTAACTCTTGAATTAATCATATAATGATAGTTTCCTTTATCAACTCCATTATTTGTACTATTTCTTGAATCCTTCATTATTCTTTACCCTCATTTACTTCGGCCTAGTTAGATGTCTAACTCTGTTCACCTAAAAATGCTATCAATTTATATGATTGTGATCTATTATCGACCTTTAAATTTTTAATGTACTTCCAATGTCTTGACACAGTAATTAACAGAATTATCACTTAAAACCTCCTTATCATATGAGGCCCTGTGTAATGTCTATAAAACAGCCGCTTCACAAGTAAAAATTCCAAAGAATTTGAAAGGTAGCACGCAGAAAAGTAAGCATTAGCAGTATTAACAACGTAAAGTTAACCAGACTTTAGTACCTAATACCGATGTCTTTGAGAAACTTCTGTTTGTTGTTCGTTGTCTTTACATATTTCATAAGTTTATCGATTAGTTTCAGTCATATGTGTGGACAGCAAACAGTTATAGTAAGCATAACAGTTATAGTAGCAACAGCTTCACTAACTCTTTTGATAATAATAATTTAAAGATACGAACATTCCCTTCACCGTATTCTGAACGCCTTACAATCTTCAGTCTATTAGTACCGGACCATGTGACTGTCATAATCTTACTGTAGATTATCGATTGAACAAATGGATTTGAATTTTAAAGTTTTTCTTTTCAAGATCAAATCAATTACAATAAATAGTTCTGGAATATTGTAAGTAGGTATGTATTTGGTGACAAATTATATACAGAGATGCAATTGCGTCTTGCAGTTTCTAGTAGTCTATTTTATTGACATTAAAACTAAAATTATTTTTACAGTAACATTTATCTTGCCCATTCAAAATCGGGATATTCAAAACTTCATATTTAAATTTCAAAATCACGACTGTACTTACGTAACTAAGTTACCTAAGAAACCCATCTGGTGCCAGTTCTCTCTGTTCCATTTAGCCAACTTGTAGGAACACTTATATCTACTTAAAAACTCACACCACTTTATTTTACACTGTAAACAACGATCTCCTATTTTAAATGCTATGGCATCATTCGCACTGGAATAGCGGAATATTTTGCAAATATTGACGAACCATCTCCTTAAAATTAATTCTCAGTGATCTGATTTCTCAACAAATTCCATCTCATCTTAAGCATCGTCTTAAATACTCCTTGACCGTATCTTTAATATGATAATTTAGCGTAGCCTACATAAAAAAAGTCGTGGCAATCATTTTATAAGGATATTTTCGTAATATTGCCGTACTATAAGTATGTATAATATAATATAAGTATATTGGCTATATTCATATATAATGCTACATTCATATTTAATAGAATTAAGTACGGCAATATATGTTTCAAATATATGTTTCAAATAATACAATTAATAAATAATGTATATCATGTCATGTAACAATACAGTTTTATTTTTATTTTTTGGTTTATTGGAGAAAAAAACAGAGCACAGGAATGTAATAAAAAATATAAACAATAACACAGTAAATTAAAGACAAATAATACCTGAGTCCTTAAACATTTCTCACTAAGAAATATAGATAAATAAAAAGAGAGGCCGCTTGGGCACGCATCTCTAATAATACACTTGGTAAAAGTGATGTGTACAAATAAAGTGTGTAAACTTAATTTAAGGATGTGAAGGGAGTGGTGGTAAATGTGCAGAGAATATTTAGCGTTTAAACTAAACTAAACTCTTAAACAATGTTAATGAAAAACAGGACTGCGAGGTGGTTTATTTTTTTTCAAATAATATGTTCCGCAATTTGGCTCTTTTTCATTCTTCACATGGGTGAGTATGTGCAATTTTCCACAAATAATAAGTTTTTTTTAAATTTTATGTACTTAATGTTAACCATTATTTTGTGCTAACGATTGTTTGTACTTTCTATTTCTATATTGTCTGTATTTGTAATGACAATTGACTACAGATTGTCACTCATAAACGGTTTTAGTTTTATTCACATTGCGCGCTTTAATGTTATGCCAGCGTTTACAAGATTAAAAAGCAAGATAAAACGTGAATTATTAAATGTCTACCAAAAACTTTAACCATTTACGTTCATGTGCTCCGAAAAACTACAAGCTGGTGAATTAAATCTAAGCCGTTAAACTATAAAATGTGTTATTAATTTCAAGTTAATAGTTCTATTTGTAGTTTTACTAATCGACAACATCGTTTAAAACAGCGAATATTGAATATGCGTTATAGAGAGCCTGCAAAAAAAATCATGCGTCAGTAATTTTTAAACAGCATTCAATAATTCTGAACATTATATTTTACCTGACTGTATGTCTGAATGCACATGATTGCCATGCCTCCAGCGCTTAACTTGAGCGGTCTTTGTGCTACTTTGATGATAATCAAGAGGTCTTTTTGCATGTCTATAGGCCAAGATGTCCATTCAGACTCGTACGCGGCCTGCGCTATTCCTGTACTCTAAAATAATGTAAAAATGACCGATAATAACCATGTTTAAATTCATATTTCATATGGTATTAACTCTTAATATCTATTCGCAGTAAAAGTGTAAATATTTAGAACTTACCTGAACAATTAATTCATCGCCCAGGTAACAAAATATGTAAGCATTAAATAAAGCAAGGCCGAGAAATGTTAGAAAACTAGCTAATAGAGTTTTTTCGTCCAAACCGACCTACAATATACAAAATGTAAATAATTAATACAAATATATATAATAGGTATATACAGGGTGACTGGTGAATTACTATCAATATTTAAGGAGCATACTCGGTACATGATTCTCATTCGAATTATGTAAAAAATAGGTACTTAATTTTTGACCAAATTTCCGTATAAATAAATAAAGTGTGTACACGTCCCAAGTGGTTCAAGTGTGGACGCTTACGGCGAGGTGCTGATACAACAACACGCCGCCGCGCGCGAGTGTGTGTGTGTGTGTATACCTAATCTGTAGGGTGTTCATACGATGCGTAATTAATTACATAACTTTTGGTTAACTTTACTTAGAAGTTTATTAATATTTATGTTATATAAATTTTTATTTTGTCATATATGATCGTCAAATATCACGTCCTTAAATATCGATAGTAATTCACCAGTCACCCTGTATTTATTTTAATAATATCACTTACAACTGTAACCATTAGCGCATTTAAGCACAGCTCTATTGTAACAGCCAAATTTTGAATCAGAAAGAATTCTTTAAAGATGTCTGTAAATGTTTTGGTGTACCTAAAATTTAAGTATTAGTAAACAAGAAACATCTAGGCACCTCGTTAAACGAAGATTTTCTTACCTCATTAAACGGACATGTTTCTTAATAATATCCTTAAACTCTTTCCGAGCTTGTATCTCATTATGTTTTGTATTTCCCAAATTTTTTAACCCCCCCTGAATATGTAATAGTTGATCGCAAAAATACATAATAATGCTGCATACTATCCCTTGCATCGCGAAAGCTCTATACAGACAAGGGACCACGAAGCAAATTGCTAAAATCTGAGCAGCCATTAATAAAGACATCCTGTCTTTGAAAGGATCGAAGGGCATCCAAGCCTCAACAGTCATCTCAGCTTTGTATTGGCTCAACAAACTAAAGGCTGAGACCAAAGCAGTGGATATAAAAGTTATGAAAATCACGTGAATCGCCATTAAAGTTTTTCTGTCATCACTAACTTTATCCTCAGAATTCTTTATTTCATTTATCAGTACATTCAATTTCTCCCTCTTTATAACAAAGAAAAATATTTTTAAAACAAAATTATAACCAACTAGGGTCTTATCCAAGTTGGTCATCAGCATTATAACATTATTCCTTTGCTGGTAGGTTCCTATTCCAGTTATTATAATAAAAATTATTGATAGCAAATGTAGCTTGAATTCGTATATTTTGTACAAAATCTGCTTATATTTTGGCCAATCTTCTTTAGGCCATAAGCCTACGTAAAACAGGTATTGCAAATTGAAATCAAATAAATCACTTTCGCAAATTCTATCAGTAAATCTTTTGAAGAAAGACATTTTCCGTACAAAATCGCAGAATGAATACTTATCGAATTAAAACTGCTAGCAATTTCAGTTCATAGTTAAATCGGTTAGAAAAGGTAATTTGAATTTTAAACTTCTTTAAATATTTGATTATAGGGGATTTTAATTTTAGCTTACTTGCAATGTAATGAAGTAAATTGGCTGGTAAGTAGATATGAATATGGAAGGTGCTTTAAATATTCCTAATATAGGTATGTTTTTATTTACTTAAAATAATTTACATAGTATAGCGCGTAACTTGTTCGTGGATTTTAGGTATCTTGGTTCGGGACGCCGGAATCTATAACAGTGTTTTGAACCTCTGTCCATCAACATAATTCGGTTTCTAATTCATAAAAACTCCATATCTATATCAAAAATGACAGTTTCTGAAATTTATACTCGAGTCTACCTGAATCCGAAGCCTATAGTTGTAGTCAAACTTGGTTTTTTAATGGAGGTGCATAATATACAGTGTACAAAGTATTATTAGTTTTTATTCAATGTGAAGATTGTTGACATTGATCAACCAGTACAATTTTATTGGATACTTGCCCTCGGAATTTTCTTTATAACTGGGTTTATTATGTACTTACAGACTTTTTTAATTTTAAATTAAAAGAACAAATCAAAATATATTTTCTTAACACATTAAGGATGTCATGTAGAGGCCCTAATCCCTTTTCATAATCTATTTTTTGTGTGGTACTCTTCGACAAAGCATTTAAAGTGCAGCAGTTAGTTTATGCTGAAGATTCAAAGAGACGATATAAATGAAATCGTTTTGTTACATAGAAATATGTGTAGTTAAAATTAATGAGTTAAGTATAATCTGTCATTTCGTACTATACTCGTTATATGAGCACAAGACGTCAAAAAAAGCTCAGTTATTTATGTAAGACTCGTGTATTTAAGTATACATATTACATATATCATTTATGAAGCAACTAATTTAGGTTAAAAAAATTAATGTTAGAAATAAAAGTGCAATATATTTTAATACAGAGTTTTATTTCAGTCTGAATACATTAGGAGAAAGCCTCGTGGATGAAAGCGAAACTGGTCTTTGTATATCTTGTCATATATTTACATTTGCTTCTCAATAATTTTACTAGTTTCTTTGGTCCGCAGCAATATAGGTTTAAGTGTTGACTAAAAAAGAAAAATATACAAATTATTCTTTTAATATAGCAAAACGTGTATTGTTTTTTTGAGAACATTGCTATTGTAGAAAAGTAAATATTATTACTATTGTACATTGCTATTGTAGAAAAGTAAATATTATTGTAGAAAAGTAAGTATTATGTACCTTTAAATAAAATAACAGAAAAAAATTAAAAGAATTTATCAAATAGATTCGGCTTCTAGAAAATGCTTTTGTTAAAAAAAACTTACCCAGGATATAAATGCACCCAGTATCCAAAAACCTTATCCCAATGCGGTCTTCCGCGTCTTACTCTACACCCAACTAATGGATACTTCTTCGCTATATCGAAATCATCATCATTAGCAATCATCAACTTATTACGTTTCAACTGTGGCGTTAGCAACGTAGTCTTCTCATCATCCAAAACATTCATCACCTTTCCAGTCTCGTTCATTATCACCACGTGGTTAATTTTTGGTACATCATTATTCCTTGTGACATATAACTCTAAATGAAGTCTGTCTGGTTTGTTAGCGTTCCTGAGCTGTCTTATGACGTTGGTCGCTAATTCTGCGATCCATGTCAACTCCTTCTCAGTTCTGACAATCCATATCAAATGGATTCTTCCTGGTACCGAACTTTTAGGGTTTCTGAAATATTTATTTACCTGTTTTAAATCAACACTATATTCGGAAACAAAACGGATAGTACCATATTTCCGATTATTCCGTTATTTACAAAATTAAGAAATATGGCTGATAATGAAAATATATTGAAATCTAAAACTATAAACACATGAAAATTCTTCCATAAATAAAACATATATTGAGAACTGTAAGGTTTAGTGTCAATAATAATACCATATATTATGCAAGAGAACTAGAGACCTCGAGATATTCTCTACTTCTCAGATAACAGTTACTTATCCTTAAATCGAGAAATTTCCAATGGTCCATAATTCTAGAAACATCCTAAAAGACCATACATAGACAATATAACAGCATTAAGCAAACAAACTGACCGACACATGTCTTCAAGGAGAGAAACAAAGGGTGTGATGCCGACTCCCGCCGCCACACACAACGTCGTCTCAGGAGATCGAGCTGCCTGGAGAGGACTGCAGAATGGACCATCGACCAGCACGCTATAACAAAATAATATATGTACATATATGTTATATTTGTACGGCAAAATATTCTAACTTAGCAACCTTCGCCACATGCAATATTCCAGTTCCTGGATTTGTAAATTTATTTGCCATTCCATATTTGCTTTATGAAATTTTATTGGAATATAAGCTAGGGATTGCCTTATAGTAAAAAATATATATTATACAAATTTATTAGATTTATTTACAGATTACTATATTATACAAGTACAGTACAGGAGTACTTGCATAAATATGTAAAAAATAAACTAATATTTCACGTAATAAAATTTCGTTAAATCTTATTCTTACTTTAAGTTATGTGCTCCTTTTTCCTTCAGAACTCTCTCCAAGGCCTCGGTCCAATCTCCCTTAACTTTGATCCAAACAACAAACTCTGAATGTTCTCGAGTCGGAAGCTGTAAAAAAATTATTTAACCTCTATGAAAATTGACCTTCCACATAACATCCAATTATACATATTGAGGTGAAACGAAAATTTTCAGAAGAAATGGTATTGTATTCATTAGTAGCATTCATGAATATGAAACCAAGAAAACACCAAACATTTGACAAAGATTTTAAATCAGAGAGACTTCAAAAGAGCACATTCTTTTAAACTAAATTAATTTCCATACACTACTAATTCGGAAGATAGTTGGTAATTATTCTGCACACAACTCACCTGTATTACAGTAAAGGGATGCCATTCAACAAGAGAAATATCACGACACTGAATGAGTACGTACTGACCGCTACGACATAGCAACTTCTCTTGAGGGTAGAGTGTTAGACTTATAGTACGACCAGCCATGTGATTCACCTAAAAAACGTTAATACTACATACATATAGTATTTTCAACTGGAGTAACAATTATTCCAGTTAAAAAATACAAACAATTCACCATTAAATGGATTTCATTCGAGATCTATAGAAAAATAATTATTTTAATGATATTTTAAAAACTCAATAGTACAATCTTAATTTTAAGCGATTTTTCCAATGATTACTTCTTATATCGAAATAAGAACATGGAAAAAAATTTATTGTAAATGTTTTTTATACGGGAATTTTACACATGTACATTTCAAGTCGATTTGTTATTTCTTTGTAAATTAAAAAAACTTTTGCCTTCAAATGCTTATAATTTAAAAAAAACTGTGTTTTACCATCTTATTGCAGAAATCGTTTGAAATACTGAATCAGTTGAAATCAGTCGAAAATTAATTTAAGTTTCCCAAAACTTCCATACTCTTTCGGCTGTTTTTTTATAAAAATTACGGCAATTTATTTAGTACACGCAAAACCATTTAATAAAAATATTATTATTACACACTTAATTTTTCCTTTATGGTATCGAGATATTTCAATAACATATTATAAAATCGATGTTTTTCAATCATTTCCGGCTGCATTAAAAATTAAATAGGATTAAAAGAGTTCAATCGGTTAGTGGACTTGATACTGCCATTACTTGTATGTAAAACGACGATGTAAGCAGCTTATTCAGATATCAGTTTAATCAAATGCTATTCAATCTGCTGTAAAGGCTGAGGGGATTATGAACTTAACTAGGTCAGAAAATATCTCCGTTTTAATTAACAGCTGTACTTACATGAACTATCTGCACGTTCGATAGATTTCTCGTACATATCCTCCATAGCATATCAATAAAAAAACAACTTAACGGAAAAGCCATCCATAACCATGTCTGAAAAATAAGGTTTTATTGTTCAAATCTATGTTATTTTATTAACAATATTCTGTCTCAAATACGGATGATAGGGAAGCGTTAAATTTATTCGTAATTTTTTTCATATTCAAAAATTTTTTACCAAAGGGTTATAAACCTAAAATCTTTGGTAAATTCTCTTGAACACTAAAACTAACCGCCACTGAGGTACGATTTCAGTTATTGCAGTTATAATTTATAAACAAATTACTACTATGTGTAAAAGAAAAATGTTTATTGATGTACTGGAGGCCCTTATTTACTTTCTGAAAAATAGCACGTTGATAGTAAGGTCGAACAAAAATGTTATGTTCTTATTTTATTAAGACATTTCTTATATGTATGTATGAAATTAACAACTCAATTTCTCCATTATAATATAAGATTATGTCTTTTAAAATTATGTTTGAAATAATACAATATGTTTTTCAAAGGTGTTTCAATTACATAGTTAAAAACATAGCTAATAAATAAAATTAACTTAAATTTATCATCGACTTTTACTAATTAAAAGTACAACAGCGATTACATTAATGAACGCAGAAGGGATATTGAGAGGAAAGGTAATTAAAAGTCCTCATCGACTTGATATCAGAATTCAGATTGGATCTTAATTGATCGTAAGTATTTTTTAAATCATTTTAAATTAAAAATCACCGAAATAATTTATTCAATCAACAAGTCAATTACGTCAGAATCATTGATTTGTAACTGTCCATTGAACAAAGCATTCATGTTACATTACTGGAACCGAGATGGTTCATAAATTCCTTTGAGCTCTTGACATTAATACGTTTAGTTAAATCGATCAAGGATTCTCAATGTGAACTACTACACCAATAAATACTACAGTTCCCAAAAATATACTTAATAAGAATAGTACATACTTCTACTAAATTTGAACTAATCAGTAATTTTTCTAAGTACTTTTTGTATTTTAACCTTTATGAAACTATGTAAATAGTAGTGGCCTAGTGGTTAAAAGGCCCGCCTCTCATGCACGAGGGTGCGGGTTCGATCCTGGGCAAAGTACCAATGTGATTTTTCCGAGTCATATGTACTTTCTAAGAATATTTAGACATTGATTAATTCTGATTCCCAAAGAGGGTTAATCTCAGGCTCAGGCAGGCGGCCGGTTGTAAAAACAAATAGCCAAAACTAGTCACAAGATGTAAGGCAAACCCTGGCTATAGCTGGGAAATTGCCAGGTAGAAGAAGAAGAATATGTATATAATATTCAATGTATTTTAAATTCACTTCATTAAGCACTATTTCAGCCAATATCGTTAATATTGACAATAGCGCTAAAAGCTCCAAATAGGAATATTAAATTCGTCCCCCAGACATAAGAGCCTTCCCTTAACATAAAGGCACTCTAAATATAATTAGTGTAACATAATTACAAAGGAAAATGCATCAACGTATGGAAATTAGTCATTTATTATATTACGAATAGTTTTGCTAACATTACATATAACTTACCGTGGATTTGATTGCGACGAACTGATGTATTTGATTGTCTTGTGTTATAGTAGCATTGGCTATCACGTCGCTTGGGTTTGTTAAAACTTCTTCTTTTAAAACTCCGCTGGGAAGATAATAAATAAACATTTGTTACAAGTACAGATATGTGATTCTTACAAAGTTACATACACACACATACGCATATACACACATACATACAAACATGTATGAACGATAAATTTCAATAAAAATTTCGTTCTATGTAAAATGATTACAATTACAATATAAATCTTCATTAATTACGATGTTTACACTTGACATTAATTAAAATTACATATACTTTATTATTATTTGTAATACAAGGCTACAATATTAGAGGGTTTAGGAGCTTTACCTTAAAGGATGTACCATCAACAAAGCCATGAATGGTAAGTACAGTTGGTGTGTATACCAGAACGCGTTGTAAATCCTCCGCCTGACAACCCTACTCGATGTTATACCCATACTTATAATGATAAACAACATCGATAGTCCCGTCACGCCGGCAACACTGATCAGTAGATTAAACGGGCTCTGAAATTATTAATTTATTATTGAGATACTACTAGCCTACATCTAAACAATATATTGAATCAAAACTGCTTTGCTTGGGAGTAAGCTACATATATGTATAAACATATGCATATACATATTACACATGGATGGAGCGAAAGTAGTTTTATTTCAGTCGTTTGGTCTAAAGTTGTTTTAATTTTTATTATATTGTATTGTCATTTAATATAAGATATAAATGTTTCATTAAAGTTCATTACATATATTTTATATGTACAAGTAGTTTTTGCCCGCGACTTCGTACGCGTTAATCTTTGAATTAGTAATATATGCATAGCTCACCGAGCGAATTATATTCCGCCCTAGAGGCTGTAAATAACCAGATTTAGGAATTTATTAAGTATTTTTTTTATTTTTCAATCGAACTGAATTAGATATCCTATATCTGTCTCCTGTTTCTAAGTTTCTAAGCGTTCTTGAGTTATAAATAGTGTAACTAACACAACTTTCTTTTATATTTATATGTACACTGTTGTGGTTTTAAAACTCTTTTATTATATTTACTTACTCAAAGAACTACACTTGTATATATTTGTTAACGAATATTTATATTGGAAATAATTAATATACATACATCCATATATAATATACTTTGTTTTAAAAGCGTAGTGATTATATTGATGCGTTACTTTAAGTGGCCGATGTTAATGGACAGCATGTGACTATAAAGTCATCATGTGTTAAATCTTGTGTATGTACACAATGTATTAATTAATATCTCTTTATTGTGTATTTTAATCTTATTTTTTTTACATACAAGTAAATACCATAATAACATATTAATAATGTAAACTCATCTGTAATTGAATAAAATAACAAATTTAAAATTTTCTTATCCTAATTACCAAACCGTCTTTTCATACAAAAAATTTCAAAGTACATCACTGTTTTCAGAAAGTGAAATTCCTTCTGATATCAATACTATCATTAAAGTATTCATAGACAAAAAATAGCTCAAAAAATATAATTCATAAAAGCATCTCAAATAATGCATATTTACGAGAAAATGCATGTCAAAAGAAATCTCATTGTTTTGTTCACATAACGAATACTAATTAAATTCTCTGTCATTATCCTTTCAACTAATATAACAACGTCATGAGTGATGTCTCGCGAGCTATATCTAGACACAAATTAAGTACATATACAATACACCCATTACATACGCGCGTACTTAAACTCGTAAAAACGCGAATGTAGTAATTATACGTTTAAAGTAGTAGTAGAAGTATTTAGTAATATTAGTGTCTTATTCTGTAGATAATATAGTAATCTCTGTATTATTTGATTATATTGTATAAATTGATTTTTGTTTTAAATCACTAAGGATTATATGAAATAAGAGCTATCTTTAAACATATAGTACCTATACTTCGAGAAAATTTTATATTATGATTTTTTTTTATATTTGATATGTTATATTTTCCTTGATAAATATAATATGTATAAAAATTGTAATTCAAGCTATGTTTATAAATATTTTGTTACTTGGAAATTAAATTGAGTTTAACTTTTAAAGAAATAACCATGTATAAAGAAAAGGCGTGATTAATTTTTTACGTAGAAAACACATACGAAGGGATCTAACAAACTAAATCACTCAAATAATAACGACATTAATATAAAATTGGTAATTTGGTACTAATATGAAATACGACTTTTTTAAAAAACAAAAACCTTCAAAGATTTGTTTTAAATTCTTTCATTATTGTAAAGGAACATGCAATATTCTTACATAGTTTTGTTTTAAACATCGGATGCGATAACGTTTTAAGGTTGAGAAAATAATATATCTAGTATATTTTATACAACATAAACAAACTAAGACATTTGAGCATATACATATATTCAAGGATATTTTTATTAAGAAATAATACGATAGAAACAAATTGTGATAAAAATAAATCTAGAATAACTCGTAACTTTCACTATAGAAACAATCTTATATTATACTTTTAAGTAGACGAGTATCTAAATAAGTGCTACTAATACACAACTTACACGCACTATTTCTGTAGGTCATAACATAATGAGAGCATAAATTAAACGCAAACTCCGCTTATCACTGTACTCTAGGTAATAAACATTAATGGCGGCGTGCATCACTGGACTGCACTTTGCGAAACAATATACATAATATCATTAATTAAATCAGAAACATTAATATATCAATATTTATGGTCATGACATTAATTTAAAACAAGTGCGTTTTAAATCCAACTCTATTCTATTTGATTTAAAACTGAAATTCTTTTATTATAATAAAAAGCTTTTTTACAATTCCCTCAGATATAAAGTTTCCATCATTTCCCTCTACTGACTAGGGTTGCTGACAATACGTCTTCAGCGAGCGAGTGTTTGCACGTCCTTGACTTGTCGCTTGCATTAATTTACAACCCTAGCTCATTTCGGATGTCTGCGTGGGGAAATTATATCTGGACTGTACTAAGCTTGTAATTATAGTTATGTATATATTAGTACTTAGCAAAACCGTAGAATCTAAATTTTATAATATAAAGTTTATGTAGAGATACTTGTAGGTCCATTTATTAACTAACTGACAAAATATCTACGATTGGTCAATACTCAACAATATTTTTTTAATTTTTATTTAGCCTGTGGATCGATTATTATTTTTTTCAGGTTCAATTGTCAAATTGAAATGTCATTATACTTGACATTTAGCGACAATACACATATTACGGAATTTTCACGGATTGACGTATTATATGTGTGTGTGTGTGTGTCAAAGTCGTGGTAGTGTGTGTGCTGTGTGTATTATATAATTAATAACATTTTTATATAATCTAATAGAAAAAAATTGCCTTATGTACCTCTTCTCGACATAAGCTTTGACTGTTTTAAATTAAAAGTTCATCCGTTCATGAAATATTCTTAACAAAACTTGTATTATGTTAATGATAGGCATTCGCGTTTTTTATATAATGTATTAAAAAATAAAGCTATGTGCAAGAAAACACACAGCTAACCAGGTAGTGTTCATGAAAATGATTCCTAACCTTAACAATTTTATATTACACGAAGTTATCACTTTTTTAGTAATAAAAGAATTATAATTTATCCAAATAGGGGAGAGTTGGTTATATCGTACTAGCATTTAAATCGTACCACTTCCAAATTTCCCATTTAATGAATATTTTTTTCTACATTGACAACGCCAAATTGTGGCTCTGTACCATCCCTCTTCACCCACTAGTTTAAATCGACGTGAGTTAACAATTGTGCAAGTAATAAAAGAAAAACATTTTTTGTAGGAATTAATATAAATATTGTCATACATTCGTAAGGAGATAACTCGTAATCAAAGTAAGCTATAGTTATTCATTTTTTTTTATTATTACATAATTGTATACTAGATTATTAGGGATTTTGTTGCGTGTCTAAGTTTTGAGTTTATGCCGGATATTTGCTTTTGTTTTAGAAATACCTTAGTTGGTTTAATCGTACCACTTGCAGTTGGTTAAATTGTACTGGTACGATTTACCCGACTACCAACCGCAAGTACCTATAGTACTACCGCAAGTACGTATAGTAAGTACTACCCAAGGCCAAGAACAAAAGTTATAAGAGGAAACGATCTCATTCCATCACCAGTAGCGATGATTCAGGAGAGACACTTGTTGTAGAACTAGATGATGATGATGACAGCGATGATTATCTTGAAAATATATCTCGAAAGTGCAATTGTTCTTACTACGATAAGAAGGGTCCAAAAGTTGATTGGATTCAATGCGTTCGCTGTAAACGGTGGCTACATGAGAAGTGTACTTCGAATTTTTGAAAACATTTGTCATGATTGTTTCCATTAAGAAATATGCCCAATAATTATATTACAAATAACATTCTTGTTAACTGTTACTTTATTATTATAGTTTACTGTTTTTTTATTTGTCTCATTTTTATTAGTTATGTTGATTGACCTCATTATCATAGTATAATCATGTTATTTTACTGAAAAAGCTTATAGTTCCTTTATATAACCTAAGGGTTAAAAATTGTGTTTCTATTACCTAAAAGATATAAATAATGTTGTTTTATTACTTACCTAACAGTCAAAAATAAATAATTTGATTGACAATTTTAATGTCTTTCATTCAGTGGTACGACTTACACACCCATGGTACGATTTAAAGACTTAGTGGTACGATTAAAACGACGAGTCGGCTAAATCGTACCGATGGCAAGCCTCTATAAAAAAGCATTTTTAACAATGTTAGAATAATCGCAAGGATCTGTTCTCTTCTTCTTAGGAAGCTAAAATATGAAACTTTATTTTACATATGTATTAATTATTAAAAGACGTGTTATAGTCGAAATATTTGAGTTAAAGTGAAAAGTGGTACGATATATCCGACTCTCCCCTATATATGTGCAGTGACAATTAATATTTCTTCGATTATCATAAGAAAGATTATAGCGTGATTTGTAAATTATTATTTGTAAGTTATTTTTCAAATGACTTTATTAAGTGTTTGAGTTTAATTACATCTTCCAAATTTTCGAGATATTTTAAGTAAAAAATTTCCTTTTTTACAAATAATATTTGTTTTGTGGATTAAAAGTATATATTAATTACTTTTTCTGTATGATGTAGCAAAGTAAAGTATTTTTTAAAGTATTCAACATTATTATTATTATTTATTGTATATACTCAAAATGGCTACGCATTACTGTATACTGCCAAGTACATCACGGAGTTTTGCATTAGTTGCTCAAAAATAACCATATTTTTAAAATAAAGCTTGCAAACAATTTATAATATTTGTTAAAATATTTCTTGAAATTAAAAAAAATGAACTCACCTCATTCTTGTACGACGCCATGTTGATCTCACTTCTCATTTCATCGTAATTTCGTGAAAAATTATAAAGATTGATGAAATGTGATATAGAATGTACAACTGTGGAAAATAAAATTTACATACCAATAAATATAATATTTCAACAATTGTTTGCAGAACGTAAATGGGTTCCTAAACTCATAAATAACGAATACTGTGTTATTAATAGCTTTATAGTTTACATACACGCGACGGGCAACCCCGAACGGTATTGTCAAAAGCAATTAAAACATTTAAAAACTATCACTAAAAACACATCAAAGAAAATTAACTCTTATTAGACTTGAACTAGTATAGAATATACGAAAAAATCGCATGTACATATAATGTTTAGGAATCTGGACTCAAAAAAGGTTTCATATAATTACAGAACTTGATATTCTTCCAAAGTTTAAGACAAAACGTTCTTTTGTGCGTTTATTGTACACTCTAGACTCCAGGGTCTAACTCGCTAAGACTAAGTCTAAATTGTGTCGTGAAGTCGTTAGGCTTTGTCTGAAGAACATAATGGCGCAAAAGAGGCGTTCAGGTGCACCGTAATATAAGCTTCCGAAACATTTTAATAATTTATAGCCTAATTATTAGTATATATATGTATATATGTCGCAGGCAATTTGGACAATATGTCTGTATATAAGCAACCAAAGATATATTGCAAATAGTCGTAGTTTTAGAAAATCTTTTATAACATTAGTAGTTCATTTTATAATTTGCCGCGTTATTATTCTCCTGTTAAGTTAGGTTAGCTTCATATTTATAAAACGCCGAAGCCGTAATAAATGGACATATTATACAAATTGCCTGCGACAATAGAGAAAGTAATTTTAATGTTTTTTAAACTTACCAGCAAATAGAAGTAATGTGATTGCTACAGTCATGTGACAGGTTTTCGCGTGTTCAAGCCATAAGAAAAACAGTCCGGGACATAGCTTAGACATCGCTTTATATAAAAGATGATTGAGTTTTTTACACAACGGTAACAAAATGAGAGCGCAGCAGAGATTTAGGACTGTAGCTGTACCACGAGATACACACAGACCCAGCTGAAAATATAAAAATATATTATATAATTATTTCTAAAACAAACGAAATCATAGGAATAAATTAGTACGTTGTGTAAGATTGTTATTTGTAAGAAATATATTTAATAGTTTGTATACTTTGTAATTATCGCGTTTATATGTAGGTATATATATCAAAAGAAATTTTGCATGTAGATGTTATTTTAGACAAAGAATAGGGATAAAAACTTATTTTCAGTGTAGTTATCACGTTTATATGTATATATCAAAAGAAATTTTGCATGTTAATGTTATTCTAGACAAAGAATAGAACTCAAAAAAATATTATTTTCAGTAAATGAAATACAAAACAAGAAAAGGGATTTAAGTAAATATTTATATAAAAAAATCAAAATAGTATCGCTCACGTCGCGCTGTTCATAATTTCTGAACGCCATATGTTTTCGGGAGTTTTGTTTTTTTTTAATTTTTCATGAGTTTGTATAGTACTATGGGAATTGTATAAAAATGTACTTACCCCCAACATTTCTCTTAAATAAAAAAATTGTCGTCCCTTCAAATAAAATGTAAAAGATTTGTAAAATAAATAAATAACTAATGAGATCCATGTTATCTGAAACAAAACGTTTTGTATAAATAATAGTAAAAAGTAATAATATTTTTTATTGTAGTTTTAATGGATTTTACATATAATTCTGAGACGATTCTATCTAGCTTAAAATTTCAACTTGCATCAATATAAAGTAACAACTTCTTTCAAAGAAAACAAAACTTGTTTAGATACACAACTGTTCCATATTCAAAATTTATAAGTCTGTAAACGATACAAAATGCAGACTACAATAAAAGCGATATATCAATTTATGATTATAAATTAATTAATTTATTAAAGATTAATTTCTTGCACGATAATTAACCCGTCCACAAAATCTTTTTTTTAATATTTTATAAATAATTATTGACTTTTTAAATCTTAGACATAACGAAGTCTCTAATCAATTATTATTAAGATGTTTTTTTTTTATTCGACATCAGCAATACGTATAAAGCTGGTTAGTCAAATTACTGTTTATAGTCTGTAAAATTGTACAATTTACAGCTTTTCCCCTTATTTATTTGTTTGTGTTTATTTTTGTTGTTTTTGTAGCTCTATCAAAAACATAATCCACTATATAACAATAATATAATAGCGAAGATTTTCTTTTTTAAAAGGCTGAAATTGATTTATTTTTAATATTAAAAAAAGAGAACGATCCCTCACTCACTGTCTATTTCTATACAATCAAATATATGTTGTTGCTAACTCATTCTACGTTAAATGTTTGACCAGTGATTCATTGTACGTAAACTTGACTATTTTATTAACATCGCCTTCAATAAAGTACGAAATCCAACTACATATTAAAATAGGTTTATGAATCTACAACTCTATTATAAGACTTCTTAAACAGATGCTGAATAATTAATGTATTCTAATAATAGCATACAAATATAAAACCGATTTAACGTTTCACGGTACATCACTAGCTTACGATTTATTTTGAAAATACCGAAATAAATCTGCAATCACTAACTGTCAAGAATTTTAGGCTAAATACTAAATTCGTTTACTTTATAAAAGTAGTTCAGAAACAATCTAAAGAAAACTAGCTTTTGATTAACATAAAACATACGAATTGCCGAATCTTAAATTGAATTGTTTATTTCACAAACATTAACATAGTCTAACAGCTTAGCTTGACAGTTGCTTAGCATCATATTACATTCAAAACACTAGACGCATTATTAAGCTTACCTTAACAGCTGAAAACAGTCTTAACTAGTCATAATAAACAAATAATCATTATGTTAGTTTACTATGAACTAGTTCTCAGATAAGTTTCATACGTGTCCACGAGTCCTAACGACACTACATGCGTCGGATGTTTAAACTGGCACAGACACTTGAAGGCAGACGCTATTCATATCTTACGTCTATATAACGAGGTGACAGCTATTGAACGACTGAATGGATCCGATGACTGGCTGACTGTGATGCCGCATTCATTAATACGTTATAGAATTTAAATTACAATCTAACGATAACTTCTAATACTATCGAACATCCTATTTATTATACACGACATACAAATCTTTATACATGTTTTCTAATAACTCGAAAAGATTTGAATATAAATATAAAGCGTGTTTAATTTTGTGAATAAGATTTAACATGTTATAGTCTATGCAATAACTTAATGTATGAAATAAATATAAATTCTTACGTTGTAATTTATGAATAAACGCGAAGGTACTACAGAAACTCTCGTAGGTCATGCTGTAGGTCAAGTCGACGCAAGGATTCTGAGATAGTTTGTGAAAGCTGACATCTTTGTAAATGAGAATTATATATAAGGAAATGAATTTTAAAAGGGAATATTTAAGAAACAGCTATATATAACATAAGTTTGTTATGCTTCACGATAATGAAATATCACTATGTACTAACCAATGAGATAAAATGTTTTCTAGGTAAATGACAAATTAGAATGGACCATTTATCAATACATGATTCGCTATGAAACTTTTTTTTTTACCAGAGACAAATAAAAGTCGATTTTGGAAAGATCCAGACGACATGTCTCGTGAATCGTGATATAATGGGCAATAGATGCTTTTATTTTCATGTTAAAATATAAACTACACTTACCACTGGTTTGCATCGTGAAACTTAACGCAAGGTTCAATTAATTTATAATTATTTAATAAGTAATTCATTTATTTACATACCTTAATACTATCGTGTGCGACGATTTTCGCTTAGATGATTTGGACTACGAAAACTCATGTTAAGTGAACATGCTTAATATTTCAATAGTCTTAGTTTCAATCGTCAAAGTTACTCAAAAAAACTTCGTTATAATGTGAAACGATTTATAATTTAAGCATTATTTTCTTGAGGTTTACAAAACAGAAACATCATCCATATGGAAATTCGTAATGATTACACATTTATGTCTAACACCCAGGTCTCGAAGTATAACTCCGTAGTTATGCAATATTTTTTTTCAAACAAGGGATATTATTTGACGTTAGCGGTTAGTTCACGAAACTTTGAATTTTACCTCAATGGAATGATCAAGGTAAAGTTTTCATGATAAATATTCTTTATAAATAATTTTATTGTACGTAGAGTTTAATGAAGGATTTCGGTGTGATTGATGTCTGAAAGTACTTTAAAACAACTCATTAGTGCCATTTTCTGAGCGATCTAATTCTAGAAGTGTAAAACATATATAATTCAGCGTAATTCCAATATACATATAGTCTATTCCGTATAATTTTTCCATAGAAATGTCTTTCGCATAAAATATCTGTAGTATAGGTACTTTCTTAAGAATGCTCTTCATTAAAAAAGAACCAAATGTATTTTAGATGTGTTCTCGTTTCACAAAATGTTAGCATATGAGACGGGATTACAGGATTGTACTGAAATAGAAGGATTATGTACCCTAATCTCACTTATCGAAAAAAAGGCCGTTGAGTCGACTATATTACGAGAAAATTTTAAGGAGTAGTATTACATCAATTAAAAAATTCCAAATATAATTTTAAAAAAATCCATAGGAAATAGATAGATTTTTAAATTTTTAAATTCAGTACAAAATTTTATTTTTGATAACAACAAATCAAGAATAAATTTCAACGGATATATAAATAAAAATTAATACAAATTTAAAAGACTACATTTCAGTTTATTGATTTTAAGACAAATATCTATATATTTTTAATAACAGTAACGAAACCAAAAATATTTATTTTATAACCGGTTTTAATAATTTTGTCCAATATTACCTACTATCCATCATAATTTTTAAATTCGTTGTTTTATTGGAACATTCAGTTTTTATACCGCGATGCAAAAAGAGGAGTTTTGTAAGTTTGACGTCGTCTGTAGCATTATAGCATTTTTTTTATTTGCAGGTCAATTTCTTTTCGTATCACTAAGCTACGTTTTATTAATATCGGTCGTCATATAAGATTTACTGTTTTTTTTTTTTCAAATTAATGTAAACCATTTTTGTCCTAAGATTACTCAATTAATTGCCTAATGCCACTATAATCTTTAAATTACAGTGAGTTAACACGGAAAGGGTTTTTTTAAACTGTTACTAAAATCTGTTATTACATAGTAACTATATGGAGAGGTGAGTTATTAATTAGGATTCCTATGATGCGTTCGCAAATATTTACTTAACGATATAACAGGCAATCCGTATTGCCATACTGAACTGATTTGGTTTTGATTAATTGATAGTGATAAGAACACATGATTCTATTCTCGTATGTAAATCTCACCTAATTTTTTTAAGAATTTCCAATGAAGATATTTAATATAAAAATTGTTATATTTTACTGTAATTTAGTTTACTTGAAAATTAATAGTTTTTAACAATATTTCGTATACATACTTATATAACAAAAATTCTTAAAACAAAATATTACAAGTATCCACTTTTCAATTAAAGATAATGAAAATATTGGAACTAGGGATACTAATTTTTGTTCTGAACACTAAATACCTACAAAGTTCGAAAACACTTATTCAACGTTAAATTATTTTATCTAAGCGAAACGTATTCAGGAACCCGACGATAATAAATAATTCGCTTTACATCGCCGCTTTGTTTATTACATGCAAATTTACAGACTGAAATAATGATGTAATGTACTTATTTACAGTTTAAATGTTTAGTGAGTAAGAGTATGAGTTGACATCATCCATTTCTTGGTATTGCATTAAAGGACATGCGATAGCTTACTTCGAACTTAAGGAAACTTTTGAAATTTATTGCACCAAAACTTTGATTACCTACTGATTTATTTTTATGCCTACATAATGATTCATTCGCCGAAGGTCTGACACACATATTTTGTTGTTTTAATTTGTTTTCAGTGTATTATTTTGAAAACTATTATAAAATAATATGTTCCCGATAAGTTCGAATTTTAATTCATAGCTATGCCTAACTAACATTTCATTTAAATCATAATATGTTATACAATATAACAATATAAAAGAAAACACTCACCAAATATATGCGTGACCGTATGTATGCACAGAAACCACACCAATATCTTGACATTTTTAAATTATATTAACGCCTAAAAGATTAACAACACCACATAAACATTTTAATAATAGCGTCCCATTCAATTTTTGATTATTAATTTAGTTCTGTTTGACGAAACTGCCATTATAACGCGTGGGCGAGTGCCGTGTGCCCGCTGGCGTGGTCGCGCGAGAAATAAACCAAGATGTGACAGGTCGTCGTTTTACAACTCCTTACGTGAATCCAGCTGATGGGTTCGAATTATTATTACGTATTACCTAATACATAGAAATAATTTAGCATATTTAATTACTTTCATATATAATTAAAGTTATTAACTTCATTAGTATCTTGAAATTTCATGTCTATACGTTTGTTATCTAACTTTTTATAAGAAAGGAAAAAATGTAATACAAACATAGAAACCTTTAAATTGGACTGTTATTAAATAAATGTTTAAACCTTATTCTTCAATTAAACGATAACATTGCTGATATTACAATTATCCCTAGTTAATAATTATTAAAAGTTGATGGTAATTTGTTCCCATTAAAATAAAACATTTAAATCTACTAGACATAGTTTTATTGTAACTTAAAAAAGTATCAGAACTGAGTTAACGCAAACAGTCTGATTTACCAGATCCAACAGAATTTCTAGTTAGATCTACTAAGCAATGTTTCAAATAAAAAAAATCCTTCATATTGTGCATTTTTATTACCTTTAGTTGCTGTTTTTATGCTTGTTATGGGAATGATACTAGCACAAAAGGTTTCCTATCCCGTTAGTGTTGACTGGTGACCTATAATAATTAAAATAAACTATAATATAGGGCAATGAAATTGATGCGGAAGGGTAAATCAGTCGTCAGTAGGGACATTTTATGGAGAAATATTATTTCTATGAAACACATAATATAATCTTTTGTTTAAACTGTTAATAATGTTCTTGAATCAATACAGGCTTCATTTTTAAGATTAGTACTTAATTAAATCTTTCGATGTGATCTTTTTGTAGTACCGGTCCCAACGTGAACGCGTGATTTCGTCCAGAAACTAAAATCTAAATAAATTGATAAAATATTAGCTTAATAAAAAAATTATAAGGCAGAAACTTCCAGCATGAGTATGCATCGAATACAGTTATTCTAATTTAGCAATTTTATCTAAATACAATAGAAAACCATGTTCTTCTTGCCATAGAGAAACTCTCACTCCTGCCATACATGTATTTATCTTATACTTGAAGTTACACTATATTTTTTTATTACAAATCTTCTTAGAATATAAAAATAATATAAACATTTCTCCCTAATTTTAGTACACAGCCTTCAAAATAACTAAACAATATTTAAAAGAAAGCAAGCGATGGTAATTGAAGTTTTAAATTTAACGTTAAATTTATCGAGAATGTAAAAGGAATTTTTAATAAACTCAAACATCTCTACCTTGTAACTCTTTTAAAATAATTCTTAGCTGAGGGTCGAAGGGGTTTTAAAATAAAAAGAACAAAATATACTTGAGGTGGTTTATTTTCGTCTATTATAAAAACATTGCTTACTCTGTTTCAGCATTTTTCTAAGAACCAATCGCATTCATATACTCAACTCAATCGTATATGTACTTAAGCTCAGCATTGCTGTATCAGGACGGATTATGTCCACGATTATTCTAAGACGAAAAACTACTCCCTCCAAAATAACATTATAAATTATAGTTTGACAAGAGATTATTACTGAATCATATCAATAGGTAGGGCTTATTAAATAGAAATATTTTTCAAATGACTTAAAATATTTACTGATTTTATAGTTATAGACTTTCCAATATTTTTTAATGTAACGTTAAAGAGATAAGCTCTAGCGATTGTAGCGGAATATTTGTTGACCTAAAAATAAGGTTTTATTGTTGAATAAACGTCTCCACCATGTATATAAATAAACAATGCCGAAGATTAGGTATTTTTAGAAGTTTTCAAAAGGTTTTTTGTTCTGTATTAATTGCTTACATTGGATTGGTGCCATTAAAATTGATTTTTAATATGGATATATAATTATATACCATACTTACCTAGTTCTAGTATTTTCTAAAGAATAATGTAGAAATAATTCTTCGAATTGAAAATATCTTCTCGTTTTAGATATTCTAAGAAGTGGAATATAAGTGAAAAAATTTACATACATTACAGCTTAATATTAAGAACGGAGTTCATTATTAAACGCACGCTTTACAATCTTTTCAATTTCTTTGTGAACGTCCAAAATTTGATTATATATCATTCTTCTATCTCTTTTATATCTTATAAAGATTTATCGACATCAAAACGCATATTACATGATTCAAGCATTTCTATAAGACAAATGATATAGAGAAAACATTTGTTTTTTATTAATTTAACAAAATTCATAATTCAATATTGTGTCGCATTTGTATATGATATGTATTGAAAAGAATAGTTGTTGCTTTCATTGACAAATTTTCGAACAGATTATCATTCCAGCTTTGAGCATATTACGTCGGAGGTAGTTTCCTTACAAGCTTACTTACGGACCTATCTGATAGGATAAATTGAGTATTTAAATTCATGCACTTATTATAGAATTCATTTACATATTATATTATGTAAAGTACTGACAAAAATATTTGATTAAAATATACATTATATGACAAAGTTATAAAATATCACTTAATTTGATTGATAGAGATCATTTTTAAATAATAAGTAAACTTTTAGTACAGATTTTTTAAAATCACATTTATTATTTACAACATAAAATACATAACATATTGCTTCTTGATATCTGTTTTCGTTAATGTCATTGTGTCAAAATTGACACTTTGCATTTCAAAAGATAAGCCGACGCTTGCGCAGGGCGCGCATTGTTTACGTTTTCAAGTTTTAAATTTTTATATATACAAGAACCTTAGACATCAATTAAAATTAAACGATACTTTTAATTCAAGTTCCAGCTTTAATCAAATAAAAATGAACCCACCATCACCATGGAAGACCCCAAACGAAGTAATGCTACTCCACAAGATGAAAAAACGAAAAAAAGCATTACAGGTAAGATTTTTGTGTAAATAATAAGACCGTTAATAGTTGATATTTTATAATTAACAATTTTATTAATAATTGTAAATTTTATAACACATCTTAAAGTTTGTCTAAAAATTTTCATAATTTTATGTGTGTTTCTTACATAAAAGTTTTGTTAAATGAAAACATTATTTCAGGAGCGCATGCGGCAGCCCTCGAGTTCAGTAGCAGAAGAAGCATCTAGTCAACAACCTATTAATTTAGATTTCTCCAGAATCCTTAATGGAGACAAGAGAAAAAATCCTTTCTCAAAGTTAGTATCCTCATCTAATGATTGTTTCATATCTTCAAAAAAATTTAACTAATTTCATTAAATAATCCCTTATTTGCAGAAATAATTTAGAACAAAATAAAAAAGTTAAGCTCCAATCAGCACCAGTGGAAGAATCAAATGATCATACTTTATTTGCACTTCTAAAGTTACCAGCGAAGATAGAAAAACCTCCACAAGAAGTTGATACAGAAAAACTATCAACATTTTCAAATCTCTTACAGAAGTTCACAGCCGAACACACAGTAGTCACTGTAAGCATATATAAAATAGACGAAACCATTTTAACTAATGATTTATTTACAGGAATCTCACTTAAATTAATAGTAGTAGTATTTTGTTATCAAGTTTGTATGTAGTAGTAAATAAAGAGTTTGAAATAATAAAATTTTTTGGTAAATGCTTTACAGAGAGTTGAGGAAAAGAAATATAAACACTTAACAATAGACTGGGCCCTTAAAACCAAGTTAAGGTTGATGTCAACAAAACCATTCCCTTGGACATCCAAATTGAAAGCCAGTGAAGAAGCATCAGGAATAACAGGGTAAATGAAATTAACTTATCAATATCAGAAAGATTAATTGTAGATTTTACTGCTATAAATTATTCATTTCCATATTAAGCTGAATTTTCATAACTTTTTTACTTTGGACATTTGACTGCAAAATGTCTGCTTAACTTTATTCTAAAATTAATCAATAAAATATTTTAATGAAATGTAATTTAATTAATATTTGATGGACGTCTAATTTATTAAATAACTACCATCAAGCCCAGGCATATGTAGTTGTGATTCAGTTTTAAAGTTACTTAGATAACTCATAAAAGATCAGATGAATGAAATGTATTTGAAATTTAATATTTGCAATTTTAGCATAAAACATAACAAGGATTAAAAAGAACACAGTATTGAAAGTTTTTTTCTGTTGTATAAGTATTCTTATCTCTTTCCAGATTTGTCCGTTGCCTTGATACAGCATCTTCATCTCTGGACACATCCCCCCGGGCTCGGTTTCACCAGACCTGCCTGTACTGGCAACATCCTCACTTGCCGTGGGTGTCACTGTACCCACGTTCATCGGGCAGGGTTGCTGCAACCAGTTTCATGGCAACCAATGAGGAAGTCAAGCGAGGCCTCATGACGGAATGGACGGAGAGCTTTAGGTCGTTATTTCAAGTGAGTTTTGATATAAGGAAATTAATATGTTGTCATAATTTGCTTTATTGAATACTAGACTTCCGCCCACTGCTTTTCCCGCGTCGACTTCGTCTATATCGGGTTTCCAAGAGAACTTTTCAAAAGTTTGGGATAAAAACTGTCCTATGTTCTCTCTCAAGGTCAACTCTATCTCTGTACCAAATTTCGTTAAAATCAGTTCAGTGGTTTAGGCCTGAAAGCGTAACAGAAAGACAGCGTTACTTTCGCATTTTTAATATTAGTAGGGATTGAAATTGTACATAATTTTGATTCCTATTTGAACTTCTATCTTTTACCAAGGTGTATTTAAAACCAATTTTCCTTTAATGCATTTCATAATTATTGCACTAACTAAAATTAAAGTTTATTACACTAACTAAAATTTGATGAAATATACAAAATTAGTCATGTTATATACAAAATTATATCTAAAATTTATACTTGTTTCTGTGCGCAGTCAATAAATAGATATACATATATTGCTTTATAACTATATTTTATTGTCACAAGTTTTAATGATAGAAAAATAACTTTGGATTAATATTCGTATTTTGGAAGTTCTTATTGAATAACACATATATCTTGTCCTCAGCTAGTCCGAGCGTTACACTGCCCATACTTCTACGTTTTATCGAATACGTTTAGCGTCTTGTTCATAGCGAGCGGTGTGTGTGGTGCCGCGGAGCCCCGGGCTCTAGTGGCGCCAACAACACGAGGTCTAAGGCATGCTCTCAGGCAAGAAGGTGAACCAATGTTGTATTTACTAAAAATAAACTTTTTGTTTGACTTTTTTGTTTATATTACCGTGGTTCTTTTAATAATTTTAATAGATGTTGAATTTACCATGCCTCTGAGACCTGAAAACAAGAAGAAGCTCAATACCTCTGATGAAGAACGAGGGAAGAACTCTTCATTTGATAGTTGTTATGACACCATGGATGATGGAAGGACTGATGACCAGAACTGTTCGGGAGACGAAGACGACCCTGACGAGTTCCTCTCACAAATGGGCCTCGAGACGGCTGAGCTTAGGAAGATCAATAACGCACAGGTGATAGAAACAGTATACTTTACGTGTGTCACTAATACTAAGACGACGAAACCTCTTAGCATTCGATGGATTCACCGTGCGGGTGCCGGGTCCATCGCGTTGCAGGGAGAGGAGCTTCAACAGTGCCTGGGACTTGCGACCCAGGTGTAGGTTTAAGGGGCCCCTTAACTAACGCGCGTTATACGCTCACCTCCACTGTCCAAGTTCCTCTCCCTACCTAACCAAATTTGAAAAGAACCTACTAGGGCTGCCTTCGACGTACGTTCTAAGAATGAATTAATGTTAGTTCTGGACAGGCCCAAGTCTTTTAGTAGGTTATAGAGAGATTTAGCTGTTATACCTCTCGCTCCCACCTCTACCGCGTACAAATCAACGACGAACCTATTTCGAGTTAGTTCGTTAGTGAGCTCGTAATACTTATTGACCTTGATGGCATGGTCTTTGGGGATGTTGGTTTCCCAAGGCACCGTAAGCTCTATCATCACAACGCGCTTTAAAATACGCGAATATAGAAATATGTCTGGTCTGGAGGCCGACGCACAAATATCCTCGGGGATTTTGTATTGTTTCTCATACGTATCCATCATGATAGTCCAATCCGAAGCCGCTTTAAGGATAGAGTAAGGCTTGACGTTTGATTTTATAGCCCTGGTGCCCTCTCTCACAAAACCTATTGATCGCTCGTTTGTGGTTATTTCCCTTTGCGCTCTGGCTACCGAAAGACTAACCGCTTCACGTATGATCTCTAAAACCCTATCGTGACGACGCGAGTATTGACCGCTGTCCAGGAGAACCCTACATCCCACCAGCAAATGCTTGGCAGTTCCAACTGCCTTTCCGCAGATATAGCAAGTTTTTTCGGTACCTTTACCCCATCTTACTAAATTACTCTGATCTGGGAGAGTCATCTGGAACGCATTGAGATAAAATTTTAGCAAGGCTGGCGACCAGTCATGAATTAGGGTGCGCCATTTTAGTGCTAGTGGAATGCAAAAATCTCCCATGTCTAACCAATCGTTCTGCATTTCTAAACTCATTGCATGGATCTTGTATTTATCGTTCTCGTCTTGCCGAATAAAAGACTTCAATATATCCGTATCTTGGACTTTCCTACTTGATCCTAACCCTACTTTGTTATTTTGCGCTCCGATCATAAATTGTTTATGGAATTGAAGTCGTGACTCTAGCTCTGGGGCATCATTGTCTTTTGGGAGTGATGTAACGACGTCATCATGTTTTTTCATTTATTTTAACGTATTTGAATATAATTACAATTATCAATGACGAAATACCAATAAAATCATTGTTCATATATGTGATGGCACTTATGTATATCGTCCTTTATGACTCTGAGGAACGAGACTCCTTTCTGACACACTTATCCTTGCATACAAAGACATGGTGGAAAATATTCTATGTGTTCAATATCTTGGATAAGGCAATTTCTTTTATTGTATATAAAAAATAAATGCTTAAAAATATTTCAAACTGCTGACTCCAACCCTAATATGTTAAATTTGAATTAGATTTGTAAATGAAAAGGTTACAGAATAAATTAATAAATTGAACCTATTGTAAGGAGCAAAAGTATCTGTCTATAATCTAGTAGAACATATTTCTATGAACCATTATTCAACGTTACATTATTTTTAAATTAAATATAATATGTAAAAATTCAAAATGACTAAAGAAAGCAGCCGCAGATATAGTTATTTCAGATAACATCTAAATTCTAATGTTTTTAAGGGATACATATTCAATTTTATCTCCATACGTCCCAAAAAAAAGGTATATAAGTTATATCTCAAAATCCCACTACTTTGTTATAGGAAACTAATTCCTCTTCCAATTTCATGTGCATTATTCAATATGAGATATATATAATATGTATTGATAGTTTATTCTATAACTATAACCGTATTTTTTAACCAATTTATCAAGGCCCGTGTCAGTCACACGGTTGAGAGCAGTGTTGATCGTTCAGCGGAGTCTTTGGTTGTGGTGAGCGGTGCGGACGCACAAGCTCTCTTCAATTTCCTCCTGAATTGTAAGTCATTAGTCGCCGGCAGTGGACCGTTAGCGGGTGTACCGCCCACGTTACTCGCGCCCACTGCTTTCCACGGAGGAACATTACAGGCTCTTAAGGTATATTTAACTTCTATAATACCTTATCGAATTGTTGTGAGCTCTAAGACTTTCGCAAGTTTTTATTTAAATGAAACGAATGTTTTCGGATTACTAAACGTCATTTTATCATTATCTCGTCTGCCAGTAATCACGGTTGCTCAAATAAATCGAAAAGTCGGGAGTATGTTTTAAAAATAATAAACTAACGAGTAACCCGAAAGTATTAGTATCATTATCGACTATATTCTATAGATTTTCTTCAAGATACTTTACTTATTAGGTATTAATTATTTTAATAATTCAATTATTTAAAACCAAATCATTAACATATTAATTAAAAATGTTCTTATTGAGAAAAATATTTAGTGTAGATAAGTTACAAATCGTTGCTTTCAGGTCAAAGAAAATATAATAAATTCTGAAAACAATAGGTACTACTCTATAGAACTACGAGGCCCAATTCTACCAACTACAGTCCATACATTATTTAATGTACTGAAAAATAGTACTACCTCGCAGTTTAGCGCTACTTTTGCACACCTCCAGCCGACGTTGGCTTTTACTTGGGCGGCTAGTAAATTAGCAGGTATTACTAATTATATATTGATTTTAACTTTAACCTTACTCAATATTATATTGATCTACCTTTTTCAGAGGAATCTTCCAAAGACAACGAACAGAACCAATTCACAAAAGCATTCAACAAAGAAAACTTATCAGATTGTGGTATAAGCGACGAAATGTTACAACTTTTCTGTTCATCAGATCCAAGTTCTATTAAATCTCTCGACAGTGTTAAATACAATTCAGAAGACGATACGTATACCTGGTGACATTTAGCTGGAATTGTATTAATTATATAGGTAAAATTAATATTGTACAAGGAAAACCATGAAGTTACGTGTTATGTATTGTTGTTGCATTGATAAAATAAAAAAGATGATTTTTGCGTAATTGTATGATTTATTCCATTTTCATTTTTGGTAAATTAAAAATAAAAGATTTCATAAGTCCACAGTCACTTATGCAATAGAACAAGATTCATACAGATCAGGATGAAATAAATAATATTGTGAGAGTTCTGCTCTAGTATGACGTAATATTTATGTTACTTAACATAACTGCACTAATCACTAATTATCACTTCAAACCCAAGGTGGAACAGGAATCTTGGAAAGCTTACACCTAAAATATTCATCTAAGCACAATGCTGATGTCTCGCTCACTGAAATAAAGAGATACACCATTAAAAATTTTATATAAGTCTCAAGCTTAACTTTTTGAAAATAATAATAATTACCCCATGCACACACGTCATCTCGTTTCTAAACGTCTATTCATTCCGGGAGTTTATGATTTCTGAAACAAACCAAACGCAATCAAATATTATACCCAATTTAACATTATCGACATAGATGGATGTCATAGAAAATATATAAGATAAATGTTAATAAGTTTATAATATATTCACATTGGAGGCGGTGGCTGTGGCTGCGGCTGGCTGTCCAGGGACAGAATACTGCGGCCGGAAGTTAGTGAAGTTAGCAGCAGCGGCCGCGGCCGGAGAGAACCCGGGCAGGGTACCGCCCGCTCCAAAACCACCAGGGAACTGGGCCATTTGAGCTGAAACATTTATGTTCATTATAAACTGGTCATAAGCTTAATTACCGCTACCACAAGTACCTCGTCATCAGCCTATCAGCGCCCACTGCTGAGCAAGGCCTCTTTCTCACATGGAGAAGGTTTGAGCATTAATCACCACGCTTGCTCAAGACAGGTTGGTGATTTCAAACTTATAATTGTGAAACTATATGTCCAGGTTTCCTCACGATGTTTTCCTTCACCGTATGTCAGTGGTGTCTAAATACTCTCAGAAAGTGCATATGACTCCGAAAAATCACATTGGTACTTGCCAGATTTGAACCCGCGCCCTCGGCAACGAGAGGCGGACCCTTTAACCACTAGGCCACCACTGACTTGGTGTACCTGACAAGTACTACTACTAATTAATTCTTTATTTATAAATTCTATTTATACATTAACAAATAATAAATGATATTTGACAACAAAACAGAACAATTTTTAATACTAATGAAATATATATGTCGGAGGTCAGGTGGATGCCTCATGGCGGTCTTGGCTTTCATATCCATCATGGACGTTGTAACGATTGGAATTCAAAAATAAAAGCACACTAGTACTGTCCGTAGCAAAATGACCGTCCTCTCTCTCAGTTACGATCGCTACCTTAGTCAGCACTGGCCCGCTCATAATTTTTATGAAACAAATCAACTGCATTCCCTATTAAGTTTCTTATTTAACTCATCCAAAATCGACGCGATGTCATATATATATATATCTTCTTCTTCCTAGCAATTTCATAACTTTAGCCAGGGTTTGCCTTACATCTTTTGAATAGTTTTGGATAATTTTTTTTACGTTCGGCCGCCTGCCTAACATGAACCCTCTTTGGCAATGCATTAATCAGTGATGTCTAAATACTCTTAGAAAGTACATATGACTCGGAAAAATCACATTGGTACTTGCCATGGCCAGGATTGAACCCGCGCCCTCGCGAATGAGAGGCGGGCCTTTTAATCACTAGGCTACCACCGACTAAATTATATATATAGGTCGTCAATATTACAAAACGTTATAGTATATATCGATGTTTACCTGCGGGCACGGGGTTCCCCGCGGTGGCTGCGAGCCGTGACAGTATGGACCTCTCTGACATCTGTAAACGCTGCGCCACTGGCGGGATGCGGGCGAGCGTGGCCGGCAGACGGGACACGTCAGACTTCATATCCGATAATAACTCCTCCAGCTGGTTCAACACCTGAAATATATAATTAATATTCAGTATATAGAATAATTATTCATGTTCAATTAATTATTAATTTCAAATCAATTACGTGGAAATATTGTTCATAATAAATTCTATTACTATTATTAATAAATTTATTAGGAACTTATAACGAATAAAACAAAATAGTTGTTCGTAGTAATTATACATTCCTAATTTAGTAGAAACATCTCTAAAAATACATACATATGTAAAACAAATACATAGCTATAACATATTCAAAGCTATGAAATTTTAAATTTTTGGACGAATAAAAACAGTAATGATGTCGTAATTTAAATAATTAACAAGAAAGAGACGGTACCTTATGCAAGACCGCGTTAGCTGGTTTATTTCCGGCCAGCGATTCCTTGCTGAGGTGTTGATGTGATTCTGCGAGACACTCCACCTCCGCGAAGCGCGCGTTCAGCGACATGGCCGGGTGGTTGGGATCCTGCGTCAGGTTGAGGTAAGCAGCACGACGGAGCTGCTCTTCTATAACCAACGCCTGTTCCAGCAACTAGAAAAAATACAATTATTAATATATGATTTGGCAGACGCTGTTTAAGGCTGGGAAATTGCCAGGAAGAAGAAGATGCTGTTATATTTGCAAAAATCATATTTCTGGAACTAAATTTACCTTAAACCGCCTGGCTAAGAACTTGTTCTTGATTTCGAGGAAGTTCCCCTTGCCGACGTCCATTTTAAACGGTTCGTTGATGATCGCGAACCTCAGATCGTTCTGTATGTCCTGCCAGCGGCCGTAGCCGTGCGTCACGATGCCGGCCAGCAGCCAGTAGTCGTGTCTCCTGTGCCATATCTCGTACTCCCTGCCCGGCGCCGCCGCACGTTCCTCGTTTAACCATAACGTGTGGAGTTCTGTGAAGCCGCCGTCCGCGATGTTAAACATGAACTTGCGCCGCTCCACTTTCAGATCGTCCTCTTCTTTGACAATCACAACGTCGTCGTCATCTTCGTCCTTCTTCTCGTCTTTCGGTTTATCTGACCCTTCCGACTCCGTCTTGTCGCTCCTCGCGTCATCCTTCTTATCTGATTCCTCTTTATTTTCTTCTTTGATTTTTTCATCTTTGTCGTCTTTCTTCTCTTCCGATTTCTCTTCATCTTTGGCGGGCTCCTCATCGACAGACATTCTCCTTTCTTCTTTTATCTCTTCCTTGATATCCTTTGTTTCCTTTTCGTCAAATTTATCCTTTTCTTCCTTAATGTCACTAATGTCCATCGGTTCGTCCTTTTCTTTATCCTTAATTTCAGATTTGTCGTCCTTCGTTTCTTCCTTCTCATCTTTCTCGGAGCTACCCGGTGTTGGAGCTTGACCTGATGCTTGAGTGACTTGAGTGGGAGCTGGTGATGGGGCCGCTGAAGTAATGGGTGTAGCTGTGGACGGCGCCGGGCTAGGCGCAGCGCTCTCAGCACCCGCTATCTTTACTGGCTCTACTGGCTTCCTTATCAATTCTGGCATACTGTAGTAACCGTTGATGTGTTCAAACTCCTGGACTTTCTTTCTAATAAGACTCATGACACCGATCCTTGTCAGAACGTGTTGTCTCGATAATCCTTCTCTAGGAACACCATCGGCAAATGTCTCAGCATTATCCGCTCCTGGCTCGCACAAATGCCTCATGAATAAGGAAACGTATGCCTTGAAATTGCGTTCAGATTTTCCCCTGAGATCTCTGACCAGCCATTGAGAATTAAAGGCGTCCTGCGGTGGCATACCGTATCGCATAATGGCATTGAGGAAAGATTTACGTTGTCGTGCGTTAAAACCAAGCACTTCCATATTACCACCGACACGAGCAAGCAGTGGCGGTAACGGCCTGTCTCTTTCCTCCCTTCTTTCCAAACGTCTCTTACTACGACGACTGAGTAAATCACCGTTATCATTCTTTTCATCGAAATCGTCATCCTCTTTATCATCCTCACTGCCCTGGGAGAAATCAGAATTATAATCTGATCCGTTTTCTTGCCAAGTAGTATCCTCTCTATTTTCAGTCTGAGCAACTATACCGTCGCTGTAATTAACTTGCTTACGAACTCTCTTCCCTTTACCGAGAGTTCTCGCCTGGTCTTCTTGATGCTGCTCGTAATGATGCCTAAGTAACTTGATCCAGTACGCGGGATCGGTGTTTTCGGCCTCTTGTTTGATGATTTCAGTATCCACTTCTTCTTCACCATCGCCTTCTTTGGTTGAATAGCTGGCAACTTTAAAGGAGCTAAGGTATTCATTAGCCCACGATTCCTTCTGCTCGATACCTTCTTTCGAACGATCGAGTAATTCGGACACCGCTCTATCGTCATAATGTATAGCTTCTTCTTTGCCTTCCTCTTCTTTGAATAACTCTTCTGTACCGAATCTCAAGATATCGTCCAGTTCTTGTTTAGTAAAGTTTGCACCTTTCCCACCCATACCCGGACGCACAACCAAATGAGTTAACATCATTTTCCTTTTCGCTACTTGCGTTACTCTCTCTTCGACACTGTTTCGCGTTACGAACCGATAAATCATCACCTTGTTGGCTTGACCGATACGATGAGCACGCGAAAACGCCTGAATGTCGTTGTGAGGATTCCAATCTGAATCGTAAATAATTACAGTATCAGCTGTGGCTAAATTGATTCCAAGACCACCAGCCCTTGTTGAGAGAAGGAAAACGAATTGCTGAGCGCCCGGGGCGTTAAACCTATCAATGGCTTCTTGACGGATAGTTCCTGTAATACCACCGTCAATTCTTTCGTATTTATATCCTTCCCCTTCTAAGAAATCTTCTAGTATATCCAACATTTTCGTCATTTGAGAGAATATAAGTACCCTATGTCCTTGTTCTTTGAGCTGTTTCAACATTTTAGACATGAGCACTAGTTTTCCGGATGCCTTAACCAGAGCTTGGGTTTCATAATTGCCATGAGGTCCGAGCGGTGCTTCCTCTGCCGCTACAGGAAACAGATATGGGTGATTGCAACACTTTTTAAGATCCATCATGACATTAAGTAACGACACAGTTTGACCACCGCTCTTAGGATTCAAAGCTTCATAGTTTCTCGTCAAGATGTACTTATAATATTTCTTCTGCATTGGTGACAATTCTACACGCACAATGAACTCTGATTTCGCTGGCATGTTTTTCAATACGTCAGCCTTAAGACGACGCAGCATGTGAGGCCCCAACATTTCGTGAAGCCTTTTAACTTGTTCCTCTTTCGATACATCCGCGAATTCATTTTGGAAAGCGGCTAAGTCGTTAAACTTATCTTTGTTCAAGAAGTTCAAAAGATGGAACAATTCTTCTAGATTGTTTTGTAATGGAGTTCCCGTCAATAGAAGCTTGTAATTAATGTGATATCCAGCAAGAAGACGGAAAAATTTAGACTGGTTGCTTTTAAGTCTGTGAGCTTCGTCCACGACCAGAACTGCCCAGTCTATAGAACCGAGACACGTGGAATCAATTGATATAAGTTCATATGAGGTTAAAAGTACATTGAATTTCACTTGAGACTTTATCTTAGACGGTCTCCCTCCTCTATTGGCACCATCGTCGAAAGTTAGTTCATTTTCTCTAATAACTGCTCTTGAATCTTTATCACCGACGTATGTGATACAGTATAAATCTGGCGCCCACAGTTCAAACTCTCTCTCCCAATTGATAATTGTCGAAAGGGGTACAGATACTAAGAAAGGTCCCTTGCAATGACCTTCCTTAAACAACGAGTAAAGGAATGTCACAGTCTGAATGGTTTTCCCGAGACCCATTTCATCGGCAAGTATTGTGTCAATTCCTTGTCCCCAGGAGTACCGCAACCAATTAAGTCCATCCAATTGGTATGTATGGAGCTGCATACCAGTTTCATATACGAATGGAGGCTGATCTTCATATTTCTTGTTTAGGTTAGTGGTGGGGCGGTCAGGTGGCGGATTGTATTTCCTCCCTTTGAACTGCAGACCACTGCTGCTCTCGTCGTCATCAATGTTATCTTTGTTCTTACTCTTACGACCGGCCTTTTTGCCTTTACTTCCCTTAGTTTTTCCCTCCGAAGTGATATAAGCGCGCATGTCCTATAATTAAGAAAATATAATATAGGAATTAATTTTGAATTGATGTATGTAATACATGTATGACAAATAATTACCTGATAATATTCAAGGGCATTCTTGAGCCCAGCTATATCTTCGTGCTCAGATTCCCAAGTGGCCTGATCGTAAGATAAATCTCTCCATTTAACCAAATAGTATGTAGTACCATCGCGGGCTGTACGATGATTAATCACTCTATGTACTATTAGCCATTCCGGTCTTACGCCGTATCTGCAAATAAATGATTATTATCAAGTATGACAAAACGATATTCATGTGTTAAGTTAATAATTAAGTTTAACTTTTTACTTTAAATCTCATGCTGGCAAGATCATATTCAAGACCAACATCTCCTCTGGCTACAATCATGGCTATTGAGAAGCAACGGAAACCTTGCGTAAAATGCGAAAAATAGTTATAGCAATATAACTAACCTATAGTATTTCTCCTCCAATAGTTTTTCATCGTTGTCTTGGTGATGTTGCTTGCTATGCTTCATCCGCCTGCGACCTTCGCGTTCCTCGAGCCCGTCGTCCAACTTGGGCGGTTCTTCGGGATCAGATTTACGCATATAGTAGCGATACATCAGGGGATGGAATACATCCAACTGAAAATGAACAAAAAACCATATAAATGATCAAGTCATCATTAAATACCATAAATTCCAAACATGTGATGACTTTGAATTACTATTATTTCAACTATATAAATACAAATATTTCACCTGAATCTCAGAAATCCAACTGCAATGCCAGTAGGAACGCTCATGCCATTTTACGAAGAACTCTCTCGAACGTGGCGCCTTTGACTTTGCCGGCTGTTCTTTCCATCGCCATGTTAAAATCTTAGCGACTTTACCATCCAAAGGTGGACACTGAAACATTAAAAAAGTAGTATAAATTATGTTTTATACAAGAATAATATTTTATATGAATTAATAAAACTCACACTACATCGTGGACATTTCCATTCGCCGTCTGGGACTTCTTCTAGTGGTGGATTTAAACAGAATCTGTGGTATGCCGACGGACATGAGTCGCAACATAATAGTTCTCCTCCATCTTTGCAAATCCTATAACAAATATTTAGATAAATTCTCATTTATGTCATTATTAACAGATATGGTTACAATTTATTAACATTCTAAATGCTCTTTAGAACTAAATAATTAACTTAAAACTAATATTTTCGTATTACTACCCATTATTTTAAGATTTTAAAATACTACATACTCCCATTGTTTCCGTTATTTTAGAGCGATCATCAGAGGAGATGATAGTAAAATAACGTTAAGTAATCCGAAAATATTAGTTTCATTCAAATGAATACTCAAAAAGTCTTAGATCTCATTAACTGACTGACCTGCAGAACTCCTGATGCTCATCATCGTCTTCCTGTTCCTGGTTACCCTCGGCCTGGCAGTATGTGCATGACCAGCGACCTTCGGGCGTCTCCTCCAATTCAGGGTCCAAACAAACCAAATGGTACGCACGAGGACATGTGTCACATAGTATTATTTCACCCCCTTGTTGACACACCTTACATGAAACAGACATAACAATTAATTAATTATTATCTTATTTACTTCTAAACTAGTCTATTCATTTTATCATTCAAAATACCTCGCAGTAATCCTGATGTTCCTGTTCACCTTCAGCGCCATCTGGAAATTTGTTGGTTGATTTCGTTTTTTTCTTCTTTTTGCTCTTGTTGCCGATTTTTGTTTTAGCCTTCTTCTTTGGCTGTTGCTGTAATGGAAATATTGAAAATGTTATATTATGAGCAATATCTAACTAAGTTATTTGTTGTTTAGTTATCTTACTGGTAAGTTGGGATCGTCCTCCTTCTGTTGCGGTGTTTCTTCTGTGGTACTTGCAACGGGTCTCGGTTCTTCGGCCTCAGCCAATAGCTGTTCAAATTCTTCATCCGAGTCTGTATTCGCACCAGCACTGCCTTCTTGATCTTCTTCCTGTGAAGTTTAAAAAAGAATTTCGTAAAATCTTCTATTTCATACTAATTTAACTTTTCGTATCTTATGTATATTTATCGATCCCAATCTCTATAATATCAAACATTAATTATCTGGAATCTTTTAAAGAATATCTCAATAACAATGACAAAAAACATATGTATGTACATCACTGTATACACTAAAAGGAAATAAACTCTAAAAATAAATATATATGTAATACATATATTTCCTCTTTTCAATTATAGCTCCCTATAACATCAAGATGTACAGTTCCTTGAGTGCCGTTATATACAGGGTGACTGGTGAATTACTATCAATATTTAAGGAGAATACTCGGTACATGATTCTCATTCGAATTATGTAAAAAAAAATTGGGAATTAATTTTTGACCACATTTCCGTATAAATAAATAAAGTGTGGACACGGTCCAAGTGTGGACGCGTGCGGCGGCGTGCTGATACAACACCACGCCGCCGCACGCGTGTGTGTGTGTGTATACCTAATCTGTAGGGTGTTCACACGATGCGTAATTAATTACATAACTTTTGGTTAACTTTACTTAGAAGTTTATTAATATTTCTGATATATTAATTTTTATTTTGTCATATATGATCGTCAAATATCACGTCCTCAAGTATCGATAGTAATTAACCAGTGACCCTGTATAGTTTACCCTGAATATAAAATATATATTTATATACTCACACTGCTAGTGCGTTTCCGTTTACTGAACTTGATCTTGAGAGTGGGCACTTTAGGCTTACGTCCCGGCTTGCCGCGTGGCGCGTGCTTTGGCTTGCGGCCACGTTTTCGAGGAGCGGGCGTTCCTTCGTCACTCATATCCTCTTCCTCAGGTTCATCAATGGAATCCTCGATCTGATAATAATTAATACATTACACATACATGCAGGTGTTGAAACTAGACATTGTAACAATAATAATATACGAAAAAAGAGTTTAACCCTAAAACAGGTCTCACGATATTTTATATGAATAATGAATTATTTATATGTTTGAGAAGTCTGCATTTAAATTTAAATCAGCAAGTTTAATAAGATAACACTTCTAATATAATCACTTTAGTTTCTTTTGGAGTACGTCCGGGCCTCTTCGGCGTGTAGTCTGATGTAGTGGACGTGTTAGTATTATCTTCTGAACCCATGTTCTGACTGCCACCATCTAGATGTGGATTTCTCTCACAGAACAAACGCCATTTCGCCGCAACTAACATCATCAACTTCGACACTGGTACCTGGATAAAAAGTTTATATTACACAAAAAAATTCACAATCTCTTAATAAAAACACAAATGTCATTGCACTATCACATGTTTTGTATTGAATCCATTATCATACCTTAGGATTTTCCTTCACAATAAGTGGGCGGACATGTTGTTGAAACAACTTGTAGCTTGTTAAATTTTCAAGATCAGCATCTGAATACTGAATATCAACGTCTGTGAGGCCGAATGTAGAGCACACTTCTTCAACTGTCGGCATACCTGACGTTATAAATATTCGTTAAAGATACATACATACATTATTCTATTGTAAAAGATATTGGGTATTGTATTATTATTTTCTTATGTTAAAACCTACCTATAAAAATCTAAATAATTATCGTTTTACAAACAGCGCGTATTTGATTTCTACACATTCAAATGAAATGAAGATTTTCGTATACTACGCGTTTTTTTTTATATCTACATGTTCCCGACATTTCGAATACATTACAGCCACCGTGATCACGGGTAAAGGAGATAAAATTTTAATTTTTCATCTAGATATAAAATAACAAAAAAATACATAGGATCCGAAAAACTTAGACACTTTTGTTGCATTTCTCATATACAATAATAAAACATACATTTTAGTATAAGCATGTATTTAAATTAAATTATGGCAGTGACATCAGTCGTATTATTTTCTCCTATTGTTTTAATCTCATCTCCAGTCGTTACAATAATATTATAGAAAATAAATAGTACTATAGATTATTTTCTAAGATATGTGTTTACCATAGTCTAATTGATTCCGTAAAAAATTTATAAATTCCACGAAGCATGCAATAGAACAATAATAATATAAAAGATAAAAATCTATCAATGATTTCGTAAACGAATTATATGAATAGTGCATTTGTTAATAACATGCACTATTATTGCGCCATTCTATGACTCATTAATTTAAACACGCAAATAAAAACATGCTATTTAATAATTGTATCCTAATAAGGATTTTAATGTGACATGAATAGTAAAATTCCATTCCATATTAATTTATATTATTTATAATATTAATTAATACGTCGCAATAAAAGGACGTTTGGGAAGGTTGTGTACTTAGTGCAAAGAGCGCGCGCAGACTTAGCTTAGAGGCAAGCTAAGATCGAGCACGTGAATAAATAAGTTTCGTAAACAACAAAAACATACGAAATACTTTTAATTCCTACCTATATACATTTAGTTAAACCTATATAATAATATAATTGTATCAAAAATTATATATATGTATTAATTTAATTTCATTAAAGCAAGATTTAAGTTTTAAATTCACAAACCAAAGTAGCATATAACATATGCTATTAAAATCTAAGTAAAGACAAACATACAAAGTAAATCAAGTTAAATTTGTAACATTTTCATGTATTAATCTTTTTTTATCAAGATTGATAAGGAAATGTACATTTCAGTTTGTAGTCAGATAACATCACGTCAAATCTAATAAAGCTATTCAGACATTTCTTATTACTGCATTGCAATTTATTTATCAAGTTCGTCCTACACAGTCATAAGTATGTGCATATCCTTAGTCTTATAAGTAATCATATATTTTTTAGTAATACATTACTGTGAAATATGTGGTCTGAGTATTGTAAAGAATTTAAAAGATTTTTTTTTTGAGATTTCTAGTGAGTTATTTATCTCCTAGATTATTAAGTATAAAAATATATATTCATTCTAACATACACATGTATTTTAAAAATACCCTCCAAATGTATGTATATACAAATTAATTATTTTACATATACTACATAAATTTTCTTGTATATATTGAGAGTAATGTCTTAGCTTACCTGATCCCGAGTCAGGAACCGAGGGTGCGGATGTATTGTGTTTACTGGTCCTTCCTTTCCGGGACTTCTTGCTTGAAGACACCGCACTTAGTGCATAATCACTGTCACCCTCGGCCTCAATCTCCAGACCAAAGTCATCATCCTGATTATATGAATAAGATTTTAAGCATACTTATATTGAAAATCATTTCAATGAAGAATTTTTAAGACTATGTAATTTTAACAGTCATATGAAGAATGATGTTTTTGTAGACTTTTTATTATTTTATTATGCATATAATTAATAAAAATATTAAGAAAATATATTGGATTTTGTCAATTACTGATATTTTCTAGACTATTTTAAATTTTACACTTATAGTACAATATATTAATGTTCCACTCACATCTTCACTCTCATTCTTTCGCTTCTTCTTTTTCTTTCTTCCTTTCTTTTCTTCTCCTCTTGCTTTTCTTTTCTTGCCTTTCTTTTTCTTTCTGCCATCTTCTGGAGAGTAATCATCATCTTCCTGACAGAAAAAATAAAAGAGTGTAATAAAAACTACTTTCGTATTAATAACGATATGATTTTTTTAAAGTGGAACAGCTATTAAAAAAATCTAAATAATAGAACAGGTATAAAAAAATATTTTTATTTTTTTTTTAATAAAAAAAATAAATAATTACTTTTGGCGGTGCTTCATCACTCTCCCCCGAGTTATCAATCTGACCCTCACCTTCTTCTACGTCTTCGTCGCCTATAACAAATATTTACAAAAAAGTGGTCAAACCAGTCAACATGCCTTCCACCTGCGAACCTTATCCAGTACGTTAAGATCATTCATTTTTGCAATTAACGAGCACTCCTAGATATAAGGTCACTAATCCCTTTGTTTGGCGGCGTCCATTTTGTTAAGTAGTAATGAGGGGATAATGCATGTTCTTTTCTGTCACAAACTGCCACATAAAAATATTTACAATGGGGCCATAACAAATATACCATTGAAACACTTAATCACATATCACTCGTTAGCATTTTCATTTGCATCTTGGTTTGAGAACGAGGTTTCACTACAGAAGCCGATTTTTTTTCAAATTTTAATTGCTTGCCGCAAGTAAACATATGATACCGCTATTCGCGGTTTACCTATGACATGCTAGGAAGAAAAATGAACCTTTACCTGCGAAAGATCCATCAACCTCGTCATCTGATGCCATTACACAGAGTTACAACACAACTTATTAATAAAAGAAAGATTTTTGTCTACAAAATGCAAAGGACGCGCAGTTTTTGCGACAAATGGTAATTAATTCAGAAATTGATGCCGCCGTCACTACGATGAACTAGCACGAAATAGCAAGCATAGCTTCCTCTCTGTCGCTCCGAAAGCAAGTGACAGACTAAGCATACCTGTAAGGGGTGGATAATACAGGATATAAAAGTACAGTTATACAGTTCTCTCTACCACGTTTCATTTAAAAATTAAAAAAATATATTTTTCGTAGTAATAATTTGTCTACGACTTTGTTTACATATTTCTTCTTAACCAATCTGTTCTTTATAACTGTTACTGTAACTGTATCCAGCAGATTTCATAAAACATACCAACTTCTAGAAATCTAGAATTCTAGAAATTCATAAAACTGATTAGTTTTTAACGCATATATATATTTCAACAGAAAGCTGAATGTATTCAATGACGTTGTACTTATAGTTCTTATTAAAACTGTTATTGTCTTTTTTATTAAATTATCTATTTAAGCACGATATTTATTTCATTTGCCATTTAGTTTGTTAGAATTAGAAAATGTTAATCATCATATTAATAAAATATTACAGAGCAAATCTATTCCACTTTGTGAATTACTAATTTATAACAAATATATTTAAGAATACTATACATGGTTACGATTTTATGTCTCAGCATACTAATCGTGATAGGTTATTTCAACGTTTATAATGCTTTGTTTTAGGGTACCGTTTCTCGAGAGCATTACATTTTAAATTTCTTGATAAAAACGAAACATTGTACTTAATATTTCTTTTTAACATGTGGAAGAAGTAAACAGATAAGAAATGACAGTTGTATAATTTAGATTTTTGATAATTGTGACATCTGTCATCACTCAAAAATACGCTTCTATTGAGCTCCATACAAGAAATTGATTTACAGTTTTGCATTGTATTTTTTTGTAAATTTAAATCTGAATGCTGCAACTGTGTTGATATTGCTTTTCTCATTCGCGCAATTTTTTCCGTAAATAATATTATTAGTAACACAATTGTAAAACTGTTTAAAGCAAGTCGAAATTAAAACAATGAACGCTCTCCTGGATTACGGTTCATCTTCTAGTGCTTCTGAAGAAGAAAGCGGTGATGAAGAAATGTATAAACATTTTAGTAAACAATCATAATAATTAATAAAAACAGTCTTACACATTTCAATATTATCATATATCTTTTAGAATTAAACCAGAAGATCACACAGATGATAAGCCTAAGTTACCAAAACCTGTGCTGGGAGAGAGCAGTCTTCACACATCAGTGTTTTCAAATCCATTTGCTGCAGCTGAAATAGCGAAATCTGCTATACTAGAAAAACATGTGAAAATGGTATATGTTGACTTTCTATTAGTTTCTAAATAATTTATTTTATATTTGTATGTAGTTTTACTTTTTTAGAAAGTAGAGGGGCAAAATTATAATTAACTTTTAGTGTCAGCACCGAGATGATTCTAGTAGTTATGGTACATTTTATTTTTATTATTAATATTTAATTTTATTATTATTTTATCATAATAATGTTTCCGATATAACATACAATCGTGAAGTACATAGGCCATGAATGTTAAGGTTTCAGGTAAAGACAATACCCAAATGATTAATGGAAAGAAAATATGTTGGAATTATAGAAAAGGTAAATGTCGTTTTGGACATAATTGCAAATATGCACATGACTCGGACATACAAAAATCAGCTGAGGAGCTAGAGGCTGAGAAACAGGTATGAATTGTTTAATATTTACATTGATACTACATAATATGTAATATATTATATTATCTTTTATGGGTACTTAGTGATATTTATTTTTAAATTGACTTTATTATGCTGTACCATTTCACATTCTTCACTGTTGAAAAGAAATATTTCTGAAAGACATAATTTTATATATCATTACTTGTGTTGATTGAAATGTGTAATGAAAACTTCATAGTGTGTTTTTCCAGTCTACTTACAGTAGAAAATTAAATAAATTGCAAAATGAAGCTATCTTTTTCATATAGATATGCAATATTTTATTACTGTTTTCTCAACGTTTCAATTATAGCATCTGTATTCATATGTGATCATGGCAAGAATTCTAAACATTGGGGAAATGTGAAAATAAAGTACATAAAAAAATTGGTTACTTAAATCAAAAAAAATATAAATTAATTTTCAATGTATGAATATCTTTGATACCTTCAAACCAATTGTATTTTACCTTAAAAGAAAATCAATATTTTTTGTTAAAATATATTGATAATTGTTAAATGGTATTTAAATTTGCATAAAAAATATTATATTAAATTTGCATAAAAAATATTACATTAGGTCCTATTATGCTTATTGATGAACCACCCAATTTGTTTGAATCAAAAGGTATTTGTACAATATATTTAAATGAAACTAATATTTTCGGATTTACTACATACGCGACTTTATTTTCGATAAAAACTACATACTCCCGACGTTTCGGCTACTTTTCAGCAACCGTGGTGATGGGCAGACGAGATGTGTATATCCAAAAAATATTAGTTTCATTTAAATGAATAAAAACTCGCGAAGATCTTAGATATCATCATACAAAATATAATTTGTGATAATTTTGTTGCGTTTCAGAATTTAAAAACAGTTGTTTGTGAGGGTGCTGGCACAATGTCTTCCGCGCCACCACCACAAGTTGTCTTGGAGGCATCCCTCGCAACAGACGATGAAAGTTGGGAGGGAAAGTCATGTAAGAAGAAAAAACGTCCCGGTTTAACTCAAGGTCTCATTCCTGGACAGAAAGTCATGAAATTGTATAAGGAACAAAGAATAAAAGATGCTCAAAAATAAAGTTTCGTTTTCTTCTTTCACTTTACAAATATAGTATAATAAAATACAAGATTGTAAGAATGTGTGGGTCTTAGTTGAACTTTATTGCAAAAACTACTTAATTTAATTGAAACTGTTTTCATAAATAATTTTATGTAATTTTTGTCAACTTCGTGATATTAAGCGCTTAAAGAGCTCTTGTTGCGTACGGTCTTTAAGTTAACTTAAAAGTATGTTTATTTTCATTTGATTATAGAGCCGATAAAGGTATGCAAAATGGCAATTCATATCTTGCTTAGAACATTGCGAGCTGAGTGAGAAGTAATGTTTTTCATAAAATAGTTTTGCTTTACAGAATTATAATTATTATTTCTAATTACCAGAAACACTAAACTTTTTTGATAAAATATTAATAATCGACACGTGTATGAGGTGCAGCGGCGTAGCTAGCTGCTAGCATAGGTGGCACCCTGGGCGGATTTTGTAGGTGTCCCCCAAAACTCAAACACAATGTATAAAATAAAAAGTAATTAACGTTTACCTTTTATTAAAATAAGTAATAATAAGTAATAAGTATTAATATATCATATTTCATCCCCCCAACTCTGAAATGGTATTTTTGCTATTCGATATCTGAGCGTGAAAACTGACTTTATCCACATAAGGTTAAAGTAAATTTGAATGTAGAACAGCTCGTCGTGTGCACTACGTATGTGATTTCAAAATCAAAACATCAATGAAACTATTTACTCATCTCCATGGAGTATTTATTATGCATCTTTTTTGAGATGAATGAAATGAACTCGGAACCTCCTAGTTGGTATATTTTGTGTTCAATTTGCTTTGCGTACGCCATTTTATTTTGACACCGTATTGTCATCGTATGGTCGTCGTCATAGATTTAGTATATGATACTTGTCCCTTCTCTCTTCTTTCTTCTTTTACTTCTATTCGTATAGATAAACTGACATCTTGGTAATGAATGCGTAACCAATTTTGTATGTCGTTAGTGAGGGATGTAATTTCTTCACTGAGTAGAAAGAAAAGTTACATGTTGCACTCGAGTGCCAAGCTTTTTCACCTTGCGCTCTTTTGATTTCCTCGCTAACGCTCAGGATCCTAATTTCGAATCACATGCTGCGCTCGTGATTCAACTTTAGAATTCTTCGCTTGCTCGGTCATCGAAATAGAGCTCGCGGTTAAGAATCAGCTTTTGCAATCTTGTACCTATAACAAATAACTAATGTAAAAGAGTATGCTAAAAATTAAAATTTCTTCCTTCTAGCTTTGATACTCGCGAAATCCGAAATCACGTCTTCAAAATTTATATTTTGTGTTGCTAATAGAATAGATGAAGTATTAAGTACGTGTCAAGCGTGCCACCTAATGTCAAAATTTAACCTATTTCCTTGAATGAAAAATGGAAGGCTAAGTACGTCAAGCGTTAACTTCTTACCTCTAAAAAAAGTGGTACGGCTCTAAGAATGGATGGAGTGTACAAACATATAATAGATATCCTTTTTCTTTTAATGACAAAATGGCTCACGAGTAAGGAGTACCTACTACCATCGACATACATATACTAATGGACATGCCGAACGCGTATAATCTGCAGTAATTTTTTGGTTTCAAAGGAGTGAGAGGTGGCCTATGCTTTTGGTTTTGCACTATCTCTTTCCTCATAGATGATTAGCGCACAGTTTTCATGACAAGCACTTCATATAAATTTGAGAGAGATAAAGATAAACCGAAACTTGGTTTCCTCTCTTTCTTTCGGAGTGCCACAATTCTCATCTCTACGACACTGATGAGGTGTATAGTTTATTTAATTGATAGATTGAGAATATTAAATTAATAACTGTCTCAAAACCATATTTCATATTTGACTGAATATGATGAAAAATCTAAAACTTTGATCAATGTGTAAATTTGGTATGAAAGTTTTCTACGCTTCCTAACAAAACTATTGTAATAAAAGAACTGGCTTTCTTCTCTAGTAGAATCAAATGTTGCGGAAATGGCAACACCTTTTTTTAAATCACATTTGCTAAATAGAAAATGAATATTTATTATTTGTAATGAGAACTATAAAATAAAATAAAACATAAAATCTTAGGGGCACATCTTTAATTAAAGAATAAGTGCTAAGTGGTACATCAAATGTTGAGATTTAAGTCTAAAATACATACTAAGGTTGCATAAAAATAATTCACAATGAATAAAATATTATACCAATGTAAACTAATGCAACCCTAGTGCAGTTACAGGCTCGCGTTTGTCGAATTCTCTAAGCTGAGATAACTCTAAATTCTTTATAACATTTATATAGCACAGCCATTTAACAATGCTACTACGGTGATTCCATACGAAGAACTAATAAGCTACAACCTTCCATAGCTTCCGCCAACTAAACTAAGTTTGAAATACTTTTATAAATGTGTCACAATTTATAAATTTTTAAGTACATATACTGATTGAATAAAACATGAGGTGGGAATTTATAAAATTCTACATAAAATTATGTACTTCATATATAAATACATACAGTATCTGGTATATTTGACATCAAATTAAGGGAATATAAAATAATAAATTCATTCATGAAATACAATGAGAGCGATACAACAAATTCAACAAAGTTTTAAAAGATATAGTCATTAGAATCACATATATATTGTAATAAATCTAGTTAAATTACTGAAAACTCTAATACCGGGGGAAAAAAAATCATTATTGCTATTTATGAGAAATGTCTTTAAAAAGAAATACTGTAAACATGAAGGCACAAACAATATAAAGAATAATAATTTCATTATTTCAATGAAATACTATGACAATGTTTAACATTTCATGCATTAGCTACGATAAAAAATATCTTGTAGTCAAGAAATATTATAAAAATATTTGATTTATTTGGCAATAAACGGTCATAACTATAAATACATACATAATAAGTACACATATAGTGTGAAATATTACAAATAGCTTGCGTATTCAACTAACAGTTTCATTGTATATTGAAATGTTAAGAATTTTCTTTTATAATTACATATATGTATATATATAAATACTTATATTTATAGAGGTCTATACTTTAACAGCATCTTTCTTGTGTATCTTTGGTGATCTCTTGGTGTTCTTCATGTTATAGTCAGCTTCAGTGACGTCACCATTCATGTGTCCAAAGCCATTCTCCTTATGATATCCGTTCCTGTCCCCGCCTATGCTCGATATCTTGCTGTACGTGTGACCTATGACCTTCGCCCCGTGACCGTTAATTTTCGCATCGTGACCGTTAATTTTCTCAGTATGACCGTTTCTAACATGGCCGTTAGTTTTTTCTGTACTGTGACCATTCATACATTTCGTTTGCCCTGATAAACCAAAACAATTTAATTTCTCTGTCGTCTGTAACCCTAATACATACTGGCGTAATTATGTTAGTCACGAATAAGCTACGTGTTAGTGTCCATACAAATCTCTTTAATACTCCCTAATGCTGTTCACCTTTAATGTTATCAGAGTACGAATGGATCTGAACGACAGCTTTCGTATCTGTAAATTTTATTCAAATTTAATTCCCAACAATGGGAAACTACTCAAGGTAACAAACAGTGCATACACCACGTATAAACTAACACATACTAAAAGAAAAATTATATGTGAAACATAATGTAATTAGCAGACATCTACAAATAATAATTATTATAACACAATTACGCCAGTAGACAGAAATACACACATGCAAGTATAATTATAATAAAAAGTACCACAGACAGGGAAATTTTATATATAGAATTTTTATACAACAAGGAAATGTATTCATTAGCTTAATATTCATGCAAGAATAATATTAATTTAATAATATTATTGTCAATAGTATGTAAAGATAAAATTTAAATTTCAAGCTTAATGTTTTTAGCTATTAACTAATATAGAAGTACCAACCGTTTCCGTCAGAGCCGGAGTAGTATTTAGTGGAGGTCTTCCAATCTTCTTTGAGGGACAAATTATACATGGAGTATGCAGGGTCACCGGTCACTTCTTTCTCGATAGTAAGGAACTTTGGCAGAGATGCCAACAGAGCATCTTGATCGTACATACCGCTGTAGGTCTCCAGAAGTACTAGGCCGCGACACCTGGAAGAGATTTGATGTTTTTAAGTAAAATGTCATATAATAGTATACCCATTACCTAGGTACTTGTAAACATAATTTATATATATTATATATATGAATCACCTTGGATGTGTTGGTTGTCGGTATATATCTAGCTGGTAGTACTGATTGTTGTATATGAAACAACGTCTCTTCTTGAAGATGGTGAAATGAGCGTCGTCTCTTTGAGGCAGCATATTGAGATAGTCTCGGTGTGTCAACTGAGTTCGTACCTCCACAGACTGGCCGTTGGTTGGATGGAATTTGCGTACAGTGTGTATATAAGACCAGTGGCCTTTCTGACCGCGTTTTCTCAGCCTGACTTGAGCCTTACGCACGTCGCTCTGTAGATAGTTGTGGACCACGTCAAAGTCCTGGAAGGGAGGGAATTCTGCGTCTGGCAACAACGGCGGCTTTACAAGGAACTTGCGCTTCTTGGAGTTAACATTCAATCGATCGCCGGTGTCCAGGCCGACCCGCTGACACACGCAAGCCAGAAGACGGTTCATCTTTTTGTCGAAGTCGGTGGAATTGTCAATGACATCGAAGTACGGGTGACCGATCCAAGCGGCCGCTGCGTTGTAATCCAATTCCCTCGCCAGCTCCACACCTTCTGATCTACACGCGTGCTCCTGAAAATTGCATATATTTGTCATGAAATTGGCCTTTATAATAGTAGACGAAATTTTGGTAACTCTGTCTAATTGTCATTTATACTGATTAGAATCATGAGAATATTGATTTTTTCGTAGTAAAACTCAGAAATAGCAGTCACGTGCTATTTTGTAAATTTGTTAGCCTTGATAGTTCGTCCAAAAACATGTTAATTCTATGGTAACAACATGAAAAATTCTAATAAGCATACATAATGTATGTTTAATGGTCAAAGTTTACAAGTAATTTCGTATAATATACATATATCGTGCACATCAATCAAACGTACGGGATCACGTGGTAGATAATGTGTTGGCAGATCTCCAGTACTGAGATAGCATTAATCAGTATACCACTTGCACTTTGTGATAAATGACATATATAGAACAACTACATTATTTATATACATAACGAGTATTATGTAATTATATATATACACTTAAATTTAACTCGTCTGAAGGTTTTCTTCAATAAAACACTGAGGTTAAAAATATATATTTTTTTTTATTTCACCAAAAAGTGTGAATAGCTTTTTTTTAAATGGGTAATAAATATTAGGACGTATGAATAAAGATTACAAAATATATATTACCTCCGTGGAGTAGAAGTCTTCAGCTCCGTTAGCGGCTGAGACCATGTGTACTATGTGGTTGTATCTGTTGTCACGCAGTTCTACACTGTTCCAGTTATTAGCGTTCATCATGGCTTCCCATTTCTCCTTTGATATAACTAAAATAAAAAACAAATTAATTAATAAAAAGTGATTTTGTTTTGCTAATACAAATACAACAAGGAAGGACAAATCAAAAGCAGGAAAGGGGAGGACATGCATGCGTGTATATAAATATAGAATAGATTTTGTTGCTTTTTTATGTACATTATTAGGACTACAATATAGTAGAGTGAAAAAAATATATTTTCATATTTTTTTTAATAACCAGTATACAATAATATAATATCTCTTAACTGCATGTGAATAATCATATGACCAGCCATTTTAATTTCTCTTTATCAGGGGTCGTATATGTTAAAATGAATATGGCATACAATCATGAATACATTTTTTACCTTTTAATAATTCGAAATAGAAAATTCATATGAAATTAATAGTGTACGTTTAGTATGAAGTAATTGATAATTATCGATTGCATATATAATTGACTTCAATACTCTTATTACAAGTGCGCACTGTTAGACTATATAAGAAGCGTTTACAGTATCTTATTTATAGATCATCGTAAAAAAATAAACTTTATATCTGGTAGTTTCGCTATGCAAATTTGTGGTAGGATAAACGTGTGAAAATGCTAAATTTATCTGCATATATATTCTTTAACGTGTACTAAAACCCGTACATAAAAACGATTTTTAAACTCTTTGCAATGTTCTTATAAGCACGCGTTATTTTAAATATTTCCCAAATAACGAAATTAAACAGCTAGGGTTTACTTAATTTAAATAATTATAACATCTTTGTGTTTTTAGTGAAACAATAAATTCCTTCGAAAATAATATGAAATTATCTTTTCAGACAGGTTGTTGTAAGGAAATGCCATCTGTCAATCATACGACATTGCTGACGTGAACACAGATAAACACATGTAGGAACTAAGAATTCCATTACTTGATTGCATCGAGTAGATGACTGCTTCGAGTAGAAACAGAATTTCAATTTCAGAAATACAATGAGATATTGCCAATACAAAATAATGATAGAAAATAAATTGGAAATGATTTAATTAAATACGTAACCAAATACGAAACGTGAGGCATGACGCAATTAACTTATTGGCTTAGAAGCCTGCCTCTGTTTATTTTTTAAAGCTATTTGTTTAATACATATTTTATATTAGAATTTTACATACTGTTACTATAATATTAGTACTGGAATCGTTAAAGTCACACAATTTTATTCATTATTATTTTCAGTGAAGTAACTTTTTACGTAGGTAGTCAATATAGTACCTACGTGTCCAACGAAATATAAAAGGACCGCTGACATGCTATTTGAAATATTTACATATATTTTTCCTACACAATGTATTAAAATAGATGTTTCATTGCGAAATATCTATGAATTTGACACCGTTTTATGTATATTTACGTTCAATTATATGAAAAACACGAATATCAAATATCATAAAAGAAAATAGTAGTTTATACGAAAATTTTTAATTATATTTCTATTATAGACACGCCTTTTTGTTTTCAGGTTACATCAAAATGTTTCTATATCTCAGATTAAACTCCAAATGTTATAATGACTGCATCTATTTTCAAATAACTTATAACAGAGAATTTTCAGAAACATCATAAAATTTTAACCGCACACGAATAACACATTAAGACAAACATACCTATACTAATGATGAAATAAATGACATCGTTTACGACGCAATATACCATATGATTTATGATTACCAAAAGTTTGATAGTTACTTTATGCATGGAAGGATATAAACAGTTTTTCATTCATATATCATCGCACATTATTAGCGTAAGATGAATGAGAAACGGGAAACGTTTGGTGTGTAGTATGATGCAAACTTGTGGTTAGCATACTAAACTGTGAATGCGAAATTAAGAACTTCAGTTAGGGACGACGCTTAAATTTCTTTTATAAAAATATTAAATTTCTTTATTAAATTGGTGGAATAAACAAACTTTCCTTTAAGCTACACAATTGTATGTCAGATTTTCATTATTTCCGGCGTCGGGACGTGACGACCCCATCGCCCACTGGTGTATTCCGGTGCAATCAGTCACGGGGGGGGAGGGCTGGGGGTACAGCCCTGGGAGTAAGACGGTCACGGATCTGGCAGGAGGCCGTCCGTGGCTGTCTTGGGGGGGAGGGGTAAGGGGTTAACCCTCTCGCGATTAAGCAAGCCCGCCAGGCGGGGGGACACTCCTGGTCACTTGGAGTGAGCCCTCGGGGGGGGGGGGGGGGGGAGGTGGCCGTTCGCGGCCCGCCGCCGGATCGTCGCGGATGCATGCTTCGGCGTTTCCCGTGGCGATCCACTTGGTGGCAACGGAGAGTGACCGCTGGTGTTTTAGTGGGTAACATGGGCCCTTCTGGCCGTGAATCCCACATAACCGCCTCTGTCTCCCCTAGACGGAGGGGTAGGTATAAAACCTTTCACCGCGATAACAAAAAAAAAAAAAAAAAAAAAATTTTCATTATTAAACTGATGTAGTTACATAGTAATATAACCTTAGTCAAAGCTTATTAATTCACTCTCATACTTTGAAGTATTTCAAATTCAAATTTTAAGTATAATGACCGACAGAGGTATTTCACTACTTTGCTGCACATGAGAAATTGGCAAGCGAAATGTTTCGTCCGCATGCGAAGGAAATTAAAAACCATTATATTCCTCCCGGTGACGCTTTTGAAGCTTTAGGGCTAACAGTTACAGTGAAACCGAGACAAAAAAAACATAATGGAGACGCTAAGGAGGTGGTAGTGCCTAGCTGTGGTCAAGTTACTGCAGCTCGAACATGGGCTGGATAAACCCGGAAGGTACCACCCTCTCACAGAAGATCAACGTGAAGTAGTCTTTAATGGCTGCGTTACGTCCGATGAGTAAGAGAGACGGTTGCCTTTTCTCTCCCTTTCCCACCTTTTCCTCCCCCTCTTTCCCAATTAAGGGAGGCAACGCATCCGCAAAACTATATTGTCGATATCCATAGGTGATCGTACTACTTCCATCAGGAAGACAGTCTGCTCGGTTGCCCCTTTTTGGCATATAAGAAAAAAATATAGGAGAAGTGACTTACATGCACTAGCGTCCATGGCCCCTCTATCGCATATGATGAGGCAGTTCCTCTGACAAGTTCTGCCCAACTCGAAGAAAGTGTTCTCAATCTGTATCATAGTCTTGAGTAGATTCTCCTGGAACTTCATCGCTGGAACAATAGAAACATCAACTCGTTTAATATCAATCGCCATTAAATATCTATACAGGGTGACTGGTGAATTACTATCAATATTTAAGGAGAATACTCGGTACATGATTCTCATTCGAATTATGTAAAAAAAATAGGCACTTAATTTTTGACAAAATTTCCGTAATAAGAAGTAAAGTGTTGACACGTTCCAAATGTTCAAGTGTGGACGCGTGCGGCGACGTGCTGATACAACACTACGTCACGACACGCGTATGTGTGAGTGTCAGTGTATACCTAATCTGTAGGATGTTCACACGATGCGTAATTAATTACACAACTTTTGGTTAACTTTACTTAGAAGTTTATTAATATTTATGTTATATTAATTTTTATTTTGTCATATATGATCGTCAAATATCACGTCCTCAAATATCGATAGTAATTCACCAGTCACCCTGTATAGATTTTATTCACATTTAATTTACATCAGATTGTCTTAATGATTTTTGACATCGAAATTAAAATACAGAAAAATTAATTGACCTGGCATGAAACTTGTATACTTGTATAACTTATTTATATATAGGTAGAATTATATGTAATATGTATTTAGGAGCTTATCATTTGGAAGACCTCCAAAACAAAGAACGAAATGAAATCTCAAGTTCAAAGTGAGCGTACACAATATTTCATATAGTATGTTTTATCGAATTTTCAATCGATATTTTTTTTTTTTTTTTTTTTTTTTATGTCAAAGGTGGCAAACGAGCAGACGGCCCACTTGATGGAAGGTGGTTACCGTCGCCCATTGACATCCGCAACAAAGATGTTGCGGATGCGTTGCCAACCTTGTTTTATAGGGATAGGGAGGGGTGGGAATAAGGATATTGTAGGAAAGGGTGGGAATAGGGAAAGGGCAACCGGCTCTCTCACTCATCGGACGAAACGCAGCCATTAAAGGCTACTTCACGCCGATCTTCTGTGAGAGGGTGGTACTTCCCCGGTCGAGCCAGCCCGTGTTCGAGCTGTAGTAACTAACCACAGCTAGGCTCTACCACCTAATATCCGAAATTATATATAACTTTATATATATTTTATTTTGTACATTCCATAAAATGTATCAGCCTTGAATACGACGGCAAAATGATAATAATATGGTTCTTACATGAGTAATTCTTTATGTAAAAAATACTTATGCATATTATTAGACTGATATAGAAAATTACGTAATCAGATCATATGTCGTATGAAATTATATATTTTTATATCAAACATATAATTTTAAAGGCCTTATAAAGGCTGGAAATAAAATGCCGTCATCAAAATTACAGTACAAATGGAATGACTATTTATTTAATGGTCGTTAGATGGATTTTTTATGTCAAAAGTATATAAGGAAACATTATTATAATGTGAATTTATATTTTCCGTTATTATCTAAGCAAATTATAATAAATCTATTAAATCCTAGCTTTTTTTATTATGAAAATATACAAAAAGTTTGCTTAAAAATTAAAAGTATTGAAAACTGATTTCGTTCTTACATTATCACTGTTTTGTATTTAAAATAAAGCAGCCTGGATTATTAGCATTAAGTAATATAGGCTAAGAGCTATCAATTAATGCCATTATAAGCAGTACAGCTATTTATTTCATTCATTACTATAATTATCATCATCAATACATTGCTTATTATATTTTAGTTTCATTTAAATCTATATTGAAGCATTGAAAGATAATTCCTTTGTAAAGATCTCAGTGTCACTACACACGTACAGATGACGTTTGAGTTTATTTTCATCGTATGCCAATGAACCTAGACGAAGTACCACACGCCTCTTTTTCTATTTTATTTCAAAACAGTAGCTAACTGAAACTCTCGCAAAACAATATATAAAATTAACCGAGCTGTAATAAAAAATGGCCAGTGACGGAATCAGTCAGCTGCGACATTTCACGGAACGTTTGAAAAGTTTTTTAAATAAACGAATAACAGAATTGCCTTCATAAATTACGTTTTTGATGGCTTCCTTTATTTCAATAATGTCGAATAGCTGCGTAATATAAAGTACTTGTGTGAGAATCGTTTGACAAAAAAAATAACTACGCAGAAACAAAAATAGAGCTATCAAGAAAATATTTTTTTTATATAATATGATGATGGTAAAATAATGCTTATTATGAGATTAAAATATACATATATGTAAATAATATCTTGTATATTTAGAAAATCTGTATACGTATATAAGCTATGTAAACATTTGCTAACCATCGCAATGTGAAACGCAATAAAACTGCCACTAAGCTGGTTTATGGCTTCAACCATTGTTATAGCCCGGCTAAGGTTTATACATAACTACGGTCGGTAAAGGACGTTAAACTAAGTATATTATATAAAGATTTAAGAAGACTTATTATACAGGGTGACTGGTGAATTACTATCAATATTTAAGGAGCATACTCGGTACATGATTCTCATTCGAATTATGTAAAAAAAATAGGTACTTAATTTTTGACCAAATTTCCGTATAAATAAAGAAAGTGTTGACACGTTCCAAGTGTTCCAAGTGTGGACGCGTGCGGCGGCGTGCTGATACAACACCACGCCCCCGCCGCGCGCGTGTGTGTGTGTGTGTATACCTAATCTGTAGGGTGTTCACACGATGCGTAATTAATTACATAACTTTTGGTTAACTTTACTTAGAAGTTTATTAATATTTATGTTATATTAATTTTTATTTTGTCATATATGATCGTCAAATATCACGTCCTCAAGTATCGATAGTAATTCACCAGTCACCCTGTATAACATGAAGTTAAAATATTATTACACATTGTCATCTTAATTTTGTAATAAATTTCATTTTTCCTATCATCATCGTCAGCCTATCAGAGCCTACTGTTGAGCATGGCATCTTTTCACATGGAGAAGGTTAGAGCATTAATCACTACGATTTTTCTTATAGTAACATCTATTATAAAAGTATGGAGAGACTATTATTGATTGTCTTGTATTACATATTTCCTTATATTCTTCATATATAACACCTATATATTCCATATACATATATGTATAGCTCGGAAAATTGGGCTTGAGCAGACAAAATACTAACATTATGAAAAGTAGAAATCAATACACTTAAACAACATAAATTCGTACGACGCATATTTAATTAAAAAATGTTAATTAAGAATAAACTAATCGTATATTTAATTAGAGATAACCTCTATTAGCTGAGAACAAGATAAAGATTGATCGCAGTCACTTATTAGGTAAATTGACATAACTTTATGACAGAATAAGTAATTAACAATGAATACCCATTTAGAATGTTTCATTTAATATCATAAAAAGTAATATGCTTTGAGACACGTGAGTAATAAAAATGATAAAGTAAGTGCAACAAATATAAATTACTAGTTTTTGCCCGCGACTTCGTCCGCGTTAATTTCGTCGTCGTCATATCGTTAATCGTAATACTTTTGTCTTTGTTCTGATTTTTTATTTATATTTTTGGAGTTTACCTTAAAGCAATAAATATCTGTGTTCTGAAGTGCGACAGAATGATTGACATATGTATTAGTTAGTTGTCAAATCTAATGTCAAAGAAAACGTTTGTATGGGAAATAGAAAAGGGCTGTTTTTATGGTTTTCCCAGTAATGAATAAATTTTTTTCAGCTTTTATACCTTCCCTGAACCTCCACGAACATTTCAAGACTAAGATAAGATAAATCCGTTCAGCTGTTCTCGAGTTTTAGCGAGACTAAGGAACAGCAATCCATTTTTATATATATAGAAGATAATGCTGTAAAATTAAATGCATTTTATTATTATTTAGCCGTTTTAAATTTTCTTTGTAGATACGGTATGGAGGTAGATTTTCTTTTTGTATTTCGTGATATGAAACTATAATTTGTTATAGAAATAACTTAAAATGAATAATTTAAAACATTCGAGCAGGACAATTTTATGAGAGTTTTTTTTTGATAATTTTATGGTTTACGGGTCGCAATATTTATTTATAAAAATAATATGGGAAATTTTGGGTTTGCGGTTTTCCCTAAAATTAAAATAATGTGTTTCAAAAGTATAGCATTCAGACTTCTACCCCAATGATGCCGGGAACTGATTGTAGATATCCGAGGTCAAATCTGCCATTTATAACAGACCAGACGTCTGGTAAGCGACACCTCATAGGTACAAAGAAAAACGTAATGGACACTCACATTATAACCAACTAAGGAAATACCAACGTGAAATCAAACAAACACATCCATATTATTAAAATCATCGTTTTGTCTTCCATTTTGATGCAAACATTACCATTGTGTTCGCCCGAGCCTTGCAATTCAACGACATTACAAAAATACCACTTATTATGATTATATGCACAAGTCCGCAAGCTCTTTCATACTAAAATGTAGGTTTTAAAATTATATAGACAATACAAATAAAGCACTAACGTGACTTTATACCCTCATGTATTGATTTTGTTTCAGAACTCATTGCTTATTCTAATTAAATTGCTATAGGTCAGAGCCATCAATTCTTTATCAAGAACGCTCAAGGGTCGTAAGCTTTATGGGGACTACTGAATTAATTTAATATGGTTCACATCAAAGTAACATTGGAGATATTTATGTAGCTTAGTAAATAACAAAGTGACTATGTATTTCTGAACACACGAGCCTCTATCAAAAATATTTAAAGGTTTTTATTAGTATGTTAACTAAGCCAAACATTCTTTATTTCATAACCTTATATACTTAATTTTTGAATTTTTTCGTGCTGTATATGCTTTGAATAAAACATATATCAAATAAGACTTCATCAGAAAACGCTCATTATAATTAATAACTATACAAAGATATATCTTCCTAAATGCTTATATTCGTCGATAATAGCGATAATTTTAAAATCTATTAGGACCCATCACTAAAAGCTAAACCTGTTACGATAATTTAACCAACTGATACGGTATCATCGTTTTGTTTATAATAGAACTGGTATGGCAAGATCACGAGGTTATCGAAATCGGAACAAAATTCACAATAACAACAGTAATTTAGCAAAACCTTTGGGCTCATCTACAGGGTGACTGGTGAATTACTATCGATACTTGAGAACGTGATATTTGACGATCATATATGACAAAATAAAAATTAATATAACATAAATATTAATAAACTTCTAAGTAAAGTTAACCAAAAGTTATGTAATTAATTACGCATCGTGTGAACACCCTACAGATTAGGTATACACACACACACACACTTGGAACGTGTCCACACTTTATTTATTTATACGGAAATTTGGTCAAAAATTAAGTACCTATTTTTTTTACATAATTCGAATGAGAATCATGTACCGAGTAATCTCCTTAAATATTGATAGTAATTCACCAGTCACCCTGTATATCTAAACATTTAAATTGTCATACAATGTCTTGATGTAATATTCCAGAGTAGAGTCATTTATATTTTATTGACTTGACCCTTTTAATGTACGCATTAAACTGTATAGATAAAGAATAAATTGAAACTATCAAATCGCGTGTTACGTTGTATCAACCCTGTCTTAATGCTTTAGAACATTACGATGCTAATTACCATAAAAATTTGTATTTAACTTCCATTGTATATCAAGGTAAAATGTAAAAAATGTTTACGTTTTAACAATGATATTTCAGTTACCAAAGAAATATTATTATAAGCATTAAAATTCTACTCAAACATTAAGTATGTACCTATAATGTATTTTATCAAACTACCCGCAGACAGACCTTAGACGACGCTTGTCAAACAAATTCTCTAGAGGTCAACTTCTGGCTGTGTTATTATTTGTATTTATTATCAAGAATGTTTCAAATATGTGTTAAATATCAAAATCTATATATTACCTTACTTTACCAATTTTTTTATAAATCAATATTGTAAGCAATATTTAGTTCGGGCTTAGATTAATAAAACATACGTCGTAAAAACTTAATATCGAGCGTTCTCTTCATTCTAGCAAAGCATAGAACAGGTATCATGTTCAACCGGTGACACTAGAGTAAATGTTTTGATAAACAAATAGTTACATATGCATATAGTAATGTAATCAGATAACTGTTATATGATACTAGCCACGACACTAGAACATATATAACATAGACATGTTTGATATATATCAGAATGTAGATGAAGAGTTTACATAAACAATAGCAATACATATTTTTTTCTGGCAGTGCTACGGACTCACCAGAGGCGGACTGCCTCGCTCTAGCCAATGCGGCGGCGGAGCACCTTTTGCAATAACCGTGACATTTACTGTCCCTCGTTATTGTTGTATCCGCTAATAACATCAAAAAATATGAAATCACGTAGAGAAATCGTACCAAATAAAAAATGTACCACAAAAAAGATATTGAATACGAGGTCGTAGTAATGTAAGAACAAGTGACAAAATTTCAATCCCTACTAATAATATTATAAATGCGAAAGTAAACCACTGAACTGATTTTAATGAAATTTGGTACAGACATAGTTGACCTTGAGAAAGTACATAGGATAGTTTCTATCCCAGACTTTTGAAAGGTTCTCTTGGAAACGCGATATAACCGAACTCCACGCGGGCGAAGCTGCGGGCGGAAAGCTAGTAATATATATATTACCAGTGATTATTTCTGATGTAATTTGTAGTGTCATTATCATCACGTTAAGGAAGGACAATTTTAATAATTAAAACAATACATTCTAATGATCAACTCGGTTCTCGTTTTCACCGGATCTATTTGCGTCGTGTTTTAACCGATTCAATTGGGATCGAAGCGAAATGTTATCAGTTGACCGCTTCCGAGTGTGATCATGACAACCCAATTGTGACGATGTACGTAACTTTTAAAAACTAAAGACGTAATAATTATTAATATAAAAATTTAATTGTTAATAAATATTAATGAAGTAGGAATATTTCTTAGAACTTAATTATTTCATACTATTTAGATGTCAAAACCACAAGACTAAAGCCTAACTAGTATTTATGTATAAATGATTAGATCTCAGAACTGAAATTTCCAAAGAGTCGATTATTTTATACCATTATCCCATCCATAATTATTAAATGTCATTGTATATAATTATCCGTTCATGTGGAGACGTAGTTTCAAGATAATCAAGTATTTTAATTATAACTTGTATCAAAGTTAATATTAACATTTCCTTTATATTTAAACTTAATTTATGGTAAGCTTAGTAATCATTATTCCATTGAAACAAAAAAACTTTAAATGAATACTGGCTTTATTTATTAAACCAAGTAATTTATATTTAAATTGAAAAAAAAAACGCGTCCATCAATGTCAAGAGCGTCAATGTCAAAACAATGTTTCAGATTTACACTGAAAATATTCGCAGTGACGTTTATTTACCATACTAACAATGCACTTTGGTACTATTGTTGTATACCGAATATATTTTCAGCCGTGAACGTGACCGTGGAACGTTTACGTCAAAGATATCTAACGTGGTCACCCGTGAAGCCCCATAACACCTCTCATAGCGTTCTATTTATACATATACATGGAAAAACAATATTAACATATATGGATTTAAAGAGTATACAGTTAATATTTTGTATTGGTCGTTAAATTAAACTTATGAATATACTTGTATATTTATATATTATTTTATTAAAATCACGTGCATCTGAGATACTGCTAATGATGACGTCAAAAAAAATCCCAACTTCCTACAGATTCATTCTTAGAAAATTGTAAATATGTATGTATTTCCATATTCGTCAATAAATATAAAGATAAAACACTCGCACGATAAGAGATAAGGAAACACAATAACAAAAAAAACGTGATTTGCCGGGAAAAGCAAAATCGTGTCTAATTTAAAATACCATTACATTTACCAAACAGTTTACCAACATTCAAATATAATTTAAGCTCAAATGAATTTTATTTCAATTTCGAATTTTACATGTTCAATAATGTTTAAAAATTCGTATTTAATCTATAAATAAGTGTATGACAATGAAAACAAACTTGGCAGTCAAAATAATTTCGACCTACCTTAAATACCAGCCCCCAAAAATATGAGAAGGGCGTGTCGTATAAAAATCTATATATCATTATTCTATAAGAAATGTGTTGAAACACAAGAAACAAATACATTTAGAACATCTCGAAATGAACAGCTATGACGCATATCGCTTGTTTATACAATTGAACTAAATCATACTTTCCTTCAGTTATCAAGATTACGCAATGTATGTAGCATTGAATTCATATAAATTTAGATCCATTGTCAATTATAAAGTGAAGTCGTAAATCTTACTCGCTATTTATTTATATAATTAAACACGGTCGATTTATCTCCATTAGCAAAATAAAATTCACATTCGGATTTTTAGTTATAAAATTTTAAACACATTCAATTTTTTTTTTAACGTAACAAGAATAGAAACGAGCGAAGGTTGAAAAATAAAATGCCAAGAAAATAAATATAGTCTATTCTAGAGGTGTTAAGGCGAGGAAATTTTCATCAGCATAATTATTAATATTTGGCACGAGTCACTCACGACAGACAATGTCAATAAAACGTCATACTGATGAATACACATATAACTATATATTAAGAAGTAATTAGAATGATTACACAGACTATATTAAATGTCACTGATACTGAAAACTAATACAATCTTAGAGTGACATAATGTATTTTTTTTTTATTCAATTAATAATTTATAAATCTTACCTTCATCTGGGCTGAGATCTACAAACTTTATGCCGCCACTGAAAAAGAAATATACTTTTGTAGAAACAGTATTAGGAACACAATTATTTCTAATTCAATGTATAAAAGTATATTATATGTCAATTTTCTTCATCAAACATAAAAAAATAAAGAAACACTGTATAATACAGGTACATGTTAGTAATATTGTTATAAACAAACAGCTTTGCTTTAATGGAAATGAATCACTCAAAATCATTACACCAACAATAACAAAGTTAAAATATGACTTGTATAACAAAGGAGTGAGATATATTTGAAAAGGATAAATTTTACAATAGCATTGTTGAGTTTTTTTAATCTTTATATTTTTTATCCAAAGGCAGGATTGATTAGAATTAATGCATGAAACCTGTTCAATAATTAAATATAATAATTAATAATCATTTTAAAGTGAGTAATGCAACATTCACTCTGCGGAGTGTAAAGGCTGCATTTCATACCTTAGGAGGACGGTAGCCGTTTCCGGCACCCGGAACACCTGGAAATAAACACATGTCGAAAAATGTTTTCTTGGATCTCCTAAAGGAGAAACCACACATATTTATAGACCACAAATAATTCTAGTTGAAGTCATATTGGATTTGTAAACATAGACAACTATTTGACTTCATAATCTTGTTGTTTAACTCAAATATCAACAAAAATCGAGCACTGATAATATTATAAACAAAGGAATATCGATAATTTTAATCCAAAGGAATTTGGTTCTGTTATTCATAATAGATAAAAAAATCGGGGTTTCAAAGAAATATATTATTCAGAATGTATTTACCTTCCATCCCAAGTTTTCGAAGAAAGTGCTGAGACGGGATTGTCCCGTGGTTTTACCGCCGCAAGGTCCTGTTTAGGTTAAAGTAATATGAATTGCATCAAAATCGTGCCAAGTTTCCACGTGTTACTAATAGCAAATCATACTATTTATATAATTTAAAAAGTCGAATTTATCACTAGGATTGTATTACTAAAACAAATGTTCTTTAAAAATGTTTATTTATAAAATTACACTATATTATTAATTATTTCTTACCTCCGGTTAATACCAGCTTGTATACGATTTTTTGGGATGAATTCGCCATTTTTGTCAAACACATAAATATAAATTAATTCTAATTAAACTATCAAACTTGCGGGGAACGTGATATCATAAAAATGAAAAAAATATATAAATGTTAAATAAAGCCATCACAGCAAACTTCGCATCGCCTGACAGGCGCGCGACGAAATGAAACCTCAAAGACGAAATTCGATTGAATGTAAACGCATGGACAGATTAAAAACTGCTATCGTAGACATACGACCCGTTCCACACATACGACTATCAACTTACTTGTTTATTAAATCATGATTAGAACTTTGAAATATCCCATTTTTTCTTATTATTAGGAATAAAGTAAAAATATATAAAATATTATTTAAAATATTATAAAAATATTAGGATTATTATTAGGAATAAAGTTTTTTTTAAACAGGACTTATAAAAATAAATCATATAAATTATTGAACAATCTACGAGAAAGAAATATAACATAGGTCGACATGAATTTTTGACTTTGAGAAAAGTGTAAGAAATATCGATAAATATATTGAATATTTGAGCAAAAAATATATAAGGTAAATAGTTTGCTTTTGTACCAAAAAAAAAACAGTTTATCTATAATAAAAAAATCTTAATTTAAATTTTGTTTTTAAAAATTTAAATTTATGTAGGACTATGTATTTCATTTTTTTTTATTTTTGTATGATATCAAATTATAAAATAGTAGAAAAAAGTTTAAAAATGATCCCTTTAACATTTTCTTTCGTGTTCATCAAAGTCCAGATATAACCCCCATCATATTTTTGTTGTGTTTTCAATGATAACAGTGTTTGAAGTCCAGGATGTTTTAGTAAAAGAGTTGTTTTTCAATTTATCTAAATGATTTTGCAGAATATATACTTTTAAAAACATTCTGCAGCCCAGACTTAAAAGCTTTTAAGGTGTTTTCAATTAGCTCTTGTCAACTCTTTTTTTATTCCCTAAAAGCCAAAGACCATATATATCCTTAAAACTATTATTTTTTTGTGCACTGTAGTTAGTAATTTTGAAATTATTCAGTAGCAAAAACTTATTTTGTTTATGGGCCCAACAAAAATTCTAACCCTAAAATTAGGTTCTTAGTACCACTTGTAAAAAAAAGTATTGTAAATGTAAAAGCTGCAGTCGTTTCATCCAACTTTTTACGAATTGCTTCATAAGGCCTCTTATGTTTTGTAAAAGCTGCATTAATACATTTTCAGTTTCAGCAATACCTTTTATTTTCCAATTCAAAATTCATTTCTTAGCGGCCATAAGGCCTCGGCCTCGAATTTTGCGGGCAGCGGAGCGGGAGCGGGAGCGGCAGGATCTTACGCGTATAATCAAATGCACCGACCCTCGAATACAGCGGTGCCCGCTGCCCGCTAGTTTGGAGAACAGTATGCGTTTCCGTGCCGCCGCCGCCGCCGTTCCGCTGCCCGCAAAATTCGAGGCCGAGGCCTAACCGTTAAATAGAGTGTCAATCAACCGCTCTTCTTACCCATAAACAGAGATATAACATATATTTTGTATATTTTCTCTGTAATCCTGTGCTAAGTGCTGGTAAAATATCAACAGGATTTATTGTCATATTTATTATAAACGCACACTAAAACATTTGTTTTTTCTTCATTTTAAAGCACAGTGAACGGAAAAATCTCAATATAAAATTTAAAACAGGCATATTTTTGAAAATAGAATTGTGTAATTGAATGTTTTTTCTTGTGATTTAATTCGTAGTGAGTGTCCATCCTGAACCAAATTTTTTACATCAATAAAGAAATATAATTTAAAAAGGATATTTTTTAACAGAATTGAAGAAAGCTACTCTTTGGTCAGTCATTATAACTTAGTGTTATTGAATCTTAGTTTTATATGAACGGAAGGGGCCTAGTTATACAAAATATTATTTCTCTCTCTTAGTTACATAGTGGAGTTTCCTTATAGATAACGCCAATAAAATGTCTTGATATATTACTGAACTATGTAAAGAGATATTTGTGAATGAACAAGATCACGACTAGAGACTAAGAACTTTGATAATGCTGAGATCGTTAGGTACTGCGGGGTACAATGTTGATTTATCTTAAACAAAAAAAAACACATTATATTTACAAATGTTTTGTCGATTAAGACACACAGTTTACAGTTTAATGTTATTTTGGTTAATGAATGAAATGAATACAAAGAAAAGGGAAGTAAGGATTTGAAGTCAACGGGGCGAGGAATTTTGGGAGAAAGAAGGTCATAGACAGAAAAAGACAGTCGGGGGCAAGTGACAAATATGTGATCTAGGGATCCTTCATCAAGACCGCACACAAAAAGAGAGCTGTCCTTAATGCGAAGTTTAGTCAAGTGGACAGGAGTACACGCGTGCCCTAATTTTAATCAACGTATTATGCTAGTAACGCATTTTGTAAGTTTTTAATATTGAAGAACCAAGGACAAATTACTTAGAGTCGTAGTTTGGACGTCCGAATAGTATTTCCCTTTGGAACAGCCAGTTTTTAACCAACAGTCTGTCCAATATATTCTTGATGTCTATAAGAAAATGAGATATCTGGAATAAATCTGCAACAAGAAAAATCCAGCACTTTTCTTTTAGGAATAGATACAGATAACCCGTGATTATGGAGCCAATCCTGAAGGTAGCTAATGGTTGAGCTGAGACGAGAAGAGTCCTCATCGATTGTCTTTTCGGACACATAGAGATCCAAGTCGTCAGCACTTCACAAAACGAATACTAACGGGCTAAGCAGTGAGCCTTGGTATGCCTTTTCCATACTTGTTTAAGAGAAGATTCATAATTAGGAGACCGAATGGAAAAAAATATGTAGCTAAGATTATTGAAGATAATGTTTAACATCCTCGCAGGAATACTCAGCTGACGCATTTTCTGCCTGATTATTGGAAGAAGAACATTATCATAATCTAAAAAAATAACTAAGAAGACGAAAATCATAGACCTGAAATAATACGTTTTAACTCAGAGAGTAAAGCAAGGTTAGGGTTAGGGATACAGATAGTGAGGAAAGAAATATTTTAAGCTGTGACTGCAATTGCAAAAACGCCGGCACTATGGGGAGAAAGAGAAATTTCTATTAAAAATTACCTTTCTAGATACTAAAATCGCTTAACCAGTATAACCATCTGACATGTCGTCAGGGAGATATGAATAACCTGGGATACTTAAGCCAGACTGACTTAAACAATCTCTCCTCAATAGCAAAAACAAAGGGTTTATAACTATTAATAAGAGAATAATATATATTTTTTATGCCGAATTCTGTGACAATTCTTTTAAAGGTTTTTGGTCTTTTTGTATAGTGGTAAAAATGTGACTAAGTTTAGATATGACACTGTTCAGTAATTGTGAATCATCAAAGCGAGAAATTATATTTAAAATTGTAGAAAAAAGAAGATCTAACAGATTATCGTTATCTCTAAAATTGTACTGTTGTCAGTAGTTTTTTTATTTAAACGACGAGTTCTAACAACGGAACCAAAACCCTCGGGAACTACTAGGGATGTGACCACTTCCTCTAGTGAACACCCCACGGACGCATTGCTTACAATACCCATATGGTTAACATAAATGAATAATTTTTTTTGTAATGTATAATGCTGTTAGCCCTGTGGCTCTTACAGCGTCACCGGAAGAGTGCAAGGGTAATCTAGAAAGGTATAAGCCGCATTAGCCATTTAACCGTTTTAAATTCAACAGACACTCGATTACGGCCAATGTACTTAACTAACCATTCATAACTATATACTTGATATGATTTTGGTCTAAGAAAAGATCGAACTGTATGAGACGACGGGAAGTACTGGAAGAGGGCTCACAATCATTACTCACATGAACCAAAAAGAGAGCTGAATTCTGATCTGAATCACGTTTTTTTGTAACTTCATATTCAGGTACAGAAAATACCGACTGCATCCAGCCGACTGTTTTGGCCATGGTATATTTTTTCATCAAAAAGGTAGATTTGGGGTCAACTATATTACATATGTCCTTTCGTTGGAGATGGGATTGGAACCGGCTCAAATGGGGATGGAAGGGCAAAGGGAAGCACGGTTGAACATACAACCTCCCCCACGATCAGGGGGCTCCCCACTATACATATTTACACTAATTAAATACTTACTTCTTATACACCACACTTATGTATATAAACACAAAATGCTAAAAAGATAATGACCAGGAATTCAACTATAACAATAAAACCAGAAAACTAAAACAAATTTGAACAAAACACTTGTTCTAAGATGCTGAACATCTCTATCGATAATGACTTAAATTGTACAACAAAAAATTCCGAAAATAATTGTCTATTGTTTCATACCTTTAAATGGATTATAATAAAGTGAAAGCTACTGGAAAAAATATATATTAAGATTTACAATGTTATGTAATCATGAAACCGGTTCATATTTTTAAAAATAAAGTTATGTTAATTATTATTAATTTTTCATAGTGCTTATTATATTGTATTGTAACAAGTGTTCATCTACCAATCCTTTTATTAAGGCATTGAGAGAATGAATAATAAAAATAATTATTTATATATATTTAAGAACTAAATAAAATTTTTAAACTTAAAAAAAACTTAAATGATATTTTTTTATAAAATTTTAGGGAGTATATGAAAATATATATTGTTTTATCTTACACCCAAAGCAGATATTTTCAATGTACAAGTTTTAACTACATGAGGGTTATTACAATTTGTGGCAGATATTCTTATAGTGAGACCATTATCATCAATAGATTCTGGACACCTGTTTAACGTTAAAAGTAGTGCTGGAATATTCTGCCAGTATTTTCCTAAGCAACGATTGGTCTTCTCTATATAGTTGCTACCATTATTTGCACTAGTCGATTCACCATCTGAAATAAGACATCCATCTCATTAAAATTAATATTAAACCAATTACAGAACTGATATTATACATATAAAAATTTGTGTATCATAAAGAAAATAATATGTAGGTTCAAAATACTATATATTAATAGCAACAAATAAAAAATTAAAGAATCCTATCGCATGATACATGTGTTTAAATAAATTAAACCATAAAAAATATATAATCTTCCTGACATAAAAACAAATTTGGGCCCCATGTTTATATATATAAATAGTTAAATATCAATATTATTTTAATGTAAATTATTACCATTATAATCAGGTACATCTTGATCAATCCACCTAGTCTGTACATTGACACATATAACACCCACATCCAATTGTTTATTCAAATATTTGAATAGCAATACTAGCCTATTTAAAAAATGTAAGGCTGAAATTTGTTAAACAATTATAATCCAATTAAATCATCAATATATACCATAGTATAAGTATATTAATTCACCCATTTTGTTATCATCACCAAAATGTTGAAAAACAAGGCACGGGAGGGAATCTATAATTACAAGTGCCAAGTTTTCAACAACAATCAAACCACTTTTGATTTTTTGTATGAATTCAATTAAATCTTCAATTGTCCATACTCTCACTATTTTTATTTTCAGCATTATTATGGCCATATCCTGTGAATATAGATATATTAAGTAGAGTAGAAGTGATAGATATTTTAAGTATCTCCATTTTGTAAATAAAATTGAAAAGAATAAAAAACTACCTTATGAGAGTATCCATTTAAATCCAAGATCTTTTGGATTCTTAAAGCAGAAAAATCACCTTTTGTGTCTATATACAGAATTGTACTATCAGAATCCTTAACACAATTTATAGCAATTTGCATACAAAGTTGGCTTTTTCCCGATCCAGCCAACCCACATATTTCTGTTATACCACTTGGAATACCTCTATCAAGTATGGAATCTAATCTAAAAGGAATTATTTAGGGACATATGTAAATGTTCAGTGTAATTCTTGTTTCAATGATCATAAAAATACACACTCTTTTATTCCTGTTTGAATGCTTTTTCTTTTTGTAATACTTGTTATATACAATTCAGTTCCATTTATTGGTTCTGCAGAATATTTTTTAAAAATATTATTCCTTATCTCCAAAATTTGCGGCAATGTCAACTGTGTTAGTATTGATAGTTTCTCAGTATCTTCTTGAAGAAAATCTAATAAAGTACTAATACGATTTTGATTCAAACTCTTAAGTTCATTTTCTGTTAGTAAATCTTCTAATTTTAATTTTAACATTTTGACTCTCAATTAGAAACAGAATGTATTATTTTAAAATTTAACTGTATTACAGATTTTAAACTCCAGTTAATATGATCGTGGTTGACAGTTGCGCTATATAAAATTTATATTGAGAATGTGACACTTGCTATGTTTCATAAAGTAAATTTATTTTATATTTTGTGCCTGTAATCCAAAGCAAAACTTACTATAGACAATTAGAATAGAAGCTAGAACGCCCGCCATTCTTGTTTGCTGTCAAAAGCTGTATTCAGTTGTAATGTCGTGAAACAGTTCGTATTTTTTTCCATTTTTGCGACTGTATTGCGTAGAATTTTAGTTTAACTTAGAGTATAGAAAGCTTTAGTCATGTCCAATATATCTTTGGATAAGGAAACGTTTTATAGGCGTATGAAAAGGCTATATGCGGCGTGGAAGGTATGTCACAATAGACACGGTATATTTTGAATTTGTTCTCGTCGTTTTAAATTATAATGTTACATTACATTCCAGGCTGCTGCTGCTGATTCTAAGAGTGATGATGTATTGGCCAAATGTGATTGCTTGGTGTCTTGCGTTGGCGTGGATGAAGATACTCTATACAGCAAGTCAACCGCATTACAGGTTCGAATTTTCTAACATTTACAATGTGCGTAGAAACATGCTGTGGCATGTTTTGTGATAATTACTTCAAATAATATATATCTTGTAACTTTTTTGTTAAAGTGGTTAATTATTAATCATGTTTTGTTTAGACATGGCTCTTTGGATATGAACTTCCAGACACAATAACAGTTCTGACTGAACAAAGCATGTGCTTTCTGGCAAGTAAAAAGAAGATTGAATTCCTCCGTCAAATCGAAAATGGTAAAGAAGAAACAGATCTACCTCCAGTAAAACTTTTAATAAGAGACAGAGTAAGTAATAGAATGAAAAATTATTTAAATATATATCGGTAAAAGTTTCAAAACACTGATAATAAAGAAAACTAGTTTATTAAATAAATACTGGAAACTTAAAAATTTAATTAGTATAAAATAATTACAACAGGAATTGCTATTTCAAGTACATAGTATTACATATTATAAGTACTATTATAAGTACATAGTATTATATATACATAGATATATTTTACCCATTCTTTACCCGTCCTTATGAGAATGACTAATCTTATAAACAGTATCTAGTTTGTTGACAATAATGTTATGCAATATATACCTAAAGTTTTAAAACCAGAAAAGTAATTGAGTTCATGAACAAAATCCAGTTATTACAAATTTCTAGTAATTAGCCAGATTTTTTGGAATAAAATCATATCAATTTAAATTTTTTCAAAGTTTTATTAGTGTATTTCTTTAATAGTTTAATGGAATAGGTAATTGCAATATTGACCAACTTCCAGTTTAACAATTACAGTACAAAATTACTAGGGTAATATTGAATCGGAAATTTGCAATCGATCATTGTTATTTTGCTGACATTAACAATATTTTTACACACATTCAATATAAAAATAATTAACACTATCAGCTTAGCTGTTTATTAATTTATTAACATTCTGCCGTATAAAATTTCAGAATGACCATGATAAAGAAAACTTTAATAAACTTATACAAGAAATAAAGAAATCTAAGTCCGGCAAGACTCTTGGTGTGTTTGCCAAAGACAATTATCCGGGCGAGTTCTGTGAGAGTTGGAAATCTGCTATGAAGGCAGAAAAGTTTGAGAATGTTGATATAAGTTCATCTGTAGCTACATTCATGGCACCTAAAGAAGATTCAGAAATAATCACTATCAAAAAAGCCTGTTTGGTCACAGTTGATGTTTTCACTAAGTACTTAAAAGATCAAATTATGGAAATTATCGATTCAGACAAGGTATTTATTATTGATTAATAGTATTTATGTGATTAATAGATTATTATATAGTTATATATATTTGTTTTTAGAAAGTAAAACATTCGAAACTAGCGGAAGGTGTTGAAGCTGCTATATCAGATAAAAAATATGTTACCGGTGTAGACACAAGCCAAGTTGATATGTGCTATCCACCGATCATACAGTCTGGAGGGAATTACAGTCTGAAATTCAGTGCTGTATCAGACAAGAATCACTTACATTTCGGTGCGATTGTATGTTCGTTGGGAGCGAGATACAAGTCATACTGTTCAAATATTGTCCGTACATTACTTGTCAATCCGACGGATAATGTCCAAAGCAATTATAATTTTCTTTTGAATCTGGAAGAGGAGGTTATGAAGCATCTTGTGTCTGGTGCCAAGCTCTCATCTGTTTATGAAGCTGGTTTGGCGTTGGCAAAGAAGGAAAAACCTGAATTAGTAGATAACCTCACTAAGACATTTGGGTATGTTCATTTATTTTTTATACTCATTATAGACATTATTCTAATAGTCCGAGATCACACTACAGGATTGGTGCGTTCATCAGTTATTTGTTTAAAACCAAATTTTATGTTTATTATAGTTAGGAGAACATATATTTACAACAATGCAAATGTAAAACATTATTTATTACGAACTCCAAAACAGTGTGGTTTTTGTGTTAGAATAAAAGTGCTGGATCTGTTCAGTTGAGAAACATCGATATATCCGCAATGACTTAAAAGTGTTGCACAGCTGGTATTCGCTATCCTCGTCTGACAAATGATGTTATGCGTTAACTCTCTTTCACTTTACCTTAAAATATATTTATCATTTTCAACAGCCAGTAAACCTTTTTTTTGCGGCCAGATTTAATGAAGCACCCATATATGATAATTAAAAGAAAAAAAATAGCTTCAATTTGGTATGTAATTAATGAATATACATTATGAACGTATAAATTGATCGAAATCATACCTGTTTACACCTGGCTGCGAAAAGGTGCGGCTAGGTGCGCAATCGCAACCGTTATTTCTTAGAATCTTCATATACCTAAATTACTAATCATGTATAGGTTTTTTTATTTAAAAAATAAATCAATGGAATTTTTTCTCAAAAATTCATTAAAAATAATTTATTTTAAAAAAATGGCCGCCAAATTTTGATAGGCACCCTGGTAATTATATATTCTCCCAACCTTTAAATAAACATAAAAAATAGGTTTTAAACAAATAACCGATGAATGCAACAATCCTGCAGTGGGATCTCGTATTATAATTTTTGAACCCATATGTAATGTTATTTTTGTTAAAGGTTTGCAATGGGAATAGAATTTCGTGAAAGTGCCATAGTCATCGGACCAAAAACCTCAGTTGTTGCTAAGAAAGGCATGGTTTTTAACATTAATATTGGTTTGGCAAATTTAACCAATCCTGCAGCAACGGATAAAGAAGGAAAGGTAATGTTTGACAAAAAATATGTACTTGTTTAGTGATACTATGCTACATTTTAATATTTTTTTTGAAATTGTTTGTGGTTTCTTTCAAGATTATTTGATTTGAACATTGGATTTGATATTTAGGTAAAATATTTCTTTTATATTTTCATCTGGAACTGGATGTGACGCGAAAATTTGTTAATAGATTACTTAAAAAAATGGTTTTAGTGTTTTTTTTTGTATGTTTCTACATACATGTTTCGTTGATGATGTTTTGGTCTTTCTTATAACAATTAATAGTCTGTCTTGGAGAAGAACTACAAAAAATTTGTTTATATAGTATACTGATAGTATAGTACATATATGTAAAACATTGCTTTATAAAGAAATTGATTACTAATTCTCAACACATCTCGTCTGCCATTAATCTCGTTTGCTGAAATTAACTGAAACGTCGGGAGTATGTAGTTTTGAAAAATAATAAAATAACGCGTAGTAACACAAAAATATTAGTTTCATTTAAATGAACATTCGTGAAAGTCTTAGATTAGATCTCATTAAATAACTAATTCTTATATACATTAAGTATATGAGACATTCATATACAGGGTGACTGGTGAATTACTATCAATATTTAAGGAGAATACTCGGTACATGATTCTCATTCGAAATACGTAAAAAAAATAGGCACTTAATTTTTGACAAAATTTCCGTATAAATAAGTAAAGTGTTGACACGTTCCAAATGTTCAAGTGTGGACGCGTGCGGCGGCGTGCTGATACAACACTACGTCACGACACGCGTATGTGTGAGTGTCAGTGTATACCTAATCTGTAGGGTGTTCACACGATGCGTAATTAATTACATAACTTTTGGTTAACTTTACTTAGAAGTTTATTAATATTTATGTTATATTAATTTTTATTTTGTCATATATGATCGTCAAATATCTCGTCCTCAAGTATCGATAGTAATTCACCAGTCACCCTGTATATTGGATATACCTCAAAATATTTTGTTTTTCAGACTTACGCCCTATTCATTGGCGATACTGTGCTCGTGAATGAGGAACAGCCAGCATCACTGCTAACACAATCAAAGAAGAAGATTAAAAACATAGGAATATTCCTAAAAGATGACGACGAAGAAGAAGAGGAGGAAAAAGAGAATAAAACTGAAATATTGGGTGAGTTTACTTTTAACAAACACATTCAGGGTGTATTGATAAATGAATATGTAATAAAAAATTGTATATAAATATTTTATGGCTTATATATTAATATATAACTCTATCTCACACAAAACATGAAATAATTGAGTAATTCAAAGAATAATAAAAAATAGAAAAGACTATGTGAGATTAAAGATTCAGATTTACTTCAATAAAAGCAGCTTATCTCACATTAAATATATACATACATAAATCTATGATGTTAAACTAAAAACTTTGTATGAGTGTTAAAAAAATTATAAATAACCTATTTCATTTATCAATACAATCTGTGAAAATATGTAATTTAATACAAAAAATTAAAGTTCAGTAATAAATATAACGCACATTAAATTTTGTGTATTTTTATATATTAATGGAGATTATTAAGCTATTACTTAAATCAATATAAGTTTTTGGTGTTGCAATTTTTTAATAATCGATAAGATTATTTTTTTTCTATTAACTACCTAATATGTTATATTAATATTTTTATTTCCTACCATGCAATGATGGATGGATGGGACTATAGAAAACGGAGGTGAGTCTATGGTTTAAGAGACACATGCATGGTTTTTGTGTTGTATGAATATTGCACACTATTTGGAAGCACAGAAATTTATAAACGCTTATAAGTTATAACATTAATAAAATTAATGCAAAGTCAACATTAATACGACACTATAATACTCTGAACTATTTTATTTCTATTGTGTGATTAATTTTTCAGGTCGCGGTAAAAGGACGGCCGTGATTGAGTCGAAGCTTCGTACTGAACATTCTTCAGAGGACAAACGTAAGGAGCATCAAAGGGAATTGGCGATAGCTCTTAATGAGAAAGCTAAGGAGAGACTTGCGAAACAGTCGAGTGGAAAAGAGGGTGAAAAGATAAGGAAAAGTACAGTCTCGTACAAGAGTGTCAGTCAGATGCCCAGAGAGAATGAAGTTAAAGAGTTGAAATTATACGTCGGTAAGTGTCATACAACAAAACTGAATGTTCCCTTTGTTTTATTCGAATTTGTCGAAATATCAGTTTGGGTCATTCTCTATTACTGATGAAAAATTGAAGAAAAGTTTTCATTATATTTTCTGTCGAGTATAAAAATACTGAGCTCAAAACTAGTCTAGCCGATTTCAAAAAAACATTGTGATATCTGCTGATCCTTAGGTTATTTTTATAGGCCATTTAGTTACCAAATTTTGGTATCATCATATGAACAATTTTTATGAAATTTTCCTACAAATTGGGATTATGCAGTCGCAATTCAAGCTATTTGATCCATCTTCTGTTTATATGTCATACGTAACGAATAAAGAATAATTTAATTAAGTTATCCCAATACCAAACGTCATTTTAAGTATGTTTAGACTATTTTGTAAATTCAGTACTCTTCAAAGTGGTCTACGTTTCCATAGTTACTTCTAAGTCTTATTTAAAGAAATACAATTGACGTATGTTTTGTGGTATTCAATTCAAAGGTTTGTTCCATAATGTCTATTTGCTGAATTTGCTCAAAGGACATGTCATATTAAAATTCGTAGCAATTGGTAATATTTCATTAAGCAGTATTTGATTGAATAATCAAAGTGTATTATTTGTTTCAGATCGTAAATATGAAACAGTAATATTGCCGATATTCGGCGTGCCGGTACCATTCCATATATCTACAATTAAGAATATATCTCAGTCTGTGGAAGGCGACTATACATATTTGAGAATAAATTTCTTCCACCCGGGTGCGACTATGGGTAGAAACGAAGGTGGCAACTACGCGCAGCCTGACGCGACCTTCGTCAAAGAAGTGTGAGTTTAAATATATATTTTACACTAAAATATTATACATGTACCTAAAAAAAAATTTTGAACCAAGTGTCTGAATATTACACACCATTCTTTATTGTTGTGTGACTTTAAATTAACTGTACAAAATAAACAGCACGGCAATAAAATTAAGTATTCAAAAATTTTGAGTTATTTTTATAACTGACAGCTGAAATGACAAGAGTGCTCATAAAATAATCTATCTTAGTGTCTTTTTGTGGTGACTTTCCATATTCTAAAAAACGAAGTAAACTAACCAAGCAGAAATAAGGCATAATAATATGTTATTTGTCATCTTTCAATTAAAAGTGATATGGCAAGTTTTCTGTAAGTTTACTAATAGATATATTTATGTACTTGAAAAGATTTATACGTTATAGGAATTTGCATTATTCTAGTTTTGCTGGAGATGTTAGAAAACTTGTGAATCTCCATAATATGATGTATAGAAGTTACTGACAAAACATTTTTTATTCTAGTACATACCGCAGTACAAATACAAAAGAGCCAGGAGAAATTTCCCCACCATCATCAAATCTAAATACTGGATTCCGGTTAATAAAGGAAGTTCAGAAGAAGTTCAAAACACGAGAAGCAGAGGAGAGGGAGAAAGAGGACTTAGTTAAACAAGATACTCTCGTTTTATCACAAAACAAAGGAAATCCCAAACTGAAGGATTTATACATCAGACCTAATATAGTCACAAAGAGAATGAGCGGTTCCCTAGAAGCGCATTCCAACGGTTTCAGATTCACGTCCGTGAGAGGAGACAAAGTTGATATTCTATATAACAACATTAAAAACGCATTCTTCCAACCATGCGATGGAGAGATGATCATTTTGTTGCATTTCCATCTGAAGCACGCTATTATGTTTGGTAAACCACTTATGTTATTACTCTATAAAATATTTAACACGTCACATATCCACAATAGTTAGCTTATGAAAAAGATAATACTATACTATATTGCGAGATATATATATTTCGTACTAGAGCACTTATATCGAATTCGTACTCTTAGGGAAGAAGAAACACGTAGACGTGCAGTTCTATACCGAGGTTGGTGAGATTACTACAGACCTAGGCAAGCACCAACACATGCACGACCGTGACGACCTCGCCGCTGAGCAGAGTGAACGGGAACTGAGACACAAACTGAAGATAGCCTTCAAAAGTTTCTGCGAGCGTGTCGAGAACATGACCAAACAAGAAGTCGAGTTTGACACGCCGTACAGGTCCGTACTCATAAATAGTAGAATTCTTACGATATATAGTCCTTATAGATTTATGTTCACGATAACCTGGCTCTTCTTTAGGCTTGTTTTATATATTTTTCAAGTAATATTATAGTATATGTTAGAATTGAACCATTAATAAAGATGGAGATTTAAAATTGAGGCAAATATTAGTGATTATTGAAAGAAACGCCATCTAAATAATGTTTTAAGTTTATAGAGAAAAACATTTGATACGATCACTTTCTCAAATCTAAGCTATTGAATGATTAATACAGTATTATAACTTCTACAGAGAGCTCGGTTTCCCCGGAGCGCCGTTCCGTAGTACTGTACTCCTACAACCGACTTCTGGAGCCCTCGTCAACCTGACCGAGTGGCCGCCCTTCGTCATCTCCCTAGAGGATGTTGAACTGGTACACTTCGAAAGAGTACAGTTCCATCTCAAGAACTTCGATATGGTGTTCGTGTTTAAGGATTACGCCAAGAAAGTTGCTATGGTCAATGCTGTGCCAATGAACATGCTGGATCATGTCAAGGAGTGGCTCAAGTGAGTGATTTTGAAAGTAAATCTTATATCAGATAAAATCTTTATATATATATAATTCTTCTGTGAGTGTGTATGTCACTGAACTTTTCTCAAACGACTGGACCGATTTTGATGAAATTTTTTGTGTGTGTTCAAGGGGATCTGGGAATGGTTTAGATTCACAATTTTGTCCACAGGACAATGTTTTTTTAATTAATTTTTAATTTATTAGTAGTTGTTGATACGAACGTTTTTTTTGACATTAGATTTGACAACTAACTAATATGTCAATCATTCTGACGCACTTCAAAACATGGAGATTTATGGCTTTAAATGGTAAACTCCAAAAATATAAATAAAAAAAAGTTACAGATATTTCTTGATTATAGGGCGATACGAAGTTCGCCGGGTCTTCTAGTATCTATATAAATATTTAAACATCAAGTAAAAAAACGTATTTAATCATTTAAATTTGTATTGAATTACAGCTCTTGCGATATCCGGTATTCAGAAGGTATCCAGTCTCTCAACTGGACAAAAGTCATGAAAACCATTACTGATGATATCGAAGGCTTCTTCGACAACGGCGGCTGGTCTTTCTTGGACCCCGAGTCTGATGCCGAGAACGAAGAACAGGTTCGTCATACATACATACATATTTTAGAACGAATATTTTGCTGGAGAGATACAGTGTGTTATATTGTATATGGTATGTTATATATCAGTCAGTGGTGGCCTAGTGGTTAAAAGGCCCGCCTCTCATGCACGAGGGCTCGGGTTCGATCCTGGCAAGTACCAATGTGATTTTTCCGAGTCATATGTACTTTCTAAGAGTATTTAGACATCACTTATTAAAGCATTCCCAAAATAGGGTTTATGTCAGGCAGGCGGCCGGTCGTATAAAATAATTAGCCAAAAATATTCACAAGATGTAAGGCAGACCCTGGTTAATGCTGGGAAATTGCCAGATAGAAGAGAAGAATATATAGTGTGTTATATTAGCAAAGTTAATTGTGGTTATTTAATATGACAATCTCATTTCAGCATGACGATGAATCTGAAGAAGAGGATGATGCGTATGAACCGACAGATGCTGAGTCGGAAGAGGAATCTGAAGATGACTCAGAATACGATTCAGAGGCTTCGGAAATGTCCGATGACTCCGGTGATAGTGAGGGCGGTTAGTTCATAAATATTCTTAATCGGATCTATCTGGTAACACTGTGGTGATTAGCTTTGCTTACAATATATAACATTCCTAAATATTAATATAACATTTTCACTTAAAATCATAAAATTTTACGCGATATTTATACAGGTGAAGAAGATGAAGAATCTGGCAAAGATTGGTCGGATCTTGAACGCGAGGCAGCCGAAGAGGACAAGAAGGAACGCAATTACGACAGACCATCGACGGACTTTGATCGGAAACGCAAAGGCGGGAGAGACAGACACCGCTATGACGAGGACGAAGGCAGCAAGAAGAGCAAACACGACAAGAGTTCACACCACAAAAGTTCAAGTTCAAACCACAAGAGCTCGAGCTCAAACCACAAAAGCTCGAGTTCAAACCACAAAAGCTCAAGTTCAAATCATAAAAGTTCAAACCACAAGAGCCCGTCAAAGCACAGCAGTGACAGGTAAGAGAAATAATCCTGTTAAGACTTAGTAATTTATTAATTTAAAAAAAAATATCTATTTAACCATCCAACCAATAAATGTCTATGAGTAAAGTTATTTTATCTTTTTTAATTAGCCCTTCGAAGAGCAATAAGCACAAGTCCTCTCACGACCGTTCCCGAGACCACAAATCCAACGGCAAGTCGAATGGTGATCACAAGTCGCACAAGCGATCACGTGATGACAGTCGTGAACACGAACGATCCTCTAAGAAACACAAGTTAGTATTGTTCAATCATCATAAATTATCATATATTACGAAATACTACAATACTTAATAATCTGTTCACTCTGACTAATCTAACACTTCACTGTTTATTTGTCGTGTTTCAGTCACATATATTAGATGTTTTATTTACTAAGATTTTATTTATTAGTTTTAATTTAATTATTTTTTTGTTACAGGAAATAATCTTCAAAAAGGAAAAAAGACACTTGTTCGTCTCAAGTTGAATGTTTTTGAATTAATGTTAGTTATTTTAATATTATATTAGTTAACTTTGTTTACATATGCTCTCCATTTTTACAGTTGAATTCTGAAAATCAGGTCTGAATGATGAATGTATGTAGATTACCATAATTCCAAGTGATTCTAATTTAAATTATACCAAGAAAAACAAAATAAATATAAGGATTTATTATCTGTCTATTTCATTTATCATCTTGTTAAGTAAATTAACTGATTCAACAGAATAAATTATAACAAAACTCGCAAAGGATTGATTTATCTTACAAAAAAAGTCTATTAATAACATCACAAATTGTTGTACATTATTTACAGATAAATTAACTATTATAATGCTACGTGATGTAGTTACTACTGATTAGCACTCGGTTCTATAACAGAATCCTGTGCTGAAACATAAGGTCCTCTTGGCAATACTGATATTCTTTTTGTCTCTGGTAGCTTATTGACATCATGTGTCCTAATAATTTCGCTATTTTCCTGTGGTTCACTTGAACTCCAATATTTTTTATTCACTAGCATGAGTAACATTAATGCCGGAAGGTGTATCAAAGAAAATCTGAATAGCTTCCTCGAACTGCCACTGTCTGATTTCTTGTAAAAATCCCAAGCTGTAATGAAAATCATGTGTATATTAAATATTATCTAGACAGGTAAAAATATGTTATATGTCCAAAATAACTTACCTAAGTACATAAAATAAATATTGAGTGGTAATGATTCTAGTGCAAACCACATATTGGTAACTTCGAAATAGGATGAAGCCAGGCAAGTGGCAGTTATGACGCCAGTGTGTCTTAAGGCCACTCGTCTGCAAAGAGCTGGAAATTGAAAGAATTGTATTATAGTGAATTTTACCACTCGAAAACTCACACAGGATAGTAAAGATATTTAAAAATCATCGAAATTAGCTTAACTCTAAAGTAATGAATGCAAGGAAATTATTTAAAAACATACCAGGATCAGTTACAGCCATCATTCTGTAACCAGCTCGAGAGTAATCCGGCCTTAGGTTCCAAGATAATGCATTAAAGTGTGGGAACTGCCATGAGTATAGCAAAACAGCTAGAACTAAAGCACCCGCGTCCAAATGACCACTACATCCCGCCCACCCCATCATGGGAGGAATAGCACCAACTGAGGACAATTTATCCATATATACACCACTAGCTTTCCGCCCGCAGCTTCGCCCGCGTGAAGTTCAGTTATATCGCGTTTCCAAGAGAACCTTTCAAAAGTCTGGGATAAAACTATCCTATGTTCTTTTTCAAGGTCAATTCTACCTCTGTACCAAATTTCATTAAAATCAGTTCAGTGGTTTAGGCGTGAAAGGGTAACAGACAGACAGATTTACTTCCGCATTATTGATATTTGTAGGAATAATTCATAATTACTTTGAAAACAATTATATGTGCTAAAGGTTTATTGATGCAATTAATGAATTGCATACTGGAAACAATACCAAAATTTGTAGAAATATATGTATTAAAGAATTGCTTCATTAAAGCACTAGATTTGTATACAGTTGGGGCTAGTGCAAATCTGTGTAACTACCATTGGATAATTCCTCATATCTACATTGGAAGCAGATGATCAGAAGAAAGTTTAAGCTGAAATATTTTCTATATTAACGAATTATAGGTATTTTTTTTACAATTAGTAATAATTTAGAGTGTAATTTATTATTAATTGTGAAAAAAGTACCTTAATCTCCAACAATATGAGGAAAGTAAACTTCAAACAAAAAAATAGACTATTAACTGTAACATTTAAATTATTTAATACGTTTTTCTTACCAACAGATCCCAGCCATGTATTTAATATAGATATTCTCTTTAATGGTGTGTATATCGATGTATACAACACAAGGTTACCAGCTCCTAAAGCTGCGGTCAGAGGATTCACACCAAAGTATAGCAAACTGAGGCCCGTCACGCTTGTCGCAGCGGCAAAACCTATTGCATGTACTGGTCTGTGATGGAAAATAACATGAAATTATTATTTCATTCATTGAGATGTATATTTGACATACATATATACTTTACATTATATGAGCAAAATCATATTAGTTTTAGTTAATAAATATGCTTTTCATTCATTTAATATGTCAACTAATATGTCAATCATTCTGTCGCACTTTAAAACACGGAGATTTATGGCTTTAATAGGTAAACTCCAAAAATATAAATAAAAAACGTAACAGATATTTCTTCATTATAGGGCGATACGAAGTTCACCGGGTCTTCTAGTATATATATATTTCTTTAATGCTCTATATAATGCATTGGATCTAAGTAAAATAAAATTCTTACTCTAAAAGTCCCTTCACCAGCACCCTGTTCTTTGTCCGAGACATCTGAGCATCGAATGGTACTTCATGATATTGGTTAATAGAATTGGCAGCGGAACTGACTAGTCCTGTACCGATTGCGCACAGCGTGAATGTTGTTAGGTCAAATGGAGCTGGTGCTAACGCATATCCGGCCATTGATGTCATTACAACCAGGGCTAGAATAAAGTCCGTTTATAGATAAGACTCACTTAAATATGCTTTGTATAACAGTTCATTAGTTGTGTTTTTCCATTTGAAGAAAAAACAAAGGTTCAAGGAAAACTGTGCTTTATTATTTACTTACATGTAAGTCTGAATTTGGATAGCATCATGCAGTACTGGCCTAGATTATTTTTAATATCATGAGTTGGTGTTTCCCTCCATACTCTTGTATCTTGCGGTACATTTTTTTTTGTTTTCTTTATAGTTGTCTGAGTTGTGAGGGGTGGCGGCAGATTACTATTTAGGTAACATGATGTTGATATTCTAGAGACGTGCTGTATTGGACTGTTTAACTGAAAATTTCCACATTGTTGATAATTATTATATGTAAAATCAAGTTAACAAAATACAAATAAAATGTATAAAGATTTTTTTTATGTATATAATACTAATGTGCATGTCTGTGTAACTTACACAAAATTTAAGCAGCACTTTCTTATCTAAGAATCCATGTTTTAGACATAAGGAACATTTTGTCAGCTGTAAGTAGGACATTATGGTCAGATTAAAATTTTATGTCCACATCCTAAAAAATACAACTATTATTATTGATATGTAGCATAAAATTATAAGGAAAAAATTAAGGAAATAGTAAATATAAACATAAACACTATATAGTGTTGTGTATTATATTATTGACCATGCAAATAAGACGTGTAACCTAAAATAACTCCAGAAACATACACTATAATAACATTATCAGTTTATAATAGGCTTACTATGTTGGATATAATGGACATTTAGCAAAAATTAATAAAATCTATTAAACTACAAAATATTTTTGAAAATTGTAAACATGATACAAAACACATAATATTGTACACATTTAGTTATTTCAATTTGTCACAACCTAGATTTATTTTACTTACATTGAAAACACTTTAATGCAGATAAATATAAAGGGCGACACTACACTAAGCAAAACATTGTGTAATCACTATTCAAACGAAATAAACTAAAATGTATAGGTTATTTAGGTAACCTGACAGAAGGCTGAACCTTGAAGGACGTTTGCTAATTACGTCATAGATCTAATCTCTATTGATGTTGTGAAAATCGTTACTGTGATTTAGGATATGTATTAATTTCACCTTATTTTATATTTACCCTTTCTTATTTGGATGATATTGATAATGAGAAATAAAATTTAAAGATAACATTCTCAACAAAGATTTGTTTAGTAGTTTACTAATATATTAGATGTTTCTAGGTTTGAATCATTATATAAAAAAATCATTTTCATTAATAAACTTAATAGCAATTAAAAATGTAGAAGGGGGTGTTAAGTAAACATAAAAATAATTAAAATTATTAATTTGGTCGTTTTGCAAAAAAGTTCGTAGGCTCACTATTGGTTATATGGCAACTCAGGCATTTTTTGTTTTTATTTTGATTCGATCGAGATTCGAACACGGAACTCACGGAAGTGGTTGGTTCTTGCTGTTGACGCTCACACTGTGAAATGTCTTATTGCTGTTTTAGATCTGTATGAAAATGTCCAAATTATGGTGAAGAATGTCCTAATTCCGCGGGGCCAATTTTAATAATGGCTACAAGAGGTGATAAAGGAAATGGAAATGGCGAGGAACAAATCGTTGAGGTAAATCGATTTGCCCTACTTTTTGATGACAGTTAGGATAAGCTTGATCTTTGTTATGAGAATCAAATGTTTTTGGATTTATAGACGTTGGCAGAGGTGTTCCGGTGCTTCATCTGTATGGAGAAGCTGGTGGACGCCCACCTCTGTCCGCACTGTTCCAAGCTTTGTTGTTATGCTTGCGTGAGGCGATGGCTTACGGAACAAAGGTCCCAGTGCCCTCACTGCCGAGCAGCTTTGCATCTTCATGAGTTAGTCAACTGCCGCTGGGTAGAGGAAGTAACACAGCAAATTGAAACCATGCAACAGAGCAATTCAGTGTGCCAAAGAGAAAACTTTAGGGATAGGTAACTAAAATAGTTTTGTCTATTATTATATGTTGGCTTAAAGACTTTTTGCACTATATTACTTCTATAACAATAGATGCCCGACACATCAAGAGAAGCTGACTGTTTACTGCTGGACTTGTCGCCGTTGTATTTGCCATCAGTGCGCTCTCTGGGGTGGTACACATACCGGCCATACATTCAAACCACTGGAAGAAGTGTATGAGCAGCACGTCACTCAGATCCGAGATGAAGTCTCCCAGCTCCGACGTCGTCTATTGGAGCTTATCAGCCTGGTCCAGGATGTTGTGAGTAAAAATTCCTCCAATCATAATAATTTGTATGTAAATCTTACTATTTACTATCCTTTTATGAACAACACCATATGTGTTAATTGTAGTCATATGTAAACCAGCATTTAATTGTTAATGAATATTTATTATAAATGTTACTATTGTAAATAACATAATGACTTATTTGTGGCATTTAAGATCTATAAATGGCCAACATACTTACCCTTATGGCATTTGTATAAAATGTTGTTCGACATACAATACATTCTTTGTAAAGAGTGGTTAAACTTGCCTGAATATGAAGAATACAAATGAGATAAATGATATTAATTCTATTGTATTCTTGTAACAAAGGATACACTTTCACTGTCCCAGATAGTATATAAGGAGGCTTACTTAAATTTTTAAGCCACAGTCTAATTTGGATTATAGAAAGTGGATATTGTCATAGTTTCATTCTAAATGCATTTGGTTTTCACATAACAATTCATTATAATACTCAGTTATAAAACACATTTAAAAAATCTATTGTTTATTTCTTTAATTATTTATATTAATTCAAAGTAATATGGAATTTACATAGTTACTTTTTTATATAAAAAACTAGACTTAAAGAGTAATACTTAGCTTGTTGACAGAATTGAATCTTATATATGGATATTAAAACTACATTGTCTATATAATTATTGAAATTTATAATTAAACAATAATACTTATTGACCTACTTATTATGTCAGGGGTGGCCTAGTTGTTAAAAGACCCGCCACACATGCATGAGGGCGCGGGTTCGGTCCTAGCAAGAAACAAAGTGATTTTTCCGAGTCATATGTACTTTCTAAGAGTATTTAGACATCATTGATGAATGCATTCAAAAAGAGAGTTGATGTCAGGCAGGCCGCCGGTCGTAAAAACAATTAGCCAAAACTATTCACGACATGTAAGGCAGACCCTGGCTAAAGCTGGGAAATTGCTAGGTAGAAGTAGAAAAAACACTTATTGACCTACATATTGCCTTAGTGACTTTGAAGGTATGGTCTTTGGGGTCCTTGGTTCCCCAAGGAACAAAGGATTTTTCGTGCTATTGAAATGCAAACAACACTTCTGTGTTCTCGTTTGCATTCTACATCTCTAAACTCATTAACAAAGCTCACTAATAAATACTTAACAAAATATAAACAAATTGAAGTATTTTTTATATTATTACATTAATAATTAATATTAAAGTATCTTGAAGAGTACTTGCATCTCCAGGGGCATAGACAAGGGTTTGCCAATATCAACTGATCATGTTTGTTTACAAGATTGGCAATTTCTATTGAAATGGACTATACATGATATACAGGGTGACTGGTGAATTACTATCGATATTTGAGGACGTGATATTTGACGATCATATATGACAAAATAAAAATTAATATAACATAAATATTAATAAACTTCTAAGTAGAGTTAACCAAAAGTTATGTAATTAATTACGCATCGAGTGAACACCCTACAGATTAGGTATACACACACACACACACACTCGCGCGCGGCGGCGTGTTGTTGTATCAGCACGCCGCCGCACGCGTCCACACTTGGAACACTTGGAACGTGTACACACTTTATTTATTTATACGGAAATTTGGTCAAAAATTAAATATCTATTTTTTTTACATAATTCGAATGAGAATCATGTACCGAGTATGCTCCTTAAATATTGGTAGTAATTCACCAGTCACCCTGTATATGAAAATATATAACTCATATAAATATAACATGATCTAAGTATTATCTATTATCTGCGCCCCGCGGTGTTACCCTCGGATTTCCGGAATTTCCGATTATTCCGGGATGTAAAGTAGCCTCTGTGTTATTCCTGGACGTCAGCTTCCTGTATACAAAATTTTATCAAAATTAAAGAAGTAATGAACATACATACACACTCACAAACCTTCGCAATTATAATACTAGTAGGATGAAGAAATTTTTAAGCAATGTACATAACAGTTTGTATACTATTATTATATTATGATGTCGTTACATAATCTTCATCCAGGAAAGAAATGTGGAGTCAGTTCGTTCAGCGAAGGACGAACGTGTTCGTGAAATAAGAAATGCAGTTGAGCTGATGATATCTCGCCTGGACTCGGCGTTGAAGGCCAAACTGTTGACTCTCATGGGGCAGAAGAACAGTCTCACGCAGGAGACGGAACAGTTGGAGCATTTACTGCAGGAGATTGAACATCAACTACACTCTAGCACCAGGTACTAATATATACTTTATTAGTTCCTACTTGCGACTTTCCTCGCGTATTAAGTCGTTATAGTATGTTATACGCATATTAGAACGATTTAATACGAAATACAATTGTTACTGATATAAAGTGGCTTTGATCCCGTGGGACCAACACAATATAGGTATAAATGATTTATGTGTCTTTCTGATGTCTGAGCTACATTAATGTAAAGTTTCATCAAAATCCATTCAGTAGTGTTTTGTTTGAAAGAGTCAAAAAATTTGCAAAAGTTTTTCTTCTTTAATACATAATTGGTTAGATTTAGGTATGTTATTGATATACGAAAATGTATGTAATTATAGTTTCGTAAGTCAACAACAGTTTACGCTTCGTGCAATCTAAAAGATATTCAGTATTCCACAATATGTATAAATGTATTAATATACATACATTAGACGCAATTTTAACAAAACTTTCTTATATACATGGTCAAATAAGACTGTCAATAAAACAAATAATTGTATGCAAAGAATTCAAGTAAGAATCAAAGGATTCAACAAGTACGTAATATTAGGTGATTCTATTAAACTTAATCAGTGTAGACACTTGGACATTACATTCTGCCAAGGTCGTATATTAAAAAGATATATTAACAATTCCAGATCCGAACTGATAGCAAAGAGCGGGGATCTATCGAAAATGATCCATCAAGTCCGCAAGAAACCCATGGCTAGCTTCGTGACAGCGCCAGTACCGGCCGATTTTCATAGGCAAGTACAGTTCTACAAGTGAGTACGCACCTTCACCCGCATACATTATATCATCTTCATCGCTCGATATCTGTTGTTCTTTGTACTATACTGTAATATACTCCATAGTGAAATCGTGCCGAGCTACGACAGCAGCACGTTCCCCCTCACAAACTTCACTCAACTTCAACACGCGGCGTCTCCCGTGTATTCTGCTCCGCTGCACGTGAATGGCCTTTGCTGGCGGCTCAAAGTGTACCCGGACGGTAATGGAGTAGTGCGCGGGAACTACCTATCCGTGTTCCTAGAACTAAGCGCCGGACTACCGGAAACTTCCAAGTGAGTCGTTTAAATACTCTTTTAGAAATTAATTTTACTATTTATCATATATATATTATATACTCGGGGTTGGGTTCAGTTAAATTAAAATAACTCTTTCTAAAATATTTTTTCTTATTATCAGCGGCCATCACATATCATATAAGATATAAATACAATAACATAAACAAATTTTTTTTATTTATAATTTTGATTCTTACACTCAGTAACTGACATTTATTAAACTATTAAATAACTTATATAAATCCTATTTTTTATATTTCCCTGTAAATAAATAATGTTAATATAAATTGTCATTATAAACGAAGATCCTAATATCCAAGTAACCCGTTGTTTCGTCATTGCACGCGGTACTAAGCAGGGTAGGCAAGAGGTGAGTCGATATTGTTGCAGTAGTGTGTGTGCGGAATGACGTCACTGTGTGTGTGTGTTGTATACTGACTAGACTGGCCCTTACACCACTGGAGTATGGAAATTGCTTTATTAACTATACCATGTACATTATAATATAAGCCATCTCTTCCCTAGTGGTGTAGATCACTGTGACTTGATTGATGAGCTTTTCCGTTACATTCATATAAAGATATTCGTTACTCGATATTCGTGATGTTCGACTCATGTTACCTGTTGATCATTAGATCTATGCTTCCGCTTAAGAATGTTTGAAACTCTACTGGCTGAGGCATCGTAGTTGGTCGATAGTTCTATCACTAGACAACATTAACAATGTCCAGAATAACTGGAGCCATGTTAAAATTATCATGATTCTGTTTAGAAGTTTGCCATGAATTGTTTTGTCGGTCACGTGATTTATTATGAGTATGAAAGTAATGGTTGTATGTGTTATAGGTACGAATATCGTGTGGAGATGCTGCACCAGGTGTCCCGTGACCCGTCCAAGAATATTGTACGGGAGTTCGCTTCGGACTTCGAGGTTGGGGAGTGCTGGGGTTACAACCGCTTCTTTAGATTGGACCTTTTGGCGAGCGAGGGGTACTTGAATCCTGACACCGATACGCTCATCTTGAGGTATGATTATTAATAATAAGAATTTTTTTTTTACATCAGGAAGCTTAAATACGAGATTAATAGTTAATTGTCATGTAAAATTTAGAATCTTCTATCTTCTATCTTCTTCTTCTATATCTTCTATCTTCTATATATATAAAAATGGATTGCTGTTCCTTAGTCTCGCTAAAACTCGAGAACGGCTGAACCGATTTGGCTAATTTTAGTCTTGAAATACTCCTGGAAGTCCAGGGAAGGTTTAAAAGGTGAGAAAAATTGGAATAATTGTCGGGAAAACCCGAAAAACAGCCCTTTTCTATTTCCCATACAAACGTTTTTTTTTGACATTAGATTTGACAACTAACTAATATGTCAATCATTCTGTTTGATTGAAACAGGAAAAACTTGATTATTTATGGCCTCTAAGACGGAATAGAGTTCGCCTGGTCAGCTATACCCACATATATTACTCTTGACCAAACTAACGCGGATGAAGTCGCGGGCAAAAACTAGTAATATATAAATTTTATACGAATGAGCTCTTTATAAAGTATGTGGTTCTAAAATATGTGTTTTAGACCTTGTGTTTAGATTTCAAATGTATGGTATCAATTTTAACTACAAGTCACACGTGTGGCCCGAGAATTCTAACAAAGCAAAAAGTTAAACACAATGATACAACTTAAACTCTTCCAACAACTAGATTCCAAGTGCGTCCGCCGACCTTCTACCAGCGCTGCCGCGACCAGCAGTGGTACATCAACCAGTTGATAACTATACAGAACCAACACATACTACAGATTAATGATCTCAAAGAGGTGATATATGAATTATTTGTGAATACCGTCTCTCTATATTTTATTTGTATAATATACATTCCTATAATTATTCCAGCGTCTAACACTGGAGATGTCCCACAACACGTTGGTGCCGACCCGCGCGACCCCCAACCCCGTGACATCACAGGCGGACGACAACCCCACACAGAACAACCCGGTGGACGGGAACAGTCTGAGCGACTCACTAGTGTACAACCAGTGGAAGTTTAACAGTCCGCACAGTGTAGTGAGCGGACAGAGGCTGACCAGCCCAGGTATGATCAACATTCTGAATATTATTTAAAATTAAAATTACCTGTAAAATTTATACAAGCTAAGCCAACATGTTGTGTATAATTACCAGATCCCGCTGGAGTAACCAAATTTTCATTCTATATAAGAATTATTAATTAATTATACATATTTAATTTTTAGAAGCTTTATTATCAAAGAACATTTATAAATGTGTTCTGTTTCTTTATTATGTTCTTATTGAGAACGTCTGTCACTGTCTAGTTAATTCCAATAGGTATTATGAACACGGCGTTGTTCGAGGATTCGTGTAGCAGCGTTTGTCGCAGCTCGCTAGGGGCGGGCGCTATATGTTACGGGGACTACGGCGGTGAACGAGCTAAGACTACGGCCCAGCATGCGCTTGACTCGCCCTACAATCTGCCTTCTACATCGAGGTGATCTTTAATAACATTTACATTGAATTTGAATCAAAAATTTAAATATATACATTAATATGATCACAAAAACAAAGGAGTACCAATATTCTAAGAGTTACGTTTTTAGACCAGTGCCGATAGCTTTTAAAACATAATTAAATTATAGTAGAATGAAACTCATTAGAAAAGGAGGAGAATATTATATGATGATGCTGATTTTTTGATATTTATTCAAAATAAGCTGAAAAAATAAATATTTCTAATCAAATAAATTACAGTGTATTTGGGAGATGAAACGGTAAGTTTTCACCAAATTTCGTCACAAAAATATTGTTTTTTTGTAAGAGATTAAAAAAACCAAAAACTTGGGTTTTCGAATATTTCACATAAAATTAGAATTTATGTGAAAAAAAATGTTTGTACAAAAGTTTTAGATCTTTTTATTGCCTACAACTTTGCTATAAACTTTTTTCCATAGGACTTTTAGTTTTGTCGGAAATCGAGAAAACCCATTTTTTACCCTTAAATACGCACCCCCATACCCTTCCTGACCTCAGATCGCCCGTAAATTATTTTTCCTTTAATTTTTATAATATTCCCCTCTTTTTCTAATGTGTTTCATTCTACTATAATTTATTTTCACTTTTCATTAATTTTAAAGGCTTCTGCACTGGCCTATTTGTCAACCCTGGAAAAATGACCATGATATGAGATTCACAAATCATACTTAACCGTAATCATACTTATCGCTCTCCACCAAAACCAACAAACTAAGCCTTCAATTCCGACCTTGATTATATTTTAAAGTTTAATATCGGATGTGTCACAAATTTAGTATGACAATCCTACTAATATTATAATTGCGAAAGTTTGTGAATTTGTGTGTATGTTTGTTACTTCTTCACGCTCAAACGGAAGAACCGATTTTTATAAAATGTTGTTTACAGGAAGCTGACGTCCAGGGATAACACATAGGCTACTTTACATCCCGGAAATAATATTTAAACTTAACTCAGAGTCGATATTATGTTTTGTCATCAGATCAGCGAGTTCCGTGCAAGCCACGAGCGGCGGCGGTGTGGGCGCGTCTGTAGCGGGGGACAAGTTGTCGCTAGTGTCGCTACACACGTTACTGAGCGCGGCCGGCAGCGCGCCGCGACCACGGACCAGGCAGAGGCACGACTTCCTCACAGCTGACTCACCGCTTATAGGTAATACGAATAGATTACTTGTACCAAACTCTAATTAATCAGTTCGGTATAAATAACACGTGTTGACGGGTACCTAAAGACCATGCCATCAAGATTAATGAGTATTACGCTTATGGATTTGTACGATGTGAAGTGAGAGTGAGAGGTATAACAACTAACTCTCTACAACCAACTAAAAGACTTGGACCGGTCCAGAATTTATATCAAATAATGAATTTATATTAGTTCCCGACAAGAACTGCATTCGAAAGCCACACAAGTAGGTTCGTATCCAATTTAAAGAGGTAGATAGGTCCTCTTAAACCTAACCTGGGTCGCAAGTCACAGGCACTGTTGAAGCTCCTCTCCCTGCAAGTGCAACAAAGTACCAGGATAACGTAAGTTGAATCCATTAAATACTAAGAAATTTGGTCTGTATATTTCAGCGGTGGCGAGTACTCCGGTCAACGAGGTGAACTCTGCGAGTGGCAGCGGTGTGTGTGCGTCCCTGTCGTCACCCGAGCTGAGCGGCGAGGGGGCGAAGGCCGAGGCTGCGCCCGCCAGCCCCGAGCCGCAACCGAACGCCCCCTCAGAGTCCAGCAGCGATACCGGGGTACTTAAATAATATATACCAAGGGTGGCCCACTTGATTAGACCTAAGATCTACTGTTTACTATCGAAACCCTGTGCGATCGACCAAGTACATACTTCTTTAAATGAAACTGCATAGTTTAGTACACAATCATGTATTTTTTATTAACCAGTCTTAGTAGTTTCTTTTCATATCACATGTGAGATCGTTTTCTTAAATTTACTTAACATTATATGGGTCCTATATATTAATGTGAGCATTGCGCCTGAACAGTTAAGCATAATCGGGTTATGAGGGTCTGTCAAGCGAGAACGGTGTTTAGTTTTGCTTTGTTATAAGTAGGAAAATGCTGATTCACATAAATATGTTCAACCAAAACACGAATGAAGTTGTTCAACACATTTTTTCAAATTTGGATATTTTTCTTTGGAAACCAGTGCCCTGAAATCTTGACCTGAGGAAGATCTTGCTTTTGGAAATATGTCGCAGCGCAAAGTAATGATTTCGTTTTGTAACATCATTTGGTTCATTTGAAATGTATCTGCAAATTTTGTAGCCAATTCATAGATATCACTGTGGTTAATGGCATCATTAAACGGATAACTTATAAATTGAACCAACTTCTCAATTTGTCTGAAATCACTAAACCGAATTTCAAAGTCTACTATCACTAATTTCTGTCGTGTACTTCTCAGAAATGAAATTAAAGGTAGGATGTTTTTCCCCATGATCCTTGATGTTTACAAATCAGGCTAGGGTAGAAGCCTATAAAATTAATGAAAAGTGAAAAAAAATTATAGTAGTATGAAACCTATTAGAAAGGGAGTATTTTAAAAATTAAAGGAAAAATTAAGGGTAAAAAATGAGTTTTCTCGATTTCAGGCAAAACTAAACGTCCTACGAAAAAATGTTATATGACAAAGTTGTAATCAAACAATCTCAACATTTATGTGAAAAATTCATAGAACCAAGTTTTTTGTTTTATATTTTTATCTCTTACAAAAAACAATATTTTGTCACGAAATATGGTGAAAACTTATCTTTTGATGTCCCAAATACACTGTAATTTATTTGATTAGAAATATTTATTTTTTCAGCTTATTTTGAATAAATATCGAAAAATCAGCCTTATTTTCAATCAAAAAATTACCGGTCTAAATATTAGCTTTTTTTTCAAAAATTTGGTATGTTATCTATTTGTTGAAATCTCTATTTTCCGATGGTGTAGAACCGACCTCAGATCGCCCGTAAATTATTTCTCCTTCAATTTTTATAATATTTCTCCCCTTTTCTAATGGGTTTTATCCTACTATATTTTTTTTATCTGCTTTTGCTTTTTTTATAAACTATCGACACTGGTCTAAATTGCTCGATTTTTTTCTGTTTGACTTTGTATCATAGATTCTGTTTGACTTTGAAACGCTGCAATAGAACTCATCATTTCTATTAATGTTTTATTCCTTCCCTGTAGATTGAGATTTAATGTTACTCAGTTTACCAGTAAAATCAGCCAAAAAAGCTAAATCATACTGCCAGTCCAAATCACGCAATTGATTACAATCATCACCCCTTTCATCAAGAAAAAATATTTCTTCCAAGAGATTTCGAAATGTTTGCAAAAATTTGCTTCGGCTTAACTACCTTACGTCAATGTGCAATGCCAATTCTGGTTGCTTATCATCTAATTGCTGTTTAAAGAGCCGACTTGGAAGGGATTTTCCTTTTATGGAATTTACAATTTTTAAAGAAATTAATGTCCTCAACTGTCACCTGACCGATTATTAGGTGACACTGGACGGATTGACACTTGAGACACGGCGCTCCCCCGTAACCCACACGCTTCCCGCTTATTGGTCATTGCGTGTCGAAAACAAAACACTATGCTTTGTAGAAGAGAGTATAAATAACGTGACGGAACAGCGATTGAAAAATGATACGATGCTGCAGTTGTTGATAATTAAAATGCGCAGTCTGGTCTATTTATTTATATTTTTTGACTGGCCACGATCAACTGGACTAACGATCTCGACCGACCGGTTGGCCATCCCTTATATATACCATTCAATACACAATAACAGATAACTTTAATATTCTCTTAACATTAATATTGTTGTATGTTAATTGTATATTATTTTTTTACAGCAGGATATAATGTTCAGTGAGTTGGATGGTTTCGTAGATGATAACAATCAGAGTCACGTGGAGGAGAACTCCAACGAGGAGAACGACGTGGACGAGGAGACCATGTCCGGTGAGTGACAGAGACGGAGATATATAGATAGAGAGAGAGAGAGGGAGAGAAAGAACCTACTGACTCAAGTATATCCAGTTCATATTATAGTTTCGATCAGTTCAATTCGAAAGTTCCACTGTACATTCTTTCCGATAGCGAAGATCTCTTAATATTTTTCGTATCAATACGGGTATTACGAATAAGATTGAATTTGGTCGGAACTATAGTATGACACTTCTATATTATATGCATTTAGTATTGTCCAGGGGTTCCCAGAACAAAAATATCTTCATAGTGATATTGTATGTGTTTGTCTGTTAAAAATACTAAATACATAATATACCAGTCCAAAATGCTTACATGGAATAAGTTCATTATCAACAGAAAACAATAACATTTTAAATAACTACTATTACCTACCATTATACAAAAGACAACATCCATCCTAGTGACTATCCCTGGAAGCCCTCTCATCCCATCCTACTCTATCCCATCCCTTAACTATATCCCCCTCTCCCTCCCTCCGTTCCTCAGAGGGGTCGTCAGGTAGCGGGTGTTCGTGGTGCGCACTGGACGAGCGGCCGGGGTCGCCGACCTCCCCCCCCTCGCCCTTGTCCCCGTCCCCCGCGGGGTCCCTCTGCTCGGAGGCTCCGGTCCGCCGCCGCCTGCGCCGCGCGGCCCCCTACCGCCGCTCGCGCCCGCCAGCGGAGCCCTCGCCCTCCGCACACGTCGGCTGCGTCGCACTATACCGCATATCATAAACATTAACAACATCACCCAACATAAATAATCCTCACTTTGATTGTCGTAGTACACGTGTATACTGAACGTTAGATACATGACCGGGTTATAATGATAAGAAATTTATTTAGTTTTATAAAACAATATAAGAAGAAATAGACATAAAACGAGTGGTTTATTATAGTATGATTGTAACAAAAAATTATAAAATGTTGATCCTAGCGAGGTTACAGATGCAATATTTAATTATTACATTCATCATTTCTTCCAATGAAAATTTTGTTTTAAAATTATAATTTGTCACGATAAAAAAGAATTAAATATGATTTGAAATTAAATTTATGTGCATTTGATTACAAAACTTTAATAGCATTTTTATTAATTCGTTTCATTCTATACACGAAGAAAATATTATTGTTATTGATATTTTCTGTAAGTACCATGGAGTTTAATATGTATTGAACAAAATTAACGATGTTAGCGATTGGGATACTTAATCTAATAAAAATAATTAGATTATATGTATTATCTACAGGGGAAAATGATATAGAGGGCGCCTGTGCTCGTTCAGACGCCGGGGATATATTGAGCCGGCTGTTGTGTGCGGTACACGGGAGGGGAGTTACCCCCGCCGGCAGTGACGGGCCGATCTCCCCCGCACACACACACACGGCCTCACAGCCCGCGCCCCACAGACACGACGACCCGCAGCTGTCCACGGCCGCGCACACAGACATGCTGCTCCTCAACCTGATGAGGATCAACGGCCTCACGCCCAAGTGTCCCAAGAACGTTAAACATGGTGAGAGATACGTGTTCATAAGGAATCAGACTTATTTTATTTATTTATTTATATACTCTTTATTGCACACCAATATAGACAAAAATAATAGGAGTAAAACAAAGAAAAGAAAAATGTACAATAGGCGGCCTTATCGCTAAAACAGCGATCTCTTCCAGGCAACCTTTGGTAGAGTAACTGACTTTGGTAGACTTAACTGAGTACTGAGATTATGTAAGGACGACGTCACATTCATCTATAAGGAAGTCTATCCATTTAATACTCCCAGCACTAGTATATTAATTTCGTTGAGCTAATTTAGATTTTAGACATCTATTAATGCTGTTGATACTCGTTAGGTCCCAAACGTAACTGGTCGTCGTGTCAGTCCCCCGCGGGCCTGCCGCCCCCTCCCGGGCCGCCGGCTACCCCCCGCCCGCGCCCCGCCGCCGCCCGCGCCCGCCGGCCCCACAGACCACGCAACCCGCCGCTCTCGCCCGGACAGATGCAGAGAGATAGTAATGGTGAGCTGTTCGATTATTAATTACTAGCTTTTGCCGCGACTCCGTCCGCGTGGAGTAGTGACTTCCGGCAGATTTTTGGTTCTTCCCACATAGTTCCCGTTCTTGAGGGGTTTTCGGGATGATCGAGTTCCCGTAGAATTTTCACCATAAAACCTATGTTTTTTTTAAATTCACAATGAAGTACTCTTAACCAACAACATATTTAGTTGTTTATTTGAATAAAGATTTTATAAAATTATTTCGACCAAATTAGGTACCATAAAGAGGGTTTTTGTGAGTTAATCTTAAAAGATAGACATATACTGTCGCGGACTGTTTTTTAGATCATTAAAAGAGCTATTATTCTTTATACATATTTTTTGTGTATCTTGAACCGTTTTCACGGCGCACGCAACGGAAGGCTTCAAAGATGAAATAATTTCTCCCGTTTTTTACACATTTACCACTATATCTTTGCTCCTATTGGTCGTAGCGTGATGTTATATAGCCTACAGCCTTCCTCGATAACTGGACTATCCAACACAAAAAGAATTATTCAATTCGAACCAGTAGTTTCGGAGATTACCGCTTTCAAACAAACAAACAAACAAACAAACTCTTCAGCTTTATAATATTAGTATAGATACAGGGTGACTGGTGAATTACTATCGATACTTGAGGACGTGATATTTGACGATCATATATGACAAAATAAAAATTAATATAACATAAATATTAATAAACTTCTAAGTAAAGTTAACCAAAAGTTATGTAATTAATTACGCATCGTGTGAACACTCTACAGATTAGGTATACACACACGCACACACACACGTGTGGCGGCGTAGTGTTGTATCAGCACGCCGCCACACGCGTCCACGCTTGGAACACTTGGAACGTGTCCACGCTTTATTTATTTATACGGAAATTTGGTCAAAAATTAAGTACCTATTTTTTTTACATAATTTGAATGAGAATCATGTACCGAGTTTTCTCCTTAAATATTGATAGTAATTCACCAGTCACCCTGTATATTAGTTTTCCGTCCGCAGTTTCGCCCGCGTGTAGTTCGGTTATATCGCGTTTCCAAGAGAACCTTTCAAAAGTCTGGGATACAAACTATCCTATGTTCTTTGTCAAGGTCAACTCTATCTCTGTACCAAATTTCATTAATATCTGTTCAGTTGTTTAGGCGTGAAAGCGTAACAGACAGACAGAGTTATAATATTAGTAAGGATTTATAAAATTTTATTTAAATCGGTTCAGCCGTTTGAGCGTGAAGAAATACAAACATACACAAATTTTAACAATTATAATATTAGTAGGATAATAACTTGTGGTCGCCTAGTTGTTAAAAGGCCAGCCTCTTGCATGAAGGCGCGGGATCGAAACTTGCCAACTACCAATGTGATTTTTCCGAGTCATGTACTTTCTAATAGTATTTAGACATCTTGAAGTTGAAGGAAAACGTCGTGAGGAAACCTGGATTTATAATTTCCAATTATAAGTTTGAAATAGCCAACCCGTCTTGAGCAAGCGTGGTGATTAATGCTCAAATCTTCTCCGTTTGAGAAGAGGCCTTTGCTCATCAGTGGGCTCTGATAGTTTATGATGAATTGTTATTAAATAAATATAAAATGTATTTTATATCATGTATTCTAGCTGGTGCGAGCTGGTCTTCTCCCCCCGGTGCAGGCAGCTACTGGGCCTCAGCATCTTCACTCAGCGACACAGACGACGTGGAGGTCATACTCGACTACAACGTAATACACTAACTACTAATATGGAACAGGAGTTAGATAGTTGTTTATATGAAATACTAATGACAATAATGTGGCATTAACTCTTAACTAACTCGTAACTTACTAGTACTATTAACAATTAAAATAGTTTGATAAAAGTTTTGCAAAGCTCTTTAAATGGTATATTATTTCTATTTAAAAATCTGGTTCGATTTATATAATTAAGGGCTTTATAAAACGTTACCATTATTTATTTATGTTGTACATATAGTAGTTGATTTTTTTTTAATAATATTCCTTCAAAAATAAATTAATCTGTCTTTAACATTTCCAAAAAAACAAGTACTTAATGAAGCTAAAATTTAGGTAATTTTATTATTGATCCAGATTTCTATTATATTTAACATTATTTTGCTACGTTTACAGGATACTCTCTTCGACATGCTGTTAAACAGTTTGTCGCTAGAGGGCAGCAGTGTGGCGGAGTGTGACGACGCGCCGCCCGTGCAGCCATGGAGCCCGGCCCGGGAGCCGCGCAACGACTGACATTTTTCGTTTGAACCACATCACACACGACATCACACTCCGCCGCCCGACAGGGGCTTACTTGTAGAACAACGTTACTCGCCACTAGAGTCGCGTTACCCGCCCATAGACCAGCGTTACCCTCCGGTAGATGAACGTTACCCGCCAGTAGACCCGCGTTACCCGCCGGTAGAGTCTCGTCACCGTCGTCCCCGCCGCCCGACTCCTCGATCTACCCGCAGCTATGAAGACTTACAGCACTACCGTCGAGAGTATCACCACTGATGATGACTCACTAATCATCACAGATAATAGATACTCAGTTTGATATACATAACTCGTGGTGTGAGGTGTACATGTGATGGATGTAATGAAAATAACTTTATATGATTCATCAGTTTAGTTATTATCTTTTGTAGTGTTGGACTTGCTCGGCCGAGTTTAGTTTAATGTTGACGTTGTTATGTGTGGTGTGACTGTTTTGGGCATTGTATACTCGAAATTGATCTCCGTATATTATTAGGTTAATCACGTGACTGTCTTTGATTGAGATCTCTTTGTAATCGATTTTATTATCACTACATTTAACTAATTTTTTGTATGAAAGAATGTAATTGACGTTGTTTTAATACATACTCTTAGTTTCTGTGGCTAGTATAATAAATAATTCTCAGTAGTGTGTTGATATCGAAAAAATAATTAATTGTACAAGGACTTGAGTGTTCCACTTTATTATAAATGTAGTTAGTTTGAAGCTGAAGTATGATTGATGTGATTTTTAGATTTGTGATGGAAATGTTTTGGGCCCGTTTAGTTTAGTGCACTGACTGAAAGTTCAAAGATTATAAACTAGGGCTTGTATAGTGCTGTATTCGATACTGTTCTCACGCTTTAAGATATAATAGTAATTTATTTATGTAGAATGTATCAAATACAAACGATGGTACAAGAACTGTTTTATTTAATTGTTAGTATATATTGATCTAGATTCATTAGGGTCGATCTTGATGTATTAGAATGAAAATAAAGAAATACAAAATGCATATCGAGATTTTTATTTATCAAACTTTTCAATGCTATGGCTTCATTTGCTTTGGAAACGTGGAATATTTTGCCAATATCAACGTTTTTATTTATTGGACATATAGTCTTGACTACTGAATGGATAAAATGTGAAGGACAATACTCCTTCATCCATTTTTTGAAATGACTTCCTACTTAGGAGTAAGGTTAAATTTTTTTTCCCAAAAATTAATTAAAAATAATGGCTTTCAGATTTTAGCCTAGCTATAAATAAACAAAAATTTGGTTTTAAAGGAATAACCGATGAACGAACCAATCCTGCAGTGGGATCTTAGACAGTAGATCTGACAGCTGTTTTATAGAATTATATTTTATTGAACATACCGGGAACTGTGTTAGATGAAATCATACACGTATATAAATTGTTTTAATATTTTATTTTCATTTCTCCAAAATATACACAACGACAAAAAATGTAAACCACATTTGCAAGATGTCTTTGATAGTGTCTATTGAATGGAAAGGGGACTACACGAAGAGCGAGAGTTACTTCGAATACAAACAGACAAGACTAACATTACGAACCAGTGAAACTGTTTATTAATTATAATTAAATTCACTGTCCCTACGATATATGTTATATTTACAAATAAAACTTTAAAAGGAACGCTTTGCAAACATTCAACAAACTTGAGATCGTCTTAACTTAAAGATGGTATTAAAATTTAAAAAAAATAAAATAATAATGAACGAAATCCTAAAACATTATACAGACGTCATATTTACAGAGTAAATAGTAATCGGTATATTTTTTATAAAGAAACTGCCAAATCACGTTTTACATATCTCGTAAATAAATAACAATTGAATTTAGCCTAAAATACTTTTCTTTGATAAACAAAACAATAATAATAATTGCATTCAACAAAGCTACGATAACAAATTTAATATAAATTAAGGATAAAAGAAATGTACAGTTTTTACAAAGCTTAGGGGATCACTAATCGTTATCACCGTAATGCGTTCACTACCTCACTGACTGACTGCTGCGGGCTGCGGGGCGTCTACGGAGTGTGAATATAACAGTTACATAACGTGTCAATCAATATTTACATAATAAATTCATAATCGCCTTTTAAAATAAAAATATAAGGCAGAGTCACATACAAAGCATTCATTACATCAGATTATATTAAAAAATACATTTTAAAAACTGCCAAATGAACCACTAAGCGGTAACTTCGAATTTATAAAATATCTACTTATAATTGATATTGTGCATAAATTTTATAACGCCGTGTAGCGCGGGCAAGTGGTGACGCATGCGATCGTTACATTCAAAATATAATCACTAATAGAACTCCACGAGTTATTTTATCTTAATAAAACGTTACTTAAGGATACAGTGGTGTTATAGTTCTCAGGTCATGTTTTGAATACCTTTTGGTATTTATCACTTACACTATCGACAAGCCGTCCAGCCCTAAGTCTAATTTCATCTAATTACACTAGTAGCACTTATATTAAACCATATTATGCTGTTTAAAGTAAAAGTCCATTGGAAGTAAGTTTATTACCTAAACAGGGATTCTAACTACAGCTCGTAGTATCGGTTCGGTGAAATTTTACTTTTTATCAAATTCAACGTAAAATTTCACTACCTCTTTATGTCATTTTATAAAATGTCCAGTTTTCAGTGTATACACCCGACGGTCATGTCGCCGTCGTATCTTTTCATATTCGTCCTCTCTCTACTCATTCTTTGGCATTATTTAGTGAGCTTAGTTCATCGACGCGTTCCATCAATTCTTTCGTCATATGTATATATAAGTTTTGTTCTCTTCGATACAATATATAGTATGTAGCAGTATTCTAACAGATAAAACTGCAGATGGATCACTTTTGTATTGTTTATATTATAACTAGGTATGTTTATCTAATATTACATCTTCTCTCCGCGGCACATCGATAACTCTCGAGCCACAACTAAGAAATGTAAAAAACAGTACTGAGTATTATATTCGTTCGTTATATAATAATATGTTTGCGTCTTAATCTATTCAGTCAAAATAATCAAACCGATCGATAGCCTCTCTGAATACATGAGTCGGTTCCCTCGGGGAGTTAGCTTCATGTCGAACTTAGCACGCAACGAAAGATAACCAGCGACCGTTATATTCGCACCATAAAGTGATTAATACGTTTCGGTTCAGAATACATATTCAGCGGACAGGCTTCAGACGTGTGACTGGAGGGGAGACCTTACAAGTGTGTCTCCAAGGGTGCGGAGTGACGTCACACGTGCGACTCCAGGGGCGCGGGGGTGGCGGGCGCGGGCGCGGGGGCGGGGGACCAGGCGGCCGCTGACAGGTCCGGGGAGGAGGTCCGCGTGTGTCGCGCCGCCCAGCCGTCCTTGTCGAAGTCCTTGGTGCCGCCGACCGTGTGGCGCCGCTTGATGCCTCGCTCCGGCATACCGTTCTTCCTCTTGAGCTTGGTGGACCGCCAGGCGCCCGCCTCGCGCCGCCGCACCACGTTCCACTCGCCCTTCTCCAGCTTGGTCGGCCGCTCCTTGCTGAGTGACTCCGAGCGCTGCGGCCGGTCGGCGCGGCAGTTGAGGCTCTCGGAGCGGAGCACGCGGCCCAGAGACTCGGAGCGGCGCGGAGCCTCGCCCGCGGAGGCGGCGCTGCGGTCGTTGTCGGGGGAGTCCCCGGCGGAGGCCTGGGACCGCGTATCGACGTCCTTGTCATCGTCGGGGCCGTTCTTGGGGCCGGAGTTCTCTTTTTCAGAGTCGTCCGTGTCATCGTGAGAGCCGATGGGTCCGAGGGGTCCGGGCGCGGCGGGCGGGCCGGGCGGAAGGGTCCGGGGCGGGGGCCAGCGCGCGTCGTGCTCGTCGGAGGAGGAGGAGCCGGACCTGAGCCAGGCCGCCTTGAGCTGGTCGGCGCGGGGCCGGGCGGGGGACGCGCCCCGGACGGAGCCCGCCTCGGAGGGCGAGGCGCTGGACTTGCCCTCGTCGGCGTCTTCCTGGCACTCGTCGGCGTACGGGATGCTGCCGTCGTCGAGAGGCGATGAGTTGTTGAGGGAGCGGAGCTTCTGGTCGAAGGTGCTGGTTAGGGAGGACACCAGGTCGCCGGTTTCTATAACAAATAAATGAACGTCATGAAGGGAACCTCTATTAGGAACACGAACACTAAAGCTGTTAGATGCGATGGTCGTCGGGAGCGTGAGGTATGAGTGTCATGAGTATATGCGTCATGTACAGCGACAGCGGCCGGTCCCAGCACGTGTTGTAAGCCGTGCTGTCTGCAGCCGCCGGTAAGCGTTAGTTGTTGATGAGATTCACATATTTGGTTCACGCTCACTTATTCTTTAAGTCGACGTACATAATACATATATTAAACGAGCTCAAACTGTTAAGTGAACGTGAACGCCAAGCTCGTATTAACGGAGACGTCCGCGTCACGCACACACTTGCAACACGCACGCTCACATTCCTATACCTTTAAATGTGGGAAAAGATACTGATTGCTGTGTCTACTCTCTGACATCAGAACTGGACACCTAATAGAGCAAATAACATACGGTTTACATAAATATTACATTGAAGCAGTCACAGGAGCAGACTACACGTTCAATACGGATCATTTAATATGACGTGAATTCTATAATATTATTGATGATAAGATATGACGCATACCGTCTATAGAAAAGTTATTGAAGGCGTGCGTGTGTCGCGATATCTCCTGTCTCGCGCGGCCCATCGAGGTCACTGACTCCATTTCAATTCTGGAAAAAGAAAAAATCGAATATTTGAGAATACTTCAAATAAAAAGGATTACATTTGTAATTTAATATAATAGTACTGTTTCAGGTATCATAGTAGCGGTCGTGATACTCACTTGTTGGTAGTTTGGTGGTGCTGCTCCATGTAGTGCGGCAGACCGTCGTAGTGTGCGAGCGTGGTGACGTGCGTGTGCGTGTGTGTGTGTGCGGCCGAGGGCGAGGGGGGCGAGGCGAGCGGGGAGCGGGGAGGGGAGCCCGCGGGCGAGCGAGCCTTCTCCTCCCACTTCTTATCAGTCTTGCGAGGCTTGCGCTGGATCTTACGGTTGGCGGCCGATATTATAGACGACACTATGTCACGTGTGGACACGTCCTTGCCTGCTGGGTTGATTTGTATCGTTAGGAATATAGACTTTAAATAAATTAATTACTTAAAGCAATGGAAGTTACATTAGGAAAATAAACAAAACCTTTAGATAGATACAGTGATTAATTATTATTATTTCATCTTCCTTTTTTGTGGCAGTTTTATTATTATATTGAGTATATTCATAAAAACAAACCGGGTCAGTTGAATAATAAGTATAAAGTAGCACCAACCTTCTATCTTCTTGACGTTATGTATGAGCAGGTCGCGGGAGGGGGCGGGCGCGGGGGTCAGGGCGTCTCCCGGCGGGGGGGGCTCCGTCGGGGGACAGCCTTCTTCCTCTTCGAAGTACCATTCGTACTGTTGATGAAAACAGACATTAATACCATATCAAACAGACTAGAAGCTGATGAAAATTTGTTCCTAAGTTCGCTGCTGACTTACATGTGTTAAGAAGGATTCTATAATGCGACACTGACTGGACATATCATTGACCATCGCCAGCATGTCGTCACTCGCTGCGCGCACCAACGTCGGCCCGAACACGATGGCCAGGTTTCTCGCTTCCATTTTATTATAAGCGGAGTTTGCGACCACTTTGCGCAAATGTTGGATCAGGTACTTGAGTGTTTCATAGTGAGGGTCCGGCAGGGCGTGGACCAGCTTGCGGAGTTCGCGAGCTCTCTCGGGGGAACGATCGGCCGCTGAAATTTAACATGTTTATGAGACCACCCACTGCTATACATGTGTATGAAGAAGAGAATTACTTTTAAAAATAAGACGTATACACTAACTTTTCAATGTACCTCATTCTTACTATTGTATAGGAATAAATGACAAAAAACAACGTCATCCAATTCTGTAACACCAGTAACTCACCAATGAAAGCAGGATATAAGTGTGCGGTGAGTATAGGGTCGGGCAGTCGTCTCAGGTAGGCTTTGAGCAAGCTGGAGGCTACATGGACGTCCGCCCAGCGTGAGTCATCAGCGGGGGGAGGCTCTCCTCGGTCCAGGGCTGCGGCCAGGGCTGCTACACCGGCCGCGTTACCTGGCACACGGTACACCCCTACTGTGCGGAGACCGTACGCCTTGAAGAGGAAGATTTGTTATTAATGTTGAGCTATTGGGACTATTTGAATTATACAATTATCAAAGTGCCTGACTATCGACTCGAATAGATTTTGCTATGCTATGTAGAAATCATGCAATTGATTAGAGTGATATCCAAATAAGATTAGCAGTGTTTTCGAAAATATTATAAAGAGTAGCCTATTTTTTTAATCACAAGTATCTATTGTCGACTTTTTTTTCTATCCACATAACACGTTTTTATGTTTCCCAATGAATATGAACAACACTTGAAAGTAGGAATAGAACATACCTCTACAGCATGAGCGGGTAAGGTGACAGCTTTAGGCACAAGCGGGTGTTCAGGGTCGCTGGGACAGCGGTCCAGTGGAGCGCCCAGCCAGCCAGTGACTGGCGGAGCTGCACTGGCACCGCCGTGCATACGACGCAGCTGTTTGGCCATACGACCCTTCCAAGTCTTGTTCTTGGGGGACGAAGGCAGAGTAGGTGTTGGAGGACCTGAGTGCGAACACATTACGGAATTATGTTTATGGACCATCAAACATAGTTTGTAAGAGACTAAATCATCATTGTCACTCAATATCTTCAAGTAAAAAGTTCAAGTAATATAAGTAAAGATTCGCACAAATTACGGTAAAACAATGATCACCTTTGAAGGTGCAAAACCGTACATTTTTTATATCCACAGATATAAAAAAATGTAAACTCATTTAACGTATTTAAAAAAGAACTTGCTGAATAAATTTTAAATAATAAATACTTAAAATTAATACAAAACGTTAAATTAGTAATTAATATAGGAAAATGTCTCTTAGTTAAGCGTTATATTGTTTCATTTTTGTTACAAGTGTGATGTCGAACTGTACATTCATAAGTTTTTGTTATAAGTGTAATTCTCATGTAAGTGATAATAATGTCTTAGTGGGAATAAATATCTTAAACCATAAAAAGTTGAGTAAAACGAACTTATGATTGGATTTGTGTTAGAACTCCTTCATTGCACTTACGTTATAAACTTGAATCGAATTAAGTTCTTAATGTTGTAAACAAATAAAAAATCAATTGTTATATGATTTTAAAGTATCTTACCGGTAGGCGACCTGTTCCTGCCAATCTTCTTGTTTCTTTGTGGTGGTAAAGGCGAAGGACACTCCACTGTAGCCGGCGCGCTGGTGGCAGTAGCAGGCACGGAGGCCGGCGCTTGTGGTATAGACACAGGCTCTGATGGCGGTGGTTCTGCGGAATGTCTTCTGAGTGCTGCCAACCAACGCTGTGCATCTGCCGCGCCTTCAGCCTATAGACATTGGATTACATAACTGGTTCTTTGCACTTTGAAGCACTTACACCGTATTTTGGGACAATTAAATAAAAAAAAATCGGGAGTTCATAATTACCTGTAGCAGAAGTTCTGCACCAGCGGCCGTAGTGACCCTTACTACGTGTTTTCTCTTCGTGTAATCGTCTGCTAGAGCAGCGAGAGAGTAGCGGACGTCGAGAGCATCTCTTGAGCCGCCCTCGGTCACAGTGGAGGCCGATCCTCCGCTACCGCTTACAGCACCGGGGCTCTGAAACAGTACATAATATTAGGTTACTTCTGCCTGGCAATTTCCCAGTTTTAGCCAGGGTCTGTCTTACATGTTGTGAAGAGTTTTGGCTAATTGTTTTTACGACCGGCCGCCTGCCTGACTTTTTAACCACTAAGCCACCACTTACATAATTAATAATATTGGGTATTTACGGGTAATAATAATTTGAATATATTTATAGTACTACATGTAGACGTGACTATTAATAGGCTTTACAACAATAAAACTAACGTAAATAAAGCCAAGGCGAACTTAATTTTAGCGGACATGAGGGAAACTACTGAAGAAACCATTTGTATGTCTTTCAAATCAATTGATCAGCTATGGTAATTATTTAAAATTAATTAATACGTTTTACAAATACATCATATTGAATCAAATATACGACTATAAATGATTCCGAACACATGATCTTAAATTTAAAATGAAAACATTGTTGTTGAAAGTAACTCTGGTTTAAGTTTGATAAAAGACACTTGCAAATCCTTTTCAATCTGTTTAATGTTCGCCCTTATCAGAGTTCATTAAAAAGTGTGACTCAAATTATGATTTATATAATAGCGAGCCAAAGACCGGTGTCTAGATTTTAAACGACAGTGGACGTGTTTGAGATTGAAATTTATTGCGCAACCTTCGAGACATACAAACACAGTGAAACAATTTTTTAATTAAGTTCAAAGCGCAAACTCGGCCAGAGCGATTACCGTTTCACGGAATGCTTCTTTTCAACGGTTAGATGAAATTTTATGATATGTAAAACAGTAAGAATGCTTTTGTTTTATTCGCTTACTAAATTTCATAAACGTCTCTATTCAAGAAAATATGTAGAAGTCAAGCACAAGATTGTAGATCAATAGCAAATGAATACAATTATAAATTATTTATAGAAAATGATAGAAAGGTGTGATAAGAATATAAAATATATATGAATGTCTTAATATTAGGATTAACTTGTATCCTGCTCTCGCTGTTCACGTATCTGACATTGTTACTTTCACCCCTTGTAATTACTGACATTACCTCTCTAAACGGTTTAATGAATCACTATCTTGACACACGCTCTGTTAGGGTTGACGCTGTCTTATATTTTATGTCATACAAGTGTATGTTTGGTATATAAGTTCGTGAATGCGGCATTAATCAAATGAGAACACAAGTGGGCTAAACGGGGTCGACTGTAATAAGAGTCTAAATAACTTGCACTTCAAAAGATAATCTCGCGTTCACTTTCTTTTTGATATCTTTTTAAACGCGTCATTATAAGATGCGATTTATTTAACCGACAACACAACTAAGAGAACGTATCGTTCGATTGTTGCTAAATCGTATCATTATCACAGATGCTGTTATTTGATTTATAACTTTAATCTGACACTTAGAAATCTCGCTCGAGCGTTGCATAAATTTAACACTATCTAAGTGTTACTTACGGATGTAACTACAAATGAGATTAAGTTAAAAGAAATGAGTGATCATTGATATAGCGGATGTAGGATCGAGCGCGCCTCCCACGCGGTATAACATAATACAGACGAATCGACATTGTCAGTTAAGTAGCGTTTGCGGCTTAATATCGGAGACGGTGAGTGAAATTGAGAGTAATGTGCAGTTGCGGTTATTTTACGCCTTCCTCGTAGTATGACGCTTTCGATAATTGTGACACGACAATACAAACATTACGAATGATGTCACTTAACGATCACCGTCTGTCTGTCATTATATAAACAACAAACTGGCACGTCTTCTAACCTAAATGTTAGAAAGAAACGCGTTAAGTTATTAGTGATTGTACCTAGAGCAAGAACAGATTAATATCTGTGGAGCGCGTGCGTACTGGTTGTTCCGGATTATTAATGCATTGCGCTCGAAAACATCTCCGGTTTAGAAGTTTTAATCATAAAAACACTTATATTTTCTATAGAATATAAAATGACTGGCTTATGTTGATTGAGATCGAAACGACTTATTTGATCTGACACACTTTCGACACGGCATTGACTTAAAATTGTTTTGTTATGGTGAATGTTTAGTTGTCGGTCTGTTCGTTTTAGATTTTGTCCAAACAGTGTTGTGTTCGGGTGACGTAACGCGTCTCTTGAGATGGAGAGAATGACAGATCATTACCGCTTACCGCACCGCCACAACCGCAAGATTACTCGACCGAGAAAATAGTTACAATGTTACAGAGAACGGCCCGTAATGCAATGATGTATGATGTGTTCTATACATTAGAAGAATCGCATTATTATGACCATCGAAGTCTTTCGCAACAATCGCCAAACGTTATTTTAAAGCAAGCGAAGCAATTAACCCCAAATTCATCTAGATAACGAAACACTCATGGAGGGGTCTATACTAGTTGTGGCGCACTTTTGGGTCAATCTTATACTTATTGCCTTTCAATGTCCATAAATTTAGATACGTTGACGCCCATGTCGAATTTGATTTGTAATTGTTGCGATTAGCGGAAAGATAATTTAACGATATTTTCGATTATGTTTCTATTCTAAAAAAATGCTTGTTTATTTCATATTTAATTTTCAGATAATATTTTGAATGATTAAAATTCTTAAATGGGTATATTATATTTAGTACTTCTTTTAAAACTATATTATTATAGAACTTTAAAAATTAACATTAAATATGTATGTTATTATATAATTGCAAAAAATATTATCTTTACCAACATCATTATCACAAATAAAATTATTTATATCACACGTTAATCTCGTTAAACGGCCTCAACGTTAATAAAACAGTTCCTTTACGACACTGCACTAAATAAATTATACTGTTATTTAAACTTTTATAACGTATGTATGTAGCTAGCAATGAACATATATTTAATGAGTCTTACCAACAGATCCGTGTACCATAGCGTCATGGTTTGGCTGGAGTCCATCCGTATCAACGCCAAACGAGACGTCTCTTGGTCATTGTCAAAGCTCAGCATTAGTTATACAATATAACAATATTATTTATAAGTTCCTCGGTCGTTGTACACACACAGATGGATCACTTGATGTCCAAATATACCAGAGTTTCGAATATACCGAAATCTCAGCAAAAAATCGAACAGCGAATCGTATTTAATAACACAATATTATTTATATATTTCAGTTGAGATGCAGATCGCACGAGTGCAATAAATTCTATGTGAGTGACTCGCGCTGCTGACGGGCGGCTCCGACGGTTGCCTGAAGGATTATGGCGAGACTTGCGTCTGAGCAGAGAAAGTGTTCTAGCGCAGACTCCGCGGCGTCTGCCAAAACGACGTTTTTACGCTTCCCAAATTGATAATATTTTCCGGACGAGTCACTTTTGAACAACGGGGACAAATCGCCGACACTTTCTTTACTGTTATTGTTGGCTATTTCTTTTACTTTTGTTACAAAACGTGACAATAGTTAAATTTGTATAAAACTATCATTTAAGTGTCTCGGAGTTAATACATTGTGCATGTTATAACGCTGCTCAGATAACGTAACACTTCATAATAATTTTATTATGTGTGTTTGTCATCACGATGTGTGTAAAATATAAATTTTAAAAGGTAGTTTGAACTGTCGTCAACCGAGTCGTAATTTTTGTTTAGAAATGTAGAAAATATATTATAATAATGTTGATTCGTCACACTTTTCCTTAGAATTACGATACAGCCGATGCTAAGACATTATTTTAAATTCACACATAACTATAACTATACAAAGTAACAAAATATATAAATAAAATGTTCCGTTCCACATCCAGCATTTATTCTTTCATATGTTCACAGAAAATGTATTATTAATTTTAATTATAATAGATCACGCTTTTGGAGCACACGAAACCAGCGTTGTTAGAACTGTGACAAGTGACACTTTTGCATCCTCCTTTCCTTCAAGCATATTTAACTTGCCAACAATTTCTCGGAATATTTATTTGCGTATAGAAAAAAATTAAACGTTTTTCGCAACGGAACGTAAAGCCAAAAGAAACAAGAAAAAACCGTCCCTCCTCTTCGTGTTCTTGCTTTTTAAATACAACTCAAAAAAACTGAAATTATGCCGTTTTGGTTTATCTGGTGTCGACAAAACAGTTATGTCAACAAAAATTTATCTTGTGACTTTTAATTTTTGCGCGTCCAATTTTACCTTATTTCGGAGCATTAAAAATCGTCTAACCAATGAACCATAGAGTTCATTCACCTCATCGTCTATTATTTAGTGCGTCGACCTTAAATAAAACAAAGTGAAAAGGATTCACATTAATTTAATATTCTCTATATCACGATTTAAATTAGCTAATAAGTAATAACATAACAGATTGTAATTGACAGCGAAAGTGCGCATCTGAGTGATGGATGCGTAAGGTCCGAGGTGATTTATTATCACAGGGAAATACTTATTTCTATTACGACCTCTAATACTGTTAATGCAACTTATTACCGTTGTTCGAACCTTTTTACGTAATCCTTTCTCTACCATAATCAGTGTATAATTTCTATTATACATTATAACACGTCTAAAGTTGCTCAATTAATATGACGCATCTCTGCCTGCTATTCTAAGTCTTTGTGTTAATTTTTTGGTCACAGTGCAACAGAGTTCATCTGTGGTAGAAGTGATGAATAATTTTGTCCGTTGTAAAATACATTTCGTAATGTTTTAATGAATGAATAATTTAATATGAGGCATGTACAGCATTCTTTGAGGTGGAGATGTGGTATAATTTTATTTTGGTACCTAATCTAGACACGGTTACGTAACATCTAGAAAGTATGTTTTCTATCCGTTTGTGCAATGAACACTATGTCAAACAATCAAAGCTTATTTTTTTAAGAAGCATAATTCATAATAGTTTTAAGAAACAGATATTTGTTTTATCGGAAATCATAACGAAGCCAGAGTAAAATATTTTTCTATGTTTATTACAAATGTATATATATTTTTTGGTATCAAAAATCGTGAATAAATTAGTGTTAAAACGGGCTGTGTTTT